CCGACCGCATGAGCTATATCCGGCCTCGTACAAACCATGGCATACATCAAACTCCCGACTGCTGAGGAGTATGGAATACCCGCCATAGCTTCTTTTTCTTCTTGACTTGTGGGACAACTTCTTTTGCTGAGTTTGAAGTGATTTGCCAACGGTGTACTAACTGGTTTAGCCGTCTTCATGTTGAATCTGTCCAGAATCCGATTCACATACCGTTCCTGCGATAACCACAACCTTCTGGATTTTCAGTCTCGCATGATCTGCATGCCCAAAATTTGTTTTGCAGGGCCCAGATCTTTCATATCAAAAAACTTTGACAATTCTTTCTTCAAATCACCAATCAGCTTCACATCCTGTCCCACTATCAACATATCATCTACATACAACAGAAGGATAATGAATTTATCACCTGGACATGTCTTGACAAATACACAATGATCTGCATCAGTCTTGGCATATCCATGACTCGTCATGAACGAGTCAAATTTCTTATACCACTGTCTTGGAGCCTGTTTCAATCCATACAAGCTCTTCTTCAATCTGCAAACCATGTGTTTCTTTCCAGTTTCCTCAAAACCTTCTGGTTGCTCCATGTAGATTTCTTCATCAAGGTCTCCATGAAGAAACGCAGTCTTCACATCTAGTTGTTCAAGTTCCAGATCCAAGCTAGCCACCAATCCGAGTATAACTCGAATAGAGCTCATCTTCACAACTGGAGAGAAAATTTCATCAAAATCTATTCCTCGCTTTTGTCCAAAACCTTTTACAACTAAGCGAGCCTTGTACTTCAACAGCTTGTCACCATCTTTCTTAAGCTTGAACACCCACTTATTTTTCAAGGCTTTTCTGCCTTTAGGGAGCTTGACTAACTCATAAGTATCATTCTTCACCAGAGAATCCATTTCTTCTTGCATGGCTTTCATCCACTGGGATTTATCCTTATGAGTCTGAACTTCTTCAAAGTTTTCTGGCTCCCCCTCTTCAGTGATGGTAATATACGTCGAACTAGGGTACTTTGTAGATGGCTGGTGTGGTCTTCTTGATTTCCGAGGCTGAGGTGGAGCTTCTGGGTTTTCTTGCTCAACAACTTCATCATCACCATCTTCTATTGCTGGCTCATTATCAACCCTAAGTTCTTCATCACACTCTCCCCCTACTGTAGCATTTTTAGGAGGAACAACTGGTGTAAGATCAACCTTACCACCTGGTTCTCTGATTTTTGGTGAAGCAGAATCCGACATAGTTTCTTGCTCATGGAACACTACATCTCTGCTTCTAATAACTTTCCTATTTTCTGGATCCCATAACCTGTAGCCAAATTCCTCATCTCCATAGCCCAGAAATATGCAAGGAATGGCTCTATCATCAAGTTTTTGTCTCTGTTCCTTATTCACATGAGCAAAAGCTTTGCATCCAAACACTTTCAAATGAGAGTATTTAACATCATGTCCGGACCATACTCTCTCAGGGATATCAAAGCCCAAAGGAACAGATGGAGATCGATTAATCAGGTAGCTTGCCGTTAGAACAGCTTCACCCCAGAATGGCTTAGGCAGTTTTGCCATTCTTAACATGCATCTTACTTTCTCCATAATGGTTCTGTTGATTCGTTCGGCCACACCATTATGTTGTGGGGTTCCAGGTACCGTCTTCTCATGCCTGATGCCATGCTCAGCACAATAATTCTTGAATTCATGGGAAGTATATTCACCCTCATTATCCGTGCGAAGACACTTCAAAGGTTTACCAGCCTGTCTCTCTACCATTGCATGAAACCTTTTAAAGCATTGAAAAACTTGGTCCTTCGTTCTTAAGAAGTACACCCACAATTTTCGTGAAGCATCATCGATAAACGTCACGTAATATCTGCTACCACCAAGACTCTCCACTTCCATGGGTCCACATACATCAGAATGAACCATCTCCAAAATATTCTCTTTCAGCTTTGACGTTTTGCTGAAAGACACTCTATGATGCTTGCCGAATAAACAGTGATCACAAGGATTCAACTTTGTATTTTTGGCAAACGGGATAAGGGACTTTCTTGCCAAAATCTGCAATCCTTTTTCACTTATATGAGCCAATCTTTTGTGCCACAAATTTGGCGAAGCATCATCCTCGACTGCATTCAATCCTCCCTTGATCAGCTTTACTTGAGTTTTATACAACGTTGAATTTACTGTGCCTCTAGCAACCAACAACGATCCTTTGGTAAGCCTCCACTTGCCGTTACCAAAATGGCTGTCGTAATCAGCTAGATCCAAAGCATGCACAGAGATCAAATTCAGACGTAGATCTGGCACATGACGCACATCTTTTAGTGTTATTGTGCATCCTGTATTGGTTTGAATGCACACATCACCAATTCCCACAATATCTGCGATACTGCTATTGCCCATCTTTACTTTACCAAAGTCTCCTGCTTTGTACACAGTAAAGAATTCCTTGTGAGAAGTTGCATGATAAGATGCTGCTGAGTCAATGACCCATTCATCACATGAGTCTGTAACTTGACACTCTTCTTCTTCTTCAACAGAGAGTACTACCACATCCCCAGTTGTCACAGGGGATGCAGTATTTTCATCGTCATCCGATCTAGAGTTTCGTCGGTCTTTCTTCTCTCTGTTCTTCCAGGCTTTACAGTTTCTTTTTATGTGCCCTTCTTCACCGCAGTGGTAACACTTGAATTTTCTTCTGGGCTGAGACTGTGACTTATCTCTGGATTTGTTACTTCGTCCTCTGCTCTTACTTCTCCCCCTGTTCTCTGTGACAAGGGCATGAGAACTGCTTGCCCCAGAGTCTTTTCTCCTTGTTTCTTCATTAAACATGCTGTCTTTGACTTGAGACAAAGTCAGTTTTCCTTCAGGAGCAGAGTTGCTTAATGACACCACCAGAGTCTCCCAGCTGTCTGGTAAAGAACTCAAAAGTAACAGCGCCTGCAATTCTTCATCAAGTTTTATCTCCATGGTAACTAGCTGGTTTACCATGTGTTGGAAATCATTCAAGTGTTCTGCAACTGATCTTCCATCTTGATATTTTAAATTCACCAGCTTCCGAATAACAAAAGCTTTGTTTTGTGCAGTCTTCCTCTGATACATTTGTTCAATTTTGTTCCACAGAGTCTGGGCATTCGTCTCTGTGGCAACATGGTGGAATATGCTGATATCCACCCACTGCCTAATTAAACTGACGGCCTTCCGGTGTATCTTTTTCCAATCCTCATCCTTCACGTCTTCTGGCTTTTGATCTCCCTTTTCCACAGGATCATACAGGTCCTTGTAGAAAAGTATGTCCTCCATTTTCGGCTTCCAAATAGAGTAGTTTGTTGCTGTTAGCTTCACCATGGTACCTACGTTCTCTTCCATTTAATTTACACTCGGTGATACAGAGCCCAACTTAAGCTCTGATACCACTTGTTGAGCTCAAATGCGGAATAACTTGGACGTGTAAATTAAAATTCTGACGTAAACTGGCGAGCAATAATTCAGACCTAATAAATAGATCTAGCAGCGCAGCGGTGTAACTTGTAAAGTGTGCACTGAAATACTTCCCAGGAAAGAGAGGTGGATCACAACGGATCACTTAAATACCAGGTCTTTCCTTAGACAGAATCTTTCCAGTTACAACACTAATACAAATACACACTTCTCCAGCAATCCAACAATCAGCCACGGAAGGATAACAAAAATAATTCTTTTCTGATGTGGAAGATCAGACTAAACTGCAACCACAGAGCATACTAAGAATTATTTTTAACTGAATAAAATAAGCAGATAAAGAACACCACTATTTAACGTGGAAAAACCTCCAATGTGGAGGAAAAACCACGGGACAAACTCCGAAAAATATTCCACTATATCTCAGGATATTTACAATATCCTTTCAACACTCTATCACACAAGAGGTGTAAAATATAGTGTACACAGTGAGACCCACTCCTATTCAAATATTACAAATTTTGTAATACCAAGAAGAAATAGAGATGATACCCACCCCAGTGTATTTTTCTCACACTCTTAGGATTTACTCAACACTCTATTTTTTTTTTTTCTCTCACAAACACTCACAATGCTTGATGAAATCTTGTGTGTGTTGCTGCTTGTGCTTCCTTCAATTTCATTTCACGGCTATTTATAGCCAAATAAAGTTACTATTCATTTAATAAAATATTATTAATTGTTTATGAAGTCAAAAAAGGGGCACCGAAATTGAAAATGTGCTGGACCTCACAGGAACAACAGAAATTGCAGTATCTCGAACCAAAGATGGTGGAAGCCTACCGTAAACAACCTGAAAAGGTGTCATCCCTGCAGAAGTCTGATAGGCAGTATTATACCAAAATTCTGCCCATGGCAAGAACTTTAGCCAACAATTAGAACAATAAAAAATAAAACAACAAAGATATATCTCTATGCAACGATTCAACGCCTCAGATTTTCCATCGAGTGATATGTTGTGCTCATGGCCAAGGTAGTACCTTGACATTTGAACAAATGCTGCTAGAAATTACTAGTGAAAGTCTTATCGCGATCTGAAACAATAGACTTTGAAATACCATGTAACTTTACAACATGTTGTGTAAATTGCTCAGCCACTAATGCCCTCGTAAAATTCGTCGTTAATGAAATCAAATGTGCATATTTTGCCAACCTATCAATCACCATCATAATAACAGTATAACCACACATTCGTGGGAGGCATGTTATAAAATCCATAGCAACATCTTATATTTTTTCTGGAATAGGCAAAAGATTAAGCAATCCAATAGGTAAAGAATGAGAAATCTTAACCTGTTGACAAACCTGACATTGCTGAACATAATTATACACCTGATTTTTCATTCCACGCTAATAAAATTGAATAATTAGACGCTGATAAGTGCGTAAAAATCCAGCGTGACCCCCAATTGGAGAATCATGAAACTCCTTAATTAATTTGACAGTGACAAGAGATTGTCCTGGCACAACCAATCGATTTTTCCAATACAAAAGGCCATTCTGTTCACGAAAATTAGGAAAATTTTGACCATTTTTTATACCCAAAAGTATGTTGCGGTAGTAATCATCACTCACAATATGTTCCCTTAAATCAGCAATTAAATTACAATATTGTGTAGAAAATGCAAGGCAATCCATACGTGATAAAGCGTCAGCCCCCACATTTTGCTTACCCGATTTGTATTCAATAACAAAGTCATAACCCATAAGCTTGTGCATCCATTGTTGTTGTTTTGGTGTTTGCAGTGTTTGATCCATTAAAGGCCGCAAACTCTTATGATCAGTACGAATTATGAAATGATAGCCCAATAAATAATGTCAAAACTTGGCTACTGCTTTAGTTATCGCCAACATCTCGCGAACATATGCAGATTTAGATTGCATTCTGGATGAGAGTTTTTTTGAAAAGAAAGCAATAAGATGTCCCTTCTGACTTAAAATAGTACCGATACTTGTACCTGATGCATGAGTTTTCAATTCAAAAGGAATAGAAAAATCAGGAAGAACCAGAATTGAGGCATTTGTAATTGCTTTTTTAAGGTTGTTAAAAGCAGCCTCTGTAGAATCAGACCACAGAAAAGCATCTTTCTTCAAGAGATCATGTAAGAGAGAGGCCAATGATGCATATCCTTTAATGAAGCGACGATAATAACTTGTGAGACCAAGAAAACCACGAAGCTGTTTAAGAGTAGTAGGAATTGGCCATTTAAGTACAGACTCAACCTTGTCAGGATCCACATATACACGAGAAGATGAAATCATATGTCCCAGATAAGCAATCTGTTGTGTACCAAAAGCACATTTGGACAATTTAGCGTAAAGTTTATGGTTTTCCATAACAGACAATACCTATTTTAAATGATGCAAATGACTGACCATAAGGCACTGTAAATGATTATATCATTGAAAAATACCAAAATGAATTTGCGTAAAAAATCTTAAAATACTTGATTCATAAGAGCTTGAAAAGATGCAAGAGCATTCGTCAATTCGAACGGCATCACTAACCATTCATAATGTCCTTGGTGTGTAGAAATGTCATTTTATGCCAATCTTTCGGATTAACCAACAGCTGATGATAACTAGAACGCAAGTCTAATTTTGAAAAATAACAAGCGTCGTGTAATTCATCTAGTTACTCATCAACAGCTGGAATCAGAAAACAACATTTAATAGTGATAGCATTCAATGCTCAAGCGTCGTGTAATTCATCTAGTTACTCATCAACCGTTGGAATCAGAAAACAATCTTTAATAGTAATAGCATTCAATGCTCTGTAATCAGTGCAAAATCGTCTAAGACCCATTTTCATTTTAACCAAAATAACCAAAGATGAAAATGGGCTAGTATTGTGTTGAATCAAGCCTTCCTGTAATAATTCACCAACAATTTTCTCTATTTCAGCCTTGTAACTAAAAGGATACCGGTAAGGTCGAACTTTCACAGGCGGAACATCTGGTAACAATGAAATCGCATGATCATGACTCTGAGGCAGTGGAAGACCACGAGGCTTGTGAAACACAGAAACATACTGCCGAAGAATGTCGACAACATCAGAGGGCGGTGTAGGCACCAAATCCACAAAAGGATCCTCAGCATCAGAAGACATCTGAGAGTGCAATGTGAAAACCGTCGATATGACATCAGTTTGATGTAGACGACGGAGAAGATGATATTGCGCCTGAGTAGCAGAAGGCGACAAGTTGGAGTCCCCTTGAAGAGTAACAAAAACAGAACCATCAAAAAAATTTATTATGAGTTGGCAATAATCCGCAACATGAGGTCCCAACGTCGCTAACCAAGAAGCGACGAGAATAATTTCTGCACCTGAAACTGGCAAAAGAAAAGCAGAAAGATGAATGGTATGAACCTGAATTGAAAGAGGAACCTGTCAAACACGCCCTTCTCATGTCAAATAATGACCATTATCCACCTAAACCTTGAAGTCAGGTGCAAGTTCAATTAGAAGTTTCAAAAATTTTGAACAAACGTTGTTGAATAAAATTATCTGAATAACCACTATCAAGAAGAACTTGAATTCCTATCCAAAAATCAAACCTTTAAATCGCAAGGTTCCAGGACCCGAAGCCCCATTAAAAGCATTATGTGACAAGTGATGGAATTCTGCCACCGATTCTTCAATAACTGGAACAGAATCGTCCGTGACATTTTTCCTGAAGAAGGAAAAGAAATTGTCGATTCAGGCACTGATGGCGAGGTGTGAATTTTTTGCCGCATGTATAACAAAGTCCGCGATCGCATCAGACTTGCATTTCTGTAGCAGTCATTTGCTTAACAAGAGTAGAAGATGAAGGCACTGGTAATGGTAATATTTTCAGAGTTGGAAGTAATCCTGGAAGAGACGAATTTTGTGATGATGGTATTTAATTGCTGCGGCTCTGAACAAAGGATGGATAACGTACTTCTGTGTTATGTGAAACAGGAATGGTCTTAACATCATAAAGTTTTGCCAGTGCCACCGCTCAGACCAAGGAAGTAGGAGATTGAACCAACACTTCCCTCTTCACATCACTTTTGGGGCCGCTAATAAAACAATCCAAAAGTGCAGCATCTGTAAGTCCTTCGACTCTATTTGCCAATGAAGCAAATTCATGATAGTAACCCTGAACCGAATCAACTTGTTGAAGTTTAAACAATGTTGCGCGTGGAGAATCAAATAGAGAATGACCAAAATGCGCTTCAACAGCTTGCACCGGAGCCTGCCAATTTGGAAGGAGATTGGTTCTTTGGAGCATTTGAAACTAGGGTCCAACCACCTTCCATACGGATTGCAACGATAGCCAAGCATTGTGGTTCTGGTGTCTGATAAAGAGCGAAAAATTGCTCAGCAAAAAATAACCAATTCAAAGGTTCTTTGCCATCAAACTTTGGGAAGTTCAATTTCATAGATCGAATAGGCAGATTATTATTATTCAGAGTTCCAAGAGCAGATCATTACGAACTGCGCATTCCAAATTACGCGAAATTGCATCAATGGAAAGCGTAATGATATCCATGGATGATTCTAAACAATCCAAACGAGAAGAATCATGAGAAACCATAAATAAATCTAGTTTATGTTCCAAAACATCAACGCGCAAAGAACTGGCTTGTTGAATCAAAACATGTTCTTAGAGATGTTTTAATTCTGCCGTAATTTTCTTCAAATGAGTATTTTCAGCCATGGGGAGGACACTAAAAGCACCAAATGTTATGGTACTCAGAATCAATCAGTAATTATATAACTGAACAAAAATATATTCTCTAATTTATTATTGAAATAGGAATTACAATAAGAAACTAAGATACAAAATTGAAGAAATCTAAGTCTTAATGACATTGGCCAAAGAACAAGGAAGGAAATAGAGAATACAGAAGAAGTTAACAATACCACACTCCATATAGTTATAACTGAATTATAAATATATCACACCTATTACAGTTATAATAATCATTAATTATTAATCAATAACTTTCACGTTTTGCATTTCTCGCAATTACTACGCCATGGCTTATTCATATTAATTATGTTTCCATTACCGTTTACCACAGGATCCATATCATTATTATTATTATTATTATTATTATTATTATTATTATATAAAAAGTTTAAAAATAAAAGAGGTAAAACGTAAATTTATGAGAAATGGATGTGAGGATATCGTTTTAAATTATTTTTGAAGAAATTCGTAATAAGTCTAAAATTGTCAGTATAATGTAAACTTCAGAAGAGGGAGACAGGCGGGAACGACTTATCTTCCATCCCTCAAATTCTATCCATCCAAAAATATTTTATTAATATAATATATTATTGCTTTGAGAATGAGTTTACAGGAATAATTCATGCAGTTCAGTAAATTTTTTTAGATTTTTTTAATTTTAATATTATAAATAAACAAATATTTTTTATAAATTAATCATTAAATTAAAAATTTTAATCATATAAATATTAACTACAAAATTTAATATTGATTCAAATTATTTAATATTTTATTTGTAAGCATTTAATTTAATGTAATACATACATTTAAAATATGTGAAGATAATGACCATTTGATTGTAATCTTTTAGTTGTTTAATTTTGACAAAATTTGATATAAATAATTAAAAACATAATTATATAACTAGACGAATAAAATTATTTTTATATTAAATTATTAATAATATAGGAGTGAAATTTTTTATCACATAAATTATAACTGCAAAAAATAATATTATTTTAAAAGTGTTTGATATCTTATTGATAAGCATTTAATTTAATATAATATATATTTAAAATATATGAAAATAAAAAAATTAATAATAATGTTTTAATTATTTAATTTTAACAAAATTTAACATAAATAATTAAAGTAATATAATACAATAAATAATTAAATTGATAGAATATAATTTTTTATTAATTTATTAATAATATAAAAATGAATAAAATGTATATCGGTGTCATCTTATCCTATTATTTATGTTTTTAAACGTAGAAACATTTTATGTGGTAAAGGTTTGGATGTGATGGCAACTTCAACGTTTATAGCATGTTTTATGATAACGTATAGCGTGTTGGCACTTAAAGGAAGCAAGAAAAACTCAGACCACAGGGGTCCAACTCAATCTATCCTTTGCCCATAAGCATATGCTTTATTCTCAAACCTGAGTAATACATACCACATGGATATTATCTTTAATTCAAATTTATTTACTTTAAATAATTAATAATTATAATATTTTATTTAAATATCGTAATTTATTATATTTTAATAATTTGAATATAATTAAATATTTTTTAATAATAATGTCTTATTTTAAAATTCTTAAACTCGATTTTAAAGCTTAAAGTTAACCGAACTTTCTTTTTTCCTCTTTTAATATGTTGCTCTAATGTAATGATAATCATAAATTTTATGATGAAAATTGTTATATCCTTTCTACAAATATATTAATTTCACTTGAAATATAAATGAATGATTGAAAAAAATTAACAAATCACCATAGACAAGCATTGCGTGAACGTAACAAATATTCATATTTTTTTAACTAAATGGTAAGTTCAAATGTTAAGTTTTACGTTTTACATTATTATAATTTTTTCTTCGAGGCCAATGCTAAAAGAATTTAATATTTAATATTTTATTTTAATTTATTTTTTAATTTGTTCTTTCTTCTGCCAAAAACTCATATTTAAGAGTTAAAAGTTATTAAAATTGTAATAATAAATTTCTTTCTCTTCTCTTTAAAATATGTCTTTACGAGGAAAAAAAAACAGTTACTACAATATTTTCGTTTATGAAATTATAAAAAATATTTTGTAGCTTTTAAAATCACTTGAGTTTAATTATTTTAATATTTGAAATTATGAAAAAAATCAAAATAATAAAATATTAATTATTTTAGCAACTAAAATTATAAATATCATTTAATTTATAATTTTATTAACTAAATTTTGTTATTATAATTTCAAGACTTAGTCAAGTGGATTGCAATTTCCAACTTTAGAACAAGGGAGAGGCTATTTGCTTTTCATACATGTTTGTTACTACTCCAATATAAATATTATTTTTTTAAAATGTACTCGTTTTATTATTTGTGATTAATGAACTCACAGATATATGTAATTTTATGCATTAAAGTAAATATTTTTTTAATTTTAAGAACTAAAATATTTATTAGTAATAATTTCAAAGATTATATTTTTTCATAATTTCCAAAATTAAATAAGTAAATGCTAAAATGATGCATTACTAATAATCTCTGCGTTTAGAAAAAAAATGATGCATTACTAAAGAAAATTACAGAGTTTCAAGAAGAAGAAAAGTTATAGAAAGGAATTTATCTTTCATGTTTAAGGTTATATTGACTGCTTCATTTTTTTACATGTCCAACTTGAAAAATTTGAAGGCATGCATCATATGCATAGAAACTAATACATTACAAACGTACTAGACATGAAATAATTTCTCACCGATCTTATAAATGACTCTAACACACTATTCAATAGTTATATTTCTTTTGATGAATCTGAATAATTGAACTATAAAAGCACAAGTTCGGAATGAGCTAGAGGTTGCTGGAGAGAGGATCTGAGGAGAGGATGAAATTTGGATTTTTGAAACTTTTGTCCAACACCGTCCATAAATGCCCTCAGATTCTTTTCCGAAGAGCCACCTTCCTTGGCAGCTTCCCTAGCCAAACCCTTCCATTTCTTTGCATTCATTCTCAACTCATTCCCTTTCTCTCCGCTCTCCATCACCACTTTCAAACACTCCTTAATTTCCTTTCCTTCCACTGTCCCTTCTTCGTTCACTAGAAGATCCACCCTCACCCCAACCTTCCACACGTCTTCAATTAGCTTTGCACTAGTCTTCTGATCCATCCACTGAGGAAACGCCACCATAGGAACCCCACAAACAAGGCTTTCCACGGTCGAATTCCACCCACAGTGTGTCAGAAAACAACCCACCGAACCATGTGCTAAAACCTCCACCTGAGAGCACCATGTCACTATCTTCCCCCTCTTTCTCAACTCCTCTCCACAGCTCAGCTTATCCGCTTTCTCTTTCTCTCTAAGGACCCACACAAATGGACTCCCACAATCCAATAACGCACGTGCAATTTCCTCCATTTGCATCCTAGACAACTCAAAGTAACTCCCAAACGACACATAAACCACCGATTTTTCTGGCTTTGAGTTAAGCCATTCAACACAATCATCTGAAACAGGGAATAAGTCACCACCAAATGAAGTATCAGATGGATCTTTCCCATCTACGAAAGCAGAAGGTAGCAACGGCCCGATGGGAATCATGTTGAACCCATCAACGGCCCTCAACGCCTCAGCCTCCAAAGCCTCAAAAGTGTTCACAAGCACCGTTGGCTTGGCCTCCAAGTCAAGCTGTTGAATCTGCTCTTCAAACGACCGAAGAACGTAAGAAAACACACTCGACTTCCACACCAACAAAAACGACGGTATGTCATGGGCAGATAGCAAAAACGGCAATCCAGGAAGCGCCATGGAGCACAACGAATCCTCTTTAGTTTTGTCGTTTATGCAATCAGCATAGCCGTGAAAGTAATAATAAAAAATATCCAACACCGTGGCAGGTTCAATCCACAGCATCGCCGAGGGGAGGTTAAATCCACGCGCCACCTTTGGTGCCCAAGGAACAAGCAAGGTGTAGGTTAAACACGTGAAAGGGCGACCCTCGTCGGCACTAGAGACTATGAGACTGGTTACGAACTCGGAGCCATGACGCTCGAGTTCTGACATGTAGAACATATAACCGGCTTCATCGTCGACGGGGGTGTAACCGGCGTCGAAGCCGTCGGAGAAAGGAAGGAAGGAGAGGCCAGGGATGGTGATTTTGTTGGTGACGCGACGTTGCATGTGGAGAGTGATGGGAATGGTGACGTGTGCGCCCATAGCAATGAGACGCTTAGCGAACTGGAGTGCAGGGTTAATGTGACCATGTGCAGGGAAGATAATGAGGAGGAAGTGCATGCTGTGATGATCGATGGAGTTAAATGCCGCACTCTTTGCCTTATTATAGACGTTTTGGCGCCGGTTTTTTTTTTTCTAAAACTGATTTAATTTTTAGAACTATGTTATATAATTTTCTTAAAAAAATAGTTTTTAAAATTGATTTTGTACTGGGTAAGAACACTGCTCAATGTTATCAAGAGAAATCTAAATACTTTTTAAGCCTAACATAAGGACAGATATTCTTCCGATCATGTTAAAATAAATTAATAAAAATGATTTACGAAACTAAAATAGATAATATTAGATAAGATATTATTAGTTTATTATGATAAAAAAAGAATTTGAATAACTCTTCAACCTAACTTAAGAAAAACATCTCTCCAGTCATACTAAAATAAATTAATAAAAATAATTTAAAATATTAAAATAGATAATTATTAATTATTTATTTAATAAAAATAAAGTGTCATAAAGTCTATTAGTTTAATATTATATTTATAAAAAAAATAAAAAAATATAAATAATAATTAACTTATAAATAATAAATAATATTTATTATCTAAACCGACATTTAACTTTACTGTGAAAATATCTTTTATAAGTATTTTTAATGTTATAATAAAAAAAATTAAAATATTTATATTTAACGTACTTAGAATACTATGTCAGAAAATAGAAAAAGGGATTACAAAAAATAAATATATTATTAACAGAAACAGGTTTCAAATAATATTTTTTATTAAAAAATACTTTACCGACAAAAGAAAGTTCCCTCTGTGTCATACTCGGTGCTGTGAGAGGAGAATTGGACGAATAGCAACGACGCATGCAGGGGAAAATGAATTTCGGTTAACTTGCTACACTTAACAAAGGTCATGAGAGTCAATTTCTTTCATTTTTAAAAAATAAGAATTTAAATCAAATAAAATATTTATAAAACTAAATCATGAAATACTCGTGTTTCAGCGTCCTTAATTAGACCCTTTTGGCACCTACTACGTCACGACAACAATTTTGTAATGGTGCAAAAGATTAAGTGGCTTTTATTGAAATATTTATATTATGCGAAAATTAGTTGGGTTTATTAATTCAAATGGTTTTACAAACAAAAATGTGTTACAATAATGGTTTTATTATTTCACGAAGCTATTTTTCGAGACACGTGTGATGTTAACATGTCAGCCAATTATTGATGAGGGAAGAAGGAAAATTATTGATGCTCGATAGAATCATAAACGAACAACCGCTGCCGAGAGCAAGGATGGATTTAGAACTTACGTGAAGGGAGATCATTTTTTTTTATTGCATATATTATACTTTTTATGTATACTAAAGCACTTTAATTAAAACTTAATTATTTATTAGTTTTATATAATTATTGTTTCCACTGGGACTCCCTCACTCTCCAATCCATTTCCTTGTAAAGACGATAATTAATGTTGTCCCTCCTTTTTCTTAATCTTTTAACTATTTGAATACTGCTCCTCTCCTCTTCATAGGCAAGGCATTCCATCACTTTACTTAACTCTTAGTTGCCTATATTTCTTTCCTTAGGACTTACTTTTTTTATATTTTTAATTAAAATTTTCTCTTTTACCTTTATCGTTTATTGCGTTTCTGATTATGACTTAAATGTATTTTTTATCTCTATAAAATTAGTTAATTTTGTAATAAATTTTTATAAATTTTTTTGTTATAATTAAGTCTCTAAAATATGAATACACTCAAATGACATGTTTTATATTGTCACACCATTTATTTTTTAATATTTACAAACAAATCTTTAAATACATTATAAATATTTACAAACAAGTTCATCTCTTCATCCTCTTTCCTCTCCCTAATAACACCACACGTTAAACCCACGTCAATATTCTCGTGCAAAGCTCACATGTCTCCCTCCTCCCATTGAAGCCTTGCATGGAGCCTCAGAATAAATGTTTTCTGAATTGTGGCAAGTTATAAGTTTGAAACCTGATGAAAGTACATTCGTTAGCTTGCTCAAGTGTTATTCTTCATTGGAAGAGGTGAAACAAATTTAGTATTTATATCTGTATAAAACTTTTCTTTCATCTTGATCTTTTGCTTATCTTTCGCCTAAAGTGGGTAAAACGTGTGCTGATAAGTCCTTTGTATGAGGCCATGACTCATTCGCTTGACAGAAAGAGGAGAGGAGAGAGAATAATAGAAGCAGAAGTTAAAGAAAATAGATATATTTATAAATATTTAAAATACGTTTAATAATTTATTTATAAATATTTTTCATTTTAAATAGTAAAATATTAAATAATTAAATAATATAATAAATTAATAATATATCACGTTAGAGTATTGACTTAATTTTCTTTCGATCATCTCAAAATATAATTGAGAGAAGCTGACAATATCGATTAAATTTTAATTTTTTAACATTTTATATACTAAATTCTTAAAAAAATATAAAAAATTATTACAAAATATGATATCACTAAGATATCACAAAGAACAAAATTATATTTATAATATCATTAAGATATATAATTGGTTCCTGAGTGTAAGGGAACTAACGAGCACAGAAACCTAACCTAAAGAGACATGGTTTTCTAACCGGAACAGAAGTGGCACGTGGTTACTTTTATGAAAATAATATTGTAGCCTTTGGATCTTTATCCAGATTCCCTTCATTCCCTTCCCAGCCAGGTATAAAGGCAATATACTGACTCCACATAATAGATAACAAATAAATAAATTATTTACTACTTAAATTATTATATTAATTTTTCATAAATAAAATTTCATCATTTCATTCAAGATAAAATTAATTATTTATCTTTAGATTTAATTTTGAGCAATTAATTATAATAAAAATACAAAAAACAATAATTGAAACAAAAAATAACCTCTGTGGGTCACATATGACATAAACTGGCACTAATTGCCCCTGCTACCCCTTCAATTGTCAAATGTCAATGTTCTATTCATGGACAAAGATACGAAGCAATAAAAAAAATAGAAAAAACACACTCGGCACGAAATCTCGTTCCACTGGCTAACAATTCAATTATTGTTCTAAAGCATGCAACCTTCTTTCTCCAACGCCATCAAGAAAAGTCTTTAGATTCATCTCTGAAGGACCACCTTCCTTGGCTGCCTCCTTAGCCACGCCCTTCCATTTCTTGGCATTCACTCTCAACTCACTCGCTCTCTCTCCGCTCCTCATCACCACTTCCAAACACCTCCAAATTTCCTTTCCTCGTACAATGCCATCGTCATTCACTTCCTCATCTACCCTCACTCCAATCTTCCACACATCTTCTATTAGCTTTGCATTGGTCCTTTGGTCGGACCACTGAGGAAATGCCACCATAGGGACCCCGCAAACCATGCTTTCCATGGTCGAATTCCAACCACAGTGCGTCACAAAACACCCCACAGAACCATGTGACAGAACCTCCACTTGAGAACACCATGTCACTATCTTCCCTTTCTCTTCCAATTCCTTTCTGTGCCTTAAGTCCTCCACTTCTTTCTCTTTTTCTCTTATGACCCACAAGAATGGACACCCACAATCTAACAACGCTCGTGCAATTTCCTCTGTTTGTCTCCTAGATAACTCAAAGTAACTCCCAAAGGACACATAAACCACAGATAACTCTGCCTTTGTGTCAAGCCATTCAACATAATCTTTTGAAAGTGGGAAAAGGTCACCACCAAAAGAAGTATCAGATGGATCTTTTCCATCCAAGAAAGCAGAAGGAATCAACGGCCCGATGGGGATCATGTTGAACTTATCAACGGCTCTTAAGGCCTCAGCTTCCAAAGCTTCAAAGGTGTTCACAAGTATTATAGGGTTGGCTTCTAAGTCAAGCTGTTGAATCTGTTCTTCAAACAACGGAAAAACAAAAGACAACACACTCGATTTCCACGCCAATAAAAACGACGGTATGTCACGGGGTGATAGCAAAAACGGCAATCCAGGAAGTGCTATGGAACGCGAAGAACCCTCTTTAGTTTTGTCGTTTATGTAATCACCGTAACCGTGAAAGTAGTAATAAAGGATATCCAACACCGTGGCGGGTTCAATCCACAGCATCGCCGAGGGGAGATTGAACCCACGCGCCAGCTCTGGTGCCCAAGGAACGAGCAAGGTGTAAGTTAAACAGGTGAAAGGGCGACCCTCACGTGCACTAGAGAGAATGAGATTGGTGATGAAGTGAGAGACGCGGTGCTTGAAATCGGACACGTAGAGGTTGAAATCGGAATCGGTGCCGTGGATGGCGTTGAAACCGTCGTCGTGGCCGTCGGAGAAAGGGGCGAGGGAGAGGCCAGTGATGGTGGTTTTGTTGGAGATGCGACGGTGCATGTGGAGAGTGATGGGAAGTGTGACACGTGCACCCATGGCAATGAGTCGCTTGGCAAATTGGAGTGCAGGGTTTAATTGGCCTTGTGCTGGGTAGATTATGAGGAGGAAATTGTGTTGGATCGTGGTGGCCCTTAAACTAGTCAGGTTCATACTCTAGATGTGATAGTGGACTCCAATGGGGCTACATGCCATATAAACATAACTTCCCCAGTTGCATTTTTTACCATAAAAACTTTATTATTAAATTTATTTACCAAATTATTATCATTTTATAATTAATTTCTAAAATTAATAAATTTAATCATATTTTTTTAAAAATAACAGTATATAAAATATGACACATGTTACGTTATGATTGCAAATTTATCAAGAAGTTGTAAATTAAAATTTTGACCATTTTTTTTGTTAGGTTTCCTCAAAACACAGGCACATATTTATAAATATTCAAATAATTTAACGGCTTATTAAATAGTTAATCTTGTGACTTGATCCTTATTTGCAAATTTATAATTAGGCCTATGTAGTTAAAGTCTAATTAAAACTAAATCAATACTAACTATACTTAAGAAGTTATACATAAATTTTGTTTTTTTCTCTGGACGAATCTATGGCAAATAAGACATCATTATTGTGTCGACACGCAAATAATTCATGGAGTCGGTGCACTTATCTATCAACTAATATTAATAGCAACTCACAAGATTAAGACATTACATTTTAACTTGTAAAATTCTAATAAAAATTCAACTAAACTTCGGCACCCTGCAGTAATATAATATATAGACGAAAAGAAAAAAGAAATGCAAAGTTAGCCACCGAAAGTCTAAATTTCTAGAGCTTGAATTGTTGCAACATTGTAAAGTAAGATTAATGTCTAATGACGAGTAATATTATTTTTAAGATACGCTTTGACCCCAAATTCATACAATTTGATTAGCATAAAGTGGGTCCTATGGCTTGATGGATGAAGGGCCAAGTAGGGAGACAGGAACAGACACTAGTCGACAAATGACAGAGGATAGGAAAATTCAGATACGATCAAACTCATTTTACAGCCACATGGATATGTTCCTGATCAACGTCATCCAGAAAAGCCCTTAGATTTTTTTCCGAAGAACCACCTTTCACAGCTTCCTTGGCCAAACTTCTCCATTTCTTTGCATTCTCCCTCAATTCCTCTCCTTTTTCTCCACTTCCCATAACCACTTCCAAACACTTGCTAATTTCCCCGCTTTCCACTATCCCTTCCCCATTCACCTGAATATCCACTCTCACCCCTATCTTCCACACGTCTTCTATTAGTTTTGCATTAGTCTTCTGATCCGTCCACTGAGGAAACGCCACCACAGGAACCCCAGAAACCATGCTTTCAATGGTCGAATTCCACCCACAGTGTGTCACAAAACAACCCAAAGAAGGATGTGACAAGACCTCCACTTGAGAACACCATGTCACTATCTTCCCCTTCTCTTTTAATTCCTCTATGCAGCTTAGCTCCTCCTCTTCTTCTTCTTTAACTTTAATTCGTGACCTTTCTTTCTCTCTAATAACCCACAAAAATGGACGTCCACAATCCAACAACGCACGTGCAATTTCCTCCATTTGCTTCTTAGGCAACACAGCAAAACTTCCAAACGAGACATACACCACTGACATCTCTTCTTTTGAGTCCAACCATTCCAAGTAACCATTTGAGAGGTGAAAGATGTTGCCACCAAACGAAGTATCAGAAGGATCTTTCCCATCCAAAAAAGCAGAAGGAATCAACGGTCCGATGGGGATCATGTTGAACTTATCAACGGTCCTCAAGGCCTGAGGTTCCAATTCTTCAAAGGTGTTGACAAGTATTGTGGGGTTTGTTTCCCCGTCAAGATCATTAAGCATCCCTTCAAACAGTGAAACCCATAGAGGGTCAAAAGTTGGGTCCGAAGCCAATAAAAATGAAGGTAGGTCACGGGGTAGCAATGATGGCAGTCCTGGTAGTTCAATGGAACACGAGGACGAGGACTCTTTTATTTTGTCAGTGATGTAGTCACTGTATCCATGAAAGTAATGGTAGAAAATGTCAAGCACTGTAGCTGGTTGAGGCCACAGCAACGCGGTGGGGAGGTGAAATCCACGCGCCACCTCAGCGGCCCAGTTAAAGAGTGGAGTGTAGAGTAAACAAGTGAAAGGGCGACCCTCTTCCGCCTGAGAGAGTATGAGATTGGTGACGAACTCGGAGCCCAAGCGCTTGAGTTGGGAGACGAAGAGGATGAAATCGGCGTGCTGGGTGGCGGTGAAACCGTCGTCGTAGCCGTCGGAGAAGGGGAGAAAGGAGAGGGAAGGGAGGGTGGGTTTGTTGGTGATGCGACGGTGCATGTTGAGGGTGGTGGAGATAGTTACATCTGCTCCAAAACCTATGAGTCGCTTTGAGAGATTGAAGGCTGGGTTTATGTGGCCTTGTGCAGGGAAGAGTAAGACGAGGAATCGCATGGTGCCGATGACGCGTTATGGAAGCCTGAACTTGCTTCTTCTCCACAGGGGACACTCAATTCGATAGCATAGCCTATTAATACCATGCCACTTCCCTACTAATGACTTCATGAGAGTCGTTCGAATTTGGCAATCCAATTGACACAAAACTAACACATGTTTATCTTTATTTATATTTTATTATTCTTTTTTTTTCAGTTTTTTAAGTTTAATTTAAGAAGGTAAAAGACTAAAAGCAGTATATTTTAATTGATAATATTATTTATTATATGGAGTTCTTTTAACTCAGTTTTAAAATTTTAAGTTATCATTTTTCTATTTTCATATTTTTTAATCACGTTATTAATTATTTTTCTTACTTTTATCTCCCTTCCTTCTCAACCGTTTCGTAGAAAAAAATGAAAGGTTACTATTAAATTTCCACACATAGACAATGACTGTTGGTTTGTGACGTTTGAGGTGACGAATATGTGGCGGTCTTCTGTTTGGATAGGTGTTTAAGCTCGACCTTTTTTTTAATTACTATAAATTATTATTATATGTAATGTTCAATATTCGTATATTTTTATTTATGTATTTATTTAAAAATATATTTTAAATATAAAACATAACTAAAACTGTTTAAAATTAATGATACATGAAATTTTTTTCTAGCTTTTAGGAGTTAAATTAGGGCTTTTTTGGGTCATATAGTGCATAGACCATTTTAGTCTTTTATTCACTTTGTTTGGTCGAGCGGAAAGGAAATGAAAATGAAGAAAGTTGTAAAATTTAAATAAAAAATATAAATTCAATGTTTTTATAATTTTTCTTCTTCAATTAAATAAAAATACATTATTATTTTTCTCATCCAAATACATTTTCAAAGAAAAATTCATTATTATAAATAATTGAATATATATATACATATATATATATATATATATATTAATTACATCTAGTGATTTAGGATTGATTTTATTGAATGTAAGACCTGTATAATTTCATAAATTTTAATACATTTTTGCCAAATACAAATAATATGAGTATAATAAAGATTTTATCATTAATATTTTCCTAGTAAATTTTGGGTAGGAATTAGAAAAATCTGCAATTATTAATTTTAGAGAACATTGGCGAATGTTTGTACAGCTAATTCTATAGATTTAAATTCTTTAAATATCAATATGAAAAAAGAGAAACTTCACGGGGAAAAAGAATTAATTTTGAATATTCGGGAATCCTTGCCTTCTTTTATGTTGACAGCCAAAGAAACAAAACTGTTAGATCCCCTTCAATGTAAAATCTAAAAAAAGATGTAGGAGAATTGAATTTGCAAAATACAAAACAAAAATAATATAATTTTATCAAGCGATATAATTCAAGGAATCTCAGTTGTTGAATATAAAACGTATACTCTCTCGTGTTAAATTTTCAATCGAGAATCTGAACGCATTTTGACCTAATTGACAGAGTTGAATTTAATTTCTTATTAGAATGTTAAACCTTTTTTTTTTACAATGCATTGGATTTTTAACATTGAGACGTCAATTTTTAGCTTATAAAAACGAAAAATGGAGTTCTTAGTATATCTTATTTCATTAATCATAAAAAACACTAAAAATATTTTTTGAAAAATAAGTTGTTTCTAAAACTAACTTATTTTTAAAAAAATATCTTGAGTTTAGTGAAAGCTGCCGTTGCAGTGTTTGCGTTGAATGATTGAATCCGTGGACTGTGACAATAACATTTTCAAAATGAAATTTGTTACGAAAAACAAAACATGAAAAATAACGAAACAGTTTTATACTAATATCTCTTTAATTTCTGGTCAAATTTTATTTTATTATTTATACTAATTATATTGAGACACTAAACAATTGTTGAATTCGTGCCAAAAAAAATTGGAACTATTTAGCATTTCTCTTTTGAAAATTCAGCCCCGCGCGTCTCATATTCTCGACGAAGGGACCCTCTGCACTCGTAAAAGCGACTGCAGAAGGGCAAGTTGCAACAAAATCGAAGGGCTCAAGTCTGTTTACTATTTGTTTCTTCAGCAATGACTATGATTAACCAGTCAGAAAATCCTGTTTGATTATTAAATTTTTGCATATCGCTTTCCCTTTGTTTTAATGATTATTGTTAGAAAGTTTATCCATTGTTGCACTTGTTGATACTGTTGGCATTACTTTTACTAGGATAAAACCTCAATGAACTTGGAAATGTTCTAATCATTATTATTAGCTTTAAATGATGCAAAGTTTTGAGCGATTTGTTGATACACCACCAAACTTTGTTACTTTGTTTGATAGATCATAGCTAGTGTTTAATTTATAGAGCTGTGAGGGAGCAGACATTTGTCTCTACTCCCTGTTAAAACGTACATATGACTGTACTTATGTATGATAAACATATGCATACGTGTTACAAGAGACCAATTCATTTTTCAGTAGTACACATATTTATACTGATATAAACTACGCTCCAGCAACACTCAGAAAAGCCCTGAGATTTTTTTCCGAAGAGCCACTTTCCTCCACAGCCTCCCTAGCCAAACCCTTCCATTTTATGGCATTCCTTCTTAATTCCTCTCCTTTCTCTCCACTCCCCATCACCGCTTCCAAACACCTCCTAATTTCATCTCTCTGTACTAACCTTTCCTCGTTCACTCGATGATCCACCCTCACCCCTATCTTCCACACATCTTCTACTAGCTTTGCATTAGTCTTCTGATCTGCCCACTGAGGAAATGCTACCACAGGCACCCCACAAACCAAGCTTTCCATGGTCGAATTCCACCCACAATGCGTCACAAAACAACCCAATGAAGGATGTGACAAAACCTCCAATTGAGAACACCATTTCACTATCTTCCCCCTCTTCCCCAACTCCTCTCTACAACTCAGCTCCTCCTCTTTCTCTTTTTCTCTAATGACCCACAAAAATAGACACCCACAATCCAATAACGCTCGTGCAATTTCCTCCATTTGCACCTTAGACAACACACACCAACTACCAAATGAGACATAAACCACCGTTTTCTCTGCCTTCGAGTCCAACCACTCCACGTAACCATTTGAGGGAAGAAAAATGTCAGCACCAAATGAAGTGTCACAGTGATCCTTCCCATCCAAAAGAGCCGAGGGAATCAATGGCCCGATGGAGATCATGTTGAACTTATCAACGGCCCTCAAGGCCTCTGGTTCTAATGCTTCAAAGGTGTTAACAAGTATTGTTGGGTTTGTTTCTTCGTCAAGCACACGAAACTGCTCTTCAAACAACGAAACCATCGAAGAGTAAGCACTTGGGTTTGAGCCCACTAAATACGAAGGTACGTCACGGGGTGCTAGCATCAATGGCAACCCCGGTAATTCTATCAAACCCGAAGGCTCTTTTGTTTTGCCATTGATGTAATCTCCGTATCCGTGAAAGTAATAGTAGAAAATATCCATCACCGTGGCTGGTTGAACCAACAACAACGCTGTCGGGAGGTGAAAACCACGCGCCACCTCAGCAGCCCAAGGAAGAAGAGGGGTGTATACTACACAAGTGAAAGGGTTCCCCTCCTCCGCGCTCGAGGCTATGAGGTTGGTCACAAACTCGGAGCCCAAGCGCTTGAGCTCCGCCGCGTAGACGGAATAATCGTCAACGCCGGTGGCGGTGAAACCCTCGTCGTAGCCGTCGGAGAAGGGGAGAAAGGAAAGGGTATGGAGGGTGGGTTTGTTGGTTATGCGACGGTGAATGTTGAGGGTGGTGGAGAGGGTGACATGTGCGCCTAAACTAGCAAGTCGTTTTGCAAACTGAAAGGCAGGGTTTATGTGACCCTGTGCCGAATTCACTACGAGGAGAAAGCGGTGGCGGAGCATGGCGGTGCACGGTGATAATAGTGTTTTTCAATGGAGGGATGACTTAAGAGTGGGAAATGTGTGCGATGTATTTATGTATAGGGTAGGGGTTCCGTGGGACCCGTTTAGGGTGACGTTGACTTGAGATTGTGATAGTCTTCTACATTTCGGTCATTTTCATTCATCTTTTTATTTATTTATATTAACATAAATACAATTAATTAAATTTTTTCATGATGTTAAACTAATTTTAATAGAAGTTGTGTTTTTATTGTTATTTTAATAGTTTTGTTGATTATATATCTAAAACAGTCGTTAGAAAATGATAAGTGAAAAATACGATTGCTGAAAATTATAATTCCAATATTAATAATATATTAGATATGGTTCTTATTATAAAGAATTTAATTTATTAATTTCTTTGCAACACATTTAAGACAACGGATAGTAAAGATTTTGTTTTAATGTACACGTGTACTATACATTGTTATCTTATTTTATACTAAAACGTGTTAAAATATTACATTTATCTCTAATTATTAACGTAAATGGAGTTCTATGCTAGCTAATGCAGTCTCAATTTGATGGCATATAAGTTGCAACTTGACTTAGGCCTATCTTTAATAAATAAGTATGAAAAATGAAAAACAATGAAACGAACTTTTTGTAAGTTTTAAGAAAACTGTGTGCTTAATCATCCACTTTTAATGAAATTTAATATTTTAGTAAATAATTTTATGAAAAATAAATTAATCGATTCAATTTATATAAATTGAGTAAAAATTAAAATTTTAGAATAAAAAATTGACAAGGGATTAAATTTATTAGATTTTAAATATAAAATAATTAACTTAGACAGAAATAAAATCGCACGAAATCCAAATTCAAAGGAGTAAGAATTCAATGAAAACTAAAAAAATAAAAAATAAAATTCAAAATCAACCATAATGACCTACCCATTCAACTTGACTCGGGGTCTAACTTATAAGTTGACGAAGACTTGTATTGGTTTGTGCATTGTGACGTTTTAGGTAACGATTCTGTCTTCATTCCACTTCGTTCATTTTTTACCCTAAGATTATTAAGATAACCGAGACATTATTTAAAATGCACAAATAAGAAAATGAAATGATATGTACGGATCAGATAAATACGGACTAAAACTGTAATTAATTGATTTTTCATTTTAATTTTTAAACGATAAAATAATTTTTTAAGTTTTATTTGAGAATTTGAGTAGAGCGAAAAATAAAAGATAAAGAAAAAAAAAAGTAGAAAAAAGTTAAACTCTTCATTTATTTAAATATTAAATATGAAAAAGAAAGATTGACAGAAGATTAATGATGTAAACGATATTATTGTATTTTATATATTTTATTTATATATATTTAAAAAATATATAAAAATTAAATATTTTTTTTCTAAAAATTAATATATTTTAAAATTATCACTCTAAAAATATATTTATTTTTTTACGAGTTTTTAAAAAAATATTACTCTAAAAATTAATATATTTTGAGTAAAAATTAATTTATTGCTATTATTTTTTCTAGTTGTTTTAAAAATACACAAATTATTTATTTTCCTCCCTCTAAAATTAATATTTTTTAAATTTATATTTCTATTTTTTTATATTTTAAAAAAATCTCATTCTAAAAATTAATATTTTAAAAAATTATTTTTTAAAAATTGACATCAAACTTTTTTTATTCATTTAATAATTAATATAAAAATTATTTAATAAACTAAAAAAAACCTAAAAATTGAAGAACTTACAAAATCAAAGTTATAAGAATTTTAGAGTTTAAAAAAAATTCTCTAATTCTTCTCCTCCAAAATAATTAATTTCCAAACAACAATTAAATCCTTTTAACTCATTCATTCTTCTTCCCTTTTCTCTTAAACATAACTCTCAAATAAACCTAAAATTTCTAACGTGAATTATTATATTAAAATTAATTGATGGACCTTGTTATCCTACACGTTGAGTGTCTCATAAAACTCACCTAACATAACTCGGTTTGCTCATTTTTTAAAGAATAAAATTGAATAAATTCTAAAATATCTATTCTTCTTCAACTTCCTCAAATTACAATTTGAAAAACCTATAATCTTTAAAGTGCAATTGACAATAAAACTTTATAATTTTCAAAATTCATTTGCTAAAAGGTTGGTTAATGCTTCAGATGTTTCTCAGTCTATACTGTTTAAAAGTAATACCACGTTAAGTGACGATTTCACCTTTGACATCACCAAGGGATAAGCACTAATAATTGCTCCCATTATCAACTTAAAAGTATCAAAATAGACAAAAAGATATTTACAAAATAGCTCTAATAACAACATGATTTCGCACATGACTTGGTAAATGTTTTTCTGGTTTGGTAGGTGGCCATGAAGGTGTTGGGGTGAAGTGCATGACCCCTTTGCTTGTGCAATGGATGGTTAACTATATAGTCATTGCAGAACTGAAAAAGACATTGCCTGGGCTCGTTGGGGATTCAGAAGTCATCGGGGGTGGTCTCAACCAAACTAAGCGGCTTCTCAGCATAGTTTACTGTTTAACTTTAGCCTCTCAGCAAAAATTGGTATTTGACTTGTGGGTGAAGGTTTTAAATAACTAAACAAATGGTCCATTTGAATGGGAATTCACCATAAGAACTTGCACGTTGATAAATAGATAGACATTAATGAATATTGCCATAAATAAAAATTGTTTGTCAAAATTTTAAAATAACAATGATTTTTTTTATGAACATTAATAAGAACAACACTTTTTATATTAGTTGTTTTAAAAAATAATATAGAATATGTACATTTTTTTACATAAGTTAGTCGATGCAAAATATTCTTACTTGTTACATTGTTTTTATTTGTATCAATTTGCCAACAAATATCAACATTCATTTTTAATTGATGTAAAAAAATTTATTTTATGGGTAAAAATAATAATATTTTAGCTTTTAAATCCCTAAAATTTATTGTTTTTAATAATAAATTAAACATTGAGTTTAGACACCTTTCAAATTAAATTTATAAATTTTGAATGTCTCTTACAAATTATTTCTATAAAAAGGTTTAAATTTAAAGTTTAATTTCTCGTACCTTAAAATTAAAATTTTAAATATAGTTTACGTACAAAATTATTATACCAAATTAGTAAAGGATGAGAAAAAATTTTCGTACAAACTTGTCTCCAATGGCTTACATAATCTGAAATTCAACACAATATATTATTCAATAATAACATAATTCAGCGATTTAAAAAAATAGTAATGAAAAAGGTTATAAAAAATAAAAAATAAGTTAAAAATTTAAAATATCACATAATTAATACTTAATAAATATATAATCATGTTAATTAATTTAAAAATTTAAAAATATATAAATTTAATTGTAATTTTTAAATTATGAGGACTTAATTAAAAATTTATAAAAATTATAAAGATTAACAAATTAATTTAATTTATACAAATTTAATTAATGTCATTTATAAAATAATTAATAAATTTGATATATATATATATATATATATATATATATATAGTATTTTAAATATTTTAATAAGCAAGAGAATTCTTAGATTGCGTATATCCCGAGAAATTAAACTAGTATAAAGAAGCGAAAAAATGAAGTGCAGATCCCAAAAGAGCCCAAGTTTCCCGCCAAAAGGAACGCCTTGTTCCCGCCATAAAGAACCGCACATATATATATAACCATAGCGCCAAGTTTTACAGTTTGAGAGCGCAGCGACAATGGACTCGCGCAAACGTAAACACCCTTCTGCAACACTCACCCGCAGCAGATCACAACGCTTTCTTCACCTGAACCGCTACGGTCTCGCTCCGAGAATGGAGAAACCCTACACCGAACTCGTTCCCTTTCTTGGTAACGGCAACGGTTACAAGAAAACGAAGCGTGATGATGACGACCATCCTCGCATTCTCACTAAGGACCTTCGTGCCAGGCGAGTTTATTCACCTCCACAATCCAATGCCTCCGAATTCATCATTAGTGCGTTTCCCAAGGGGAGTACCGGCGATTCAGGTTGCACGGATCGGCAAATCGCTGAGTTAGGGTTTGGATCGTCACCGAGCGCGGGAAACAGTGATGCGAAGATCCAAGCTGCTGAGAGTCCTGATTTGGGGATTTCTAGCAAGGCTGGGAGTTTGGACCGGGGAACGTCTGATGCGTCAGGCGAGAGCATCAAATTGCTAGGTCGGAAGCGATGTGATGGAACAAGAGGTGGAGATTGTTCCGAGATAATTGATGATTTGGATGGAGAACTCGAGTTGACGACGACAACATCTGATGGTGAGATATGCTGTAATTTGAAGGTTAACGGATATAAGGTGAAGCGTGAAAACAAGGTTCGTGTCATTGACATGCCTTCAGCTGGAGATTCCGAGGAAAACGCAGGAGAGGGTTTCCCCCTGAAAGATGGGGAGAGGAATGATTCTGCTCTTAAGAGGAAATCTGTAAGGGCTTGTCACGCTTTTAATTTTTCTTTTCTGTATATTCGTGGATTAGGCATTTTGTCCTTAATTGTTTGCTCTAACTAGGGCGAATTGAGTAATTAGGTTGGATGAATTGTTGTAGAATTATAGTCTAGCGTTTGTTTGGTAATTGTTGTTGCTTTGATAGCATGGTTGTAGTATCGATGCCACTGTAAAGTTGACTGGGGTCTTTATGTAGGTACACGCGCCACGTTTCCAAGGGAAATTGTTCAAAGCCCCAGGTTCAGTCAATTACGGAAGGCTGTTTCCATTTCTAACGGATATCATGAGAGATGATTCTGGTAATATTTGCAGCTAATTCCTTATTCTCTACTAATTTGCATTAGATGATAATTAATTAGCATGTGATGAAGGAGTTAACTGGCCTAATAATTTTACAGGTACACCAAAATTGGGTTTTTGCCGAAAGGATGAGAAGGGTATCGATGGACAGGACTTCCAACTTCCTTTGCCATCTCAAAGTCAGGAGGCTTCTAAACAAGGACTTAAGACTGACAGTTGCTCCATGCGTGGTACTAATGGGTCAAAACTGACATCTTCCCACATCTTACTTGAATCACCAATGCAATTAGATTCTAAAGAAGTGACTAATGAGTGTTTGTCCATGCCACCTGTAGATGACCAATGCTTGAGTGAATCGAAGGCCGATGCCACTGCAGATTTTTGTGGTGTTAAAGATGTTGGAAGTGCTTTGCACAATAGTGACTTTATGCAATGTTTTAGCCCCGTTGATAATCTTGATTATGGAAAGTCTAGTAATCATAGTGGTTGTACCTCACAGCAGTTTGGTGTTTTGAACGAAGAATGTATGCTGACAACTCCTCCTGATGCTGAGATATATGGTAATTCAAAGGTGAATGTAGATCAATTAGAGAGCACGCCCCACGATGTGAATAATTGCAAGCCCATGGAATTGACCAAAAATACTCGGGAAAAAGCTGGTGAAGGGTTTTGTCTGAAAGCTGATAAGGGGAAAGATTCTCTTAATAGACAATCTGTAAGACTCTTCATTGTTTCAAATCTTGGTTTTCTATCAATTTGGGTTGGACATCTAGTTACCGGTTTTTACTAAACTAAAATTATGATTGTATTATCTAATCCAACTAGCTCTCAAAAACCTTGATGTTGAAAGATTTTACTAGGAGACTGTATATTGAGATTAAACTTTTGATGTTGTAGTTAGTGAGCTTTCTAGCCCCTTTTGTGTCTGTTTTAGGTAGTCTTGCCAATGTTGCTTTAAATTTAGTGGCAGTTCAGATATAATTTGGGACGTCTATGCAGGTGCGTGGACAACATTTGCACAGGAAACTTTTCAAAGCCCCAGGTTCAGTCAGCTATAAAAGGTTGCTCCCATTTTTAATGGATCTTACCAAAGATGATTCTGGTAACTACATTTGTGTTTTCAACCATTTTAATAAAAGAAATTGCATCAGACGTTAGTTAGATATGTATACTGAAGGAACTAATTGATTTTATAGGTACATCAAAATTTGGTCATCAGACCAATCATCAAAAAGATGAGGTGGGCATGAGTGCAAAGAGCTTTCAACTTCCTTTCTCATCTAAAAGTGAAGAAGCTTCGATAGATGAACCTAAGACAGACAGTAGTCCCATGCATGGAACAGTTGAGTCTAATGCAGTGGCAAACAATATATTAGTTAATTCTTCTAATGAGTTATGTCATGGCAGCCAGCCAAAATTGACGCCTTCTGAAGACTTACCTGAATTGCCTATGCAAATGGATGCAAAAGAAGCGGTTATTGAGGGTTTATCTGCCCCCGCTGTCAAAAAAGCTATTGAGAAATTTGTGATTGGTTCTAAAGATGGACGCTTGAGTGAATCCAAGTTTGACACATGTTCAGTAATGGTGGATAATTTTCATTGTGCTAAGAATGTTGCAAATGGTGAGCATAATGATGGCTTTAAGCAAGTACAAAATAGGATATCCGGACAACACAGAAGTGAGTCACCACCCAAAAATCAAAATATCCTTGATATCAACGGCGATGTCTCTGACCATACATTTGAACATCATGCAAGCCAAGAAAAAAAAATCACTATCAATTATGATCAAAGAAAGCAGTTTGTGAATCTGGAGGAGCGGGAATCTGTTCGAAGATCTTCTCCTGATTGTCAATGTCTTACTCTATTGAATCCTAAAATGCTAGATGCTGAGGAGAATGGAACTGGCAGTCACGCAATTAGCAGAAGTGATGATTCTGTGGTTCTAAATCATGTCCAGGTTTCAAATGAAGAACCTACATCACCATATGGGAAGAATATCCCAGAAAGTTCTGACATGGCTGGATACGGTGGTGATGAAACAGGAAATGTTCTAAATGCCATAGTTTTTGGTTCGAGGATGACTTCAAATGGCAGCGATGACAAAAATGCTAGTGATATCGAATATGGTTCTGAATCCAAGACTACGTCGGTGAGGACCGTAAAATTTTTACTGCTGATTTCCTTGAAACTTGCATGAATAAAATTATGATTCTACATTTCTCCTCCTCTCTCATTGATTTAACTAATACAATTACGAAATATATTTATTTGAAATATGCTTGATCATGTGGTTGAAAACAGGTTCTAAATGGCTGTTCGCGGGTTAAATTGTTGAAGCATTCTGGATCTTTCAACTACAAAAGATTACTTCCATTTCTCTTGAATATCGTGAAAGATAATTCTTGTAAGTATTATTGGATCAGTAAATGATCATTGCCAATACTTTCAGAAATTATTGGATCAAACACCTCTTCTGCCAATTTCAGCTTCAAACCTGCGAATAACTCCTACAAGTGATTCAAATGGCTGTGTTTTTATGAAACATTGTGCAGGTAATTCTGGTACCCAGCAGCAAACAGGGTTGCGTGCTTGTGATTTAAACAATGATAGTTCAAGTCCAAAATCTCAAATTCCTGAATTTCATTCATCTCATGGTTCATGCAAAGCGATTCAACTGCAAGATGAACAGGTTGTATTAAGTGGACAATGCCAGTCAGACAGCTATACTGATCCATCGATTTCTGTTCATGGAATGGATTTACCGATCACACTATCAGCAACTGTAATTAATGATGTTATCACCAGAGAAGAAAAGACTACACGTGCCTCGTCCAAGTCATCAGTTATCTCCGAAGTAAAAGGAAATAGTTCATTCCTGATATCTTCTAATGAGAAGCCAACTGAAACACGTGAATGTTGTCAGAGCTTGTCTCAACTTAGAGTCCCTGCCGTTAGTTTCAAAAAAGGAATTTTAAAAAGAAATCCAAGAGGATGCAGAGGCATTTGCGCGTGTTTGAACTGTGTTTCTTTTCGCCTTCACGCAGAAAGAGCATTTGAATTTTCTAGAAATCAGCTACTAGATGCCGAAGAGGTTGCTCGTGACCTTATGAAGGAACTATCTGATTTACGAAACATGTTAAAAAGATCTATGGATAGTGTCAAGAACAGCCCTGTCTTTTGTGGAAGCCAGGTGAGTGATACCAGATCTTAGCTCGTATCTACTGTGTTGGGTTGAAATTGACATGACTAATACTTACATTATACTTGTTCTGCTTTTCTTTCTTCTGCGTTCATTTCATTATTCTTAACGATGCCTATAAATGGCTACTTTTTATCCCCCGGCAATGTTATGAAATTGATGCTTTCAATTTAATAATCATTTCATCCCGCAAGTTTTTATGACTGGAAATCGTGTTTATCTATTAAGTAGTTGTATCAAGATTTGTAAAATTTAATCAAAAGGGAACTATGCACAAAATTTTATATTCTACGATTTGTAAAAGTAACAATTTAAAATGAAAATATTTATTCTTGACAAGTTTATACAATATTTTGCTTTAAGCCTTGGGAAGAAAGTTGTCAGTCAAGTTTTGGCCCTATACTATCATCTGGAACTTGCCTTTGTATTGGTAAATTCTCAGTAACCTTGCGTTCTTTTTTATTGCATTTGGAAAATATAGCTTCCTTCTCGCTACTCTTTGTTTTCTTTTTGTTGGAACATAATTTTTTTTAACTTAATCTAGTTCACCATTGAACTTATAATTCCAGCCATTTTACGCATCTGTATATGCAAAATAGTGACCGTTTAGCCTAAAGTAATGGGCAAATACTTACCAAACTAAGGCCTTTTCATCCCCATATATTTTAGGTGAAAGAAGCCTGCAGCAAAGCGTTTGCAGCAGAACAACTTGCAAAGGACCGTCTTATTCAGATGAATGACGATCTTAACATCCATTGCCGAATAACGGTATGTGCGTAGTTGTACTCAAGATTGGTTCCTTCAATTGAACAACAATTTTATTTCAGCTTGTTTGTACAGAGCTTGCAGCGACCAAGGGTTACGTTTGCAGATCACGTCGAAGAAAAAGTCATTCAACCTGGCGGATAATTGTGCATCTTAAACCAGCTGCTTCGAAGCAATTGTTCTAATGGACACGTCACTCGTCTTAGTGTCAAATATTCATGTTTATTGGATTGGTTTTGTTACATTTTAAGAGAAAAAATTGAATCAATAGAAAAAATAATATTTATATGAAAATATTACGCACTTTATCTTTATATATATATTGGATAGAATTTATTGACATTAAGGGTAAAGACTTGTATTAAATTTTAACGGTATAATTTAACATTTAAAAAGTTATTTTTTTTATTATTATTTTTACATACTTTTCAAGTAATTTTTTTAACTGTTAGATAATAATAATAATAATAATAATAATAATAATAATAATAATTTTAGAGTAAATTCAAAAAAATTATTATAAACATATAAAGTTAAATATGAATATTTTTGTTGTAACTTATTTGTTGTAAAACTCAATAGTTATGATAATCATTGAGGATGAAGAGAGACTTAGTTTACTTTTTTTTAAAGGTAAAAATATCATAAATTCTTTGATAAGAAATAAAGTAAAAATTAGCATTAATAAATAAAATTATTTTTTAAGGCATAAAACAAAAAAAATCTTAACTTACCTCATAATTAGTCGGTTCTTAAAAAGCATAATATATAATGATAAGTATGCAAGATGTGTCACATCATATTATTTTACATTTGGCTGTGGATATTTTAAATGTTGTTCAAGTGGGCTTTTCTTTTTTCAGTGAAACGGTAAAAAGGCCTGGTAGACATACATTTCATATATTACGTGAAGAGGCTGCAAAGGGGTCAAAATGCCATTTGCGAAGGATTTCTTAATTATACTATCATACAACAATGTTCTTTGAGAACGATTCTTGAAAGGCATTATGGATGACGTTTTAATTACTTGTGAGTATCTAGAATAATGTATGCTCATTGTTATATAATTCACTTGAACAAATTTTTACTCTATTATTGATTTATCATAAAATGTTGAATTCCTTGTATCATGAATAATTCCTTTCACTCCATCGTGTTTATTTAATTTCAGATTTTTTTAGAGTCTCATTCTCTCTCCTTTTAAAGAGAAGGAATCGCAAAGTGCAATCATTGACACAATAATATCAAATACAAACAAAAATGTTAGACTAATTTGTTTGGCTGAGGGGACAGCATTAGCACAAGATATGATGATCGCTTTTCTCGTAAGATAAAACATACTCACCCCTGATTTATGTTGCCTAAATTCTTATAACGTTGACTAAAAGGCAAGAGGAGGATTAGGTTATTCCCATAGCTTCTCCAGCCATATGCATGCATTTATCTTACCCTAAAATTAAGGGAGCCCGCATCAAGCATTTATTTATTTTTTCATTTTTTACGGCGATTTTTAGTCATATGTTGATATAATTTGGATTTGGATTTGAATTTTTTTAGCACATGATACGTTATGTTTCCTCTTGTTTTATTTACATTTTTTTTCTATAAATCATAGATATTCTCATAATACTTAAATTAGATAAAATTATTATAGGAAAAAAAATCTATTTTTTAAAATATTTAATGCAACTGCATTATTAATGATTTAATCTTTAGATCACATAGTGAATTAGAGTAATTCTATGTTAATTAATACATGTGTTTAATGATCATCTTATTTAATAATTTTTTTGTCGTTCTCTTTTTATAAAAAAATTAATTAATTTAAGAAATTAAAATTGATCAATCTCATACTTCTACAAAATTTAAAATTATATCAAACAATGCAAAATTTCTAATGGAGAGCTGTTCAAGAAGATTTGAAATATGAAACAGGGATGGTGAAAAAAGTCCAAAATTACAATTGGAGGAAAAATTCTCTTTGGACCCATCTTATTAATACATTAACCGATAAATGCGACAAAAGGGAATATATGTATAACGCAAATGTAAATAGTTCAAATATAGGCCACCCATTTGAATTCCATCTTTTTAGATCTCTTACTAATAATGCACATACATTGTTTTTGGGTGCATCATGTTGATTTTTCGATACCTCATTCTGAATCCTCAATTTTACTGTTTGCTTATTTTGAATTTGGTTAATTTATAATTTTTTTGTTTTCTATGTTTAAATAAAATTTTAATTTAGTCTTTAACTTTTTTTAATCCTTTAATTTTAGTTTAAGTTTTACTTCAATTCTTTAGTTTTTAAATTTAATTTAGTCTTCTAAGTTATTATTTCAAGATAAAATAATACTTTAACCTTGTTTGGTCTTTTAAGTTAACTAAATTTATTAAATAACATTTTTATAAGAAAATTGTTCTTATTTTATATTTTTTTGCATTTTATGATTTCGTCATCATCCAAGACTTTCAAATATTACTAAAAACTTTTTTAATTGTTCGTAAATTATTTCTAAACAGAAACTCATTTATACTTTTTCTCCATTGCAAATACATAATGATCACTTTCAACTCATTGCCATTTATCAAATATCATAAATTTATAAATTTTTATTGTTTACCTTTTTTATTATAAGCTTATGTGTATTAAATACCATAACATCCTCTGAACCAAAATGAAGACGATTAAATTTCATTAAAAAAGATTAGAGTAAATTTTATGTTAAATTTAAAGGATCAAATTGAATAAAAAAATTTGAAGGATCAAATCAAAATATTTTACTTAAACATAGAAGAGAAAAGTATAATTTATCCTTTTAAATTTAAATCATTTTAAATTATCAATTTACATTAAAATGTTATTCTTTATTAAGAAATAGGATAATTATATTTCCGGCGCAAAACAAAGAAGGGCCTAATCTTGTTTCTTGCAGTTATCATACTAATTTTGAATGATTAAGGTCTACGTTTCTATATGGTCTTTGTGATAATTGATTGTTAATTTTTATATTTATTTTTCCTTATATGTATTTTTTTCTCCTTTTTTCCCTTCTAATCTCTCTTTTATACATTTTGTACCCCAAAATAGTGTGAATTTTTTTTTCCGATCAATTACTGACATTTTCGATGACCAAGTATGAATTGCAGCCCATACTCGTAGGAAAATTGGTACAAAGAATTTGATTTATTATTATGAGTCATGACCCCTTAATATACATTAGCAAATATAAAATAGAAACTTAAGAAAAAAAAGACAGAAGTCATTAAAGAATAAAAGACATAACATAACATATATTATACAAAGATCTTGGAAATCCAACTCAAAATATGATCATTTTCTTAATTTCTTAGAACCTTGAGCGCCTGCACTCAGCAGGAAGACCTTGTGGGAATCGCTTAAGATCATTGCAGTAGTTATAGATCATGAAATACCTCTGAACCCATCTCAGTCTTCTTCTGCCATAAGCATCAAGTTCATTTGCACCCCATTCAGCACCAGAATTTGAAATGGAAGACTTGGATGAGTACTCAGTGGCTTTGAAATTACGGTAGTATGCTGTAAAAGGTGCTTTGGACCAATCAGTTTTCACCAATCCACCTCTGGTGGCCCAGTCATCAGCATTCCACAGGCTAGAATATATTCTCATGGGCTGGTTCTTTGGAAAAGGAACACCAAGAGATTCAGCATTCTTGAATACCCTAATGGGTATGTTGTCAACCGAGAATCTGCAGTTAACCCAATTGATCGACGATTGTTAATGGTTATTGATGAAAAGTATAGAAAACAACAATATTCTTCTGTCTCATGAAAAACTCTATCAAGCGAGTGTCGTTCCTAAGTTAACATGCATTACTCATAACTTATATTTTAAAAAAATTAATCAATAATAAAAAATGTCATAAAGAGTTAATCTTCTTGATTTATTTTATACGTCACTTTAAAACTTTCTAGTATTTTAATTTAAAACTTTATTTATTGTTTTAAAATATTAAAAGTATTAATTATTTTTTAATAATATCTTAGTTTATTAAAAGTAGCAAGAGATGTAAACAAAACATGTTTCCTTTGATGTTTATTTATTATCACTTACATGATGTGCTGGGGGTTCCAAATGATAGAGTAAGTGTGGAAGTTTCTGGTGGGGTCGAACCAGAGGTAGAACTGTTGTTCTCTGTTACCTTTGCCTTGGGTGAAGATGTTTGTGTGGAGAATGTAAGGGTCCCCACTTAGGTTTCCCAAAAACTCAAAATCAATCTCATCGTGTGTTGGCCCTTGGGATGACAACTGCACCGCAGCAAATGGAAATAATTGATATGGCCTTTGTGTTATGTGGTAGAAGCACAAGGCAACACACAAAATAAAAGGAATATAACTTTGTGGAATAGTGAGTTTTGCTTGATAATAAGAATTTTTAATTTGGTGCATGCAATGCATAGTAGGAGTTTAACAACTTTAAATTCACAAAGACCCTTTTGATTTTTTCTTATCAATTAAAAATTAGACAATCATCCATTTTGATAAAAGTGATTTTATATGAAGATTTTTGTTTTGGACAAAGCTAATTAATGCATACGTCAATATTTGAAAGCACCGTTGAGTGAATAAATAAAGCATTAGTTGTTGAAAAATAAAATTCTGTAGTCTAACTTGTTTTTGTGGGTTTGCTACAATAGCACTTCTCGTGAATGTACAGTTGAGTTTGACAAAGGTTGATGTTTAAAGTGTAAAAGCGGTCAATAATGGTCGTATTTGAAGACAGGATAAATCATGTCCCTTCATGAAGAATCAATGCTGAAGTTACGTAAAAGAAAAGACACAGACACACATACAAAATTCTACAGTATTATACTGTATTAGCTGGTATGTGAGGAAGGATAATCAAAATTAACGAGCATAGCTTTTAATGGTAATTAAAAACAAGGGTAATGACTATACCCAAAAAAAAAAGAGAAAAAAGATGATCATGATGATATTTGCACACCATAAATTTTATACCATTTATACTATATATTAATATATGTTTTTATTTAAGCAAAAAGTAGTATAATGTGATGAAAATAATGTAGAAACATCATTATCGTTAAAATAGAACATACATAGTAAGCAGTGACAGTGCCAGCAGAGTTGCCGGCAACAAGCTTGAGCTGCATATCAATCCTGCCAAATAGGTACTCTTTCTTTGATTGGAAGCCAGAGCCAGAGACTTGGTCAAGTGATAGAGAGAGAAGCTGACCCTTATTGAATATCTTAGCACGGTTACCACCCCATGTTAGTTCAAAGTCTTGGTAAAAGCTACCAGCACAGGTAGCCACCATAGTGCTAGCCACTATACCAATTAGCATAAGTACATAAAACCCATTATGAGTGGAAGTAGAAGCCATTTTAGAAAGAGAGAGAGAGAGAGAGAGAAATTGTGCTTCTTGTGATGTGAGGAATGTGTTTAAAAGAAGTGGATATATATATGTGTGTGTGTGTGAGAGAGAGAGAGAGAGAGATGAAGGGGTAATTGGGTATGGGAGAGTGGTGGGACGCGTGAAGGGGCAATAACTTGGGGTTGGAGGGGTCAAAAGCTGGTGCCAGCTTAGCAAATTTTGAAAGCTGGAAGCTTTTTTGTTTGGGTATTGGTTAAAAAACTTAAATGGATTTTTTGAGTTACGTTTTTTGTGTTTGTGCACAGGATACAATTTAGTATGAGCAATGATTGTGTTCCTGATATTGTTCAAATAAAAAATAATAATTGTATCCCTAACATATAGGGGTAGACCCCATTTTTGTATGATTTGGAACAAAAATTCTTTAAAAAAAAGAGAAAATTGGGTGATGGATGCCAACTGGGTGTAATATGGAAGGAGAATAAAGCCATGGAGGTATTTAAACTTCATAGGACCACCAATCATGAATTATGGATCCAATTAGACGATGCCATGTGGCACGGTTCATTCCTGAGTCATTGCCATTGCCCTTGTACTATTGCCACTCCCCTTATTCTTAATAATTTTCATCTGTGACATTTAGATATTATTTGATGTTGGGGTTAAAATTTAAAAGTATAGTCACGAGACTGCCAATGATATGGCATAGTTATCCACTTGGCTATGCTGATAACTTCTGCTTGCTTTATCTCTGGCTGTTACACAGCTTTGAGTTTCATTTTGTCTTTTCCAATGGTGACAACAACAACTTTGGATATGAATGACAGAACAAGTAAAAAATTTCAAACCAATATGCATTTATTTCTCACGAGTACGGTGCATAAGCAATTATTTATAAATCTACTTGTATGAAGGTTATTAATGAGAAAAATTAGTAGTGCATGAACTAGCTTCCTGCCTACACCCACCTTCAATTTTACAATAGCCAAATGGTTCCAGCATTGAATAAGGATGTTCTCCAAAATCAACCTTGGAAAGAGGGTGAGTATATCCATAATTACTCCCTTACCAAAGAGTATGGCAGTGATCACTTCATCACTAAAGCACTGCTACCTGTTACAAATTATTATTATTATTTAGGAAATTTGAAACAAGAGTTAATAAATAATAAATTTTTTTTTTAAGAAATGTGAATGTATTTCTTTATTTTTCAACAAACATTTTATAATTTTGATTTGTTAACCATAAACTATGAATTCGTGCGAATCATCATTGAAAAGTAGTCTTCCATCCATCCAATGTTAATTAACCATCACTAACTAGTTATTGAAAGAGAAGTGCAAATTTATTGGTTATAAGGAAATGGTCAGTGGGAATCAACTTATGGCAACCAGCTAGCAGAATCTCCAACCTTTCCTTGCAAAAAGTCACTAAAATGATGGTGCCTTATTTAAAAAGTTTTTAAATTAATGAGTGTGAGAATGTGTATAGATGGACCTGATTTTTATGTGAATATATAGATTGTTGAGAATTCAATTAATGCACATTCATTTCTTTCTACTGATTTCTTTATTATCAAACATAAAGCATATGTTTTCTTTTGCAAACAAAATAATAGCATATCAGTACAAATCGACTGCATATGGTTGATGCTTTCGGCAATTATGTTATGCTTCCTTTTAGATAAAGAAATTTGTGGGGTTGAAGATGCCTATAGAGTAGATTTGAGAAAGCCAAGAGCACAGGTGTTGCAAGTGTCTTGAAAGTTCAAATGAAACAAAAGAGTAAATAACGAGATGAATGTGAGTATAGAATTCATAGACAGTGAAATTGCTCAATGCAACTAAATTGGTTGCTCACTATTGTTGATGGTTGATATTGTCACAAATATAGATCCATCAATTAATCAAAACTACTTATTCCTCATCAAATCATAGCCTTCATGAAAAGCAAGGGAAAGATCATAAAAAAAGTGTGAATTCATCCCCTTAGCTGAATGATGAAACTCCCTCACAATCTTTTTTTAGCATATGCTTTTGGTGAAGATTAAAGTAGGCATATGCCTTTCATCAGTGACAATAATTAATTAGAATAATTGTGGAATTAAATATCATGGACGTATCATAATAGTATTTAGTTTGTAACCACAATATTCCCTTTGAAGAAGGACACATTCCAGAACTAATTGAGCCATTGCAATCATTGTTGCTGTTTTTGAATTTTGAGCTAAGAGTCTCCATAATGGAAGATGCTTTAATCCGTAGTTTCATGTTGATCGTAGAACAGCAGAGACTGGGCTGGCAGACACGGTGAGTTGAACGTTTCAAAACCAGAAACGGTGGGAAATCTCTACATATGCAATGTTTAATTCATAGTTTCATACCGCATGAAGCTTCAGTTAAATTAGGGAAATACTAAAATACAAAAATTGATGGAATAAAAAGTTGCATATTTTTTTTATATAAATTATTTTATTAAAAAAATATTAATATTATAGTTAAATATGTAATATTAAATTATATATTTAGTTTTTATACTCAACATTTGTTTACGAAATAGTCTCTTTACTATAAAAAGTTATATTTTAATTTTCATTTAAGTGCTTTATTACATAGTCTCTATTATTTACATTTCAGTTCCCACTGATAAAGCTGTTAACAATAATGTTATAATGTCAAAAGACTAAAACTTAACATAATATTTATATAAAGACTAAAATATAAATTTTCTTAAATATATGAATTAATTTGTAAATAAATGTTAACTATAGAAATTAAATATATATTTTAACTAAAAAAAGTAAATTTGTTTGGAAAAAATTAAAAATAAGCCACTAGATAAAATAATCATGAATAGTTTAAGATCATATATGTTTATTGATAGAATTTATTTATTTGATATATATATATATTAATAAAATAATAATAATTATGGTTAATAAAATATTAATAATTATTCACACATTATAAAAATATTTTAATATGGTTAAAAAAATATCTAAGTATATATAGTCTTTTTGAGTTGATAAAAAATGACAAAAAAAGAAGAAGAAGGTATGTCTAGATATTTTTTATCTAATTGACAGAGTAAGTAACAAAAAAAGCTAACTAATGACATTTTGAGTCAATATAATAAGAATTGCTTACTAATATCATAATAAAAATTTAACAAATTCATCTATGTAATGAAGTTGATCTTCTAAAATTTTGAGTAATATTGTATTTTTTATATCTTAAAATATAATAAATATTTTATTTTTATATTAAAAATATTTTTTAAAGATATTATATTAAAATATAGACTTAATTAACTGTTTGATCTTTAAAAAAGTTGCACAAATACTTAATTAGAATACTTAAAACTAAACTGTACTACTTTCTTGAAGGCCAAATGCTTAATTAAGACAAAAAAATATATTATATATAAATTAACATAATTATATTTATAAAATTATTAAAAAAATATTAACATTGATATCTTATTCATTCTTCTAAAATTATGATAAAAGATAATATACAATGAAGTAAAATTCTTCATTAGTCACGAATAAAATGTTATGAAGATAAAATTATGTTATAATACATGTATATTTCAATTCAATGTGGTGTGTTATATTCTTTTAAAATTATAATTGATTAAAATATATATTTAGTTCTTATATTTGATATGTTTATGAATTATTCTTTATAATTAAATTTTAGTTTTTATACTTAAAAAAAAACTTGTGTGTTAGTTATTATACTTAAAACAATTAACATTTTAATATTTACACAAATATTTTATTGTGGTTGCGGTTTGATCCTTCCATTGTTAATATGGTTTAGTGGCACAAACTAAACATAAACGATAAATATCAAAATGTAACAAAACATTAATATAAAGATTAAAACATAATTTTTTTAATTATAGAAACTAATTTATAGATGTGTCAAATGTATAATTTAATCAAATAAAATTTTTATTGGGTTTTATATTTAATTACATGTCAAAATAATAAATTAGATACATTACTTTATCTCCAATGGATGTTTAAAAAAATATTTAAGAAAAGGTTGTTTTACTATAAGTAAACAATATAAAATAAAATATAAAAGCATAAAAACTTTAAATTTTAAATTTTTAAAAGTTAACAAATAAAGTATTATTTTATTGTTGATTTATAAGTATTTTATGACATTTAATATTGATAAAAGAAATTTAAACTTTGGTTTTAAAAAATACATAAATTAAATCCCTGTCTAATTAATTCAATAACTATTAAAGATATTTAAGAAAATTATACTATTGCCAACTCAAGCATAGGGCTAATAAACCCTTTACTATTTTGATCCTTGCACTTTCATTCGCCCTTAATATTTAGATCAACCGACACATAGGCATTTTACACCAACTTCTCTCTCAATGTCTGAAGTCTCATTTGCCCTCATGATAATTTTGTTCAGAACAATGTTAAGTAAAAAAGTACTCTGGTTTAAGAGCTTATTACTCTAAGCCTTTATTCATTGCAGAATGATCTAATAGGTTCTACCTCAATGATTAAGTCCACGTTTGAAGAAATAATTGTCTATATTTTGTAAAGCCTACTTATTAGATTGTAAAAATATTTTTTAAAAAATAAATTAAATATACATAAAACATGCATTTAAATTAACTTATTTTATATTAGAAACATGTAATAAACAAAATTTTATTGGAATAGCTTTTAGAAAATAAGTTATCTAAGTTAATTCGGATAGTAAATGGGTGGTTTGTTTAAGAGTTATATGCTTAATTTCAGTGACGAAAGTAATAAATGGTAGAAAACGAAAATCGACAAAAACAGTATAATCAAAATCCACTTTGATTTTCATAACCACTATTGTTTATTATTATTTTTTAATTTAACTTTAGACTAATCATAAAAGAATGTGTGGCTACATCAAAATTTATATAGAAAAACTTTGCGCCAAATAGAAGATCTCTTTCAGTAATGTATTAAACTTGAATTTTTTGTGCAAAAAAGTATTTAAAAATTTAGTCCAACTTTCCATAAAAGATATTTGCTTTTTTAAAAAATAAAAAGAGACGTTATTTAGGACACAGAGAAAAAATGTTTTTAATATATGCCAATATATATACAGCACATACAGTGATAATAAAGGGTACGAAATGAGAAGTTGAATCGCTCAAATCAAAAACCATGCATGCATGTTGTTGCTATTATTAATATTAATGGGTGGATGCATGCATGTCATAATTGTATTAGTAATTGATGAGCAAATTTTTGTTTGATCTGAATAGAAAGAGACCTCTACACAGGATATTGCAACCAAACCAAATGAAAATCCATCAATCATGCAAGCGCAGCGTCACGTCGTGCATGGCTGAGGTGGGTCCAAGATATGAATGAATGGTACTATGTAAATGTAAGAGGTAATCCTTTGGGATGGATGGGGACTCTCTCTCTCTCTCCAGTTCTTCTCACATCAAACGCGTGATTTCAATGATTTTTCCCCTTAATATGTAATCAGAACGTTAATAATCATAAAAAACAAAACTAATTTAATGTTATTTTCCTCCATTAATGGTGGACTAACCTAGCTCGTCTTTTCGCCATTGACTTGTAGCCCACTTCCCTGTTCCGTAAGGCTATTGTCGATTTGAAGTTATTGATGGTACCAAGGAAGATTGTGTTTTCCTGAAATTTTAGGGTAAAATATCTTTTTTCCTGCAGCAAACAATTCCACGACAACTGTACTCTATAGGAATTCCCTTGACAGTTTTGAATTAATAAAATATCGTTTCTAATTGTGCTTTGCGGTTAAGTTACACTAGAGAAGTTCAAAATTACAATGAGACAGACCACTTGAAAGATTAAGCGAAATAGCAGAAACTTGACCGAAAATTAAATGAGACCACATTCAGACAAAATACGGTAAAAGATTTTCAATATTTGCCATTTAGTAAACTACGTTTTACCTTCCTAAAATATGACCTTTTCTTAACGTATCCCTTTAAGTTATCAATTTAAAACTTCAACATTTTTTTTTCAAATGTTAATCTTAATCGTTGATTTTAATTGATTAAAAAGTAACTTTTTCTAGAAAAAATTATATTACATCAAGTATAATTTTTTTTATCTTTTTCAATAAAAATATTTTTTTAGATAGTTAAAATTAACTCAAAATTAACAAAGTCACTTTTAATGAAAATATTACTTTTTATTTAAATCAGACATATCATATGGCATGTTCGCACCAAGAGACCTCAGCACAACAACTTTTTTAATCACTTGGCCTTTGAAATTAGTCGTGTCTCGAAGTTAATTTCCATTTAATTGAAAAGAGATCATTTCACTATGAACCAAATTAAAGATGTGACAATATTTCCTTCTCATGAGTCAAGTTGAGAAGGGTAACATCTGGCAAAAGAATTCTTAGCAGAACTACCTGCAACCTTTGCACTAAAAAGTGAAGTCACAATGTGGGAAATTCAACAGGGTTTGTTCATTGTCAAACGCAATCTAATGTTGAGAGTTCAAACTTGGTGAAGAACAATTTTCTGAAATAAACAAGGTCAGAGATAATTACCATGTGAGATCTTACCGCTGCCCCAAATTCAATCAATAGCAAACTCACCATCACTTGATGCATCTCAGAGTGGTTCGTGACAATTCAGATTTCTGTAGTGTACATATGCTTGACATTACACAAATTTCATGAACCGATAAAGACTGTGAAGTCCACTCAAACCTATTTCATAATAAAAAGCAAAGCAAGAAATGCAACATCTAATCCTCCCAATAAAATTTAATATTGCAGACAGTAACGAGTTTGGAGTCAGAAGTTTGTCATATGCACAAAATCTAAATTAACGTTTGCCATGTGCTGTGGATTAAGCTAATACCAGAAGAATAAAAGTTGACATGAATGATCATCATCCCGCCCTATTGCTGATTGGCGTCAGCTGAAACATCAAATCCAGGAGGTATAAAAATAACATCATCCCAGTTCGATGTAGAACTTTCCTGCAAAATTATTTTATAGTCAATTTCTATTTCCAAAATAGATTCATTGCATGTAAAAGGAATATAGAAATAGAAAACAACCCCTTCCCCCAAAAGAAGAGGAATAACAAACACAAAGGATTAATGAATCTGTTCCCTTCTATTTCATCTTCTGCCGTAACTTTGACACTCACCTTCATTTCTTTTATTACATCCTCTAGAGTGGCAACCTGAAAATAAATAAAGGTAAGTTCACTAACACAACAGGTCATATACATTTGAGGGGAGCCGCTGCAGTCTATACCTGGATATCCCCCTGTCTAAAAGCAGGATTTAATTTGTTCTGCTCGCGGGCTGTCAATTGAAGTGTATTTTCTAGGTCCTCCTGCGAAAAATTCAAAGGTGAGAACCGAAAATAATCTAATCTTTGTTTGCAACTACCTAAACTCAGGTAGATAAAAGCAGGCAAACTAACAACACCTTTCTGAAGAAAAGTGGACGATATCTCTTATCCTGGTTCTTCAGTAATAGACTCCTGGACTGAAAATCACCAATACAGCAATTCAAAATACTAGTTAAGGGATTCAAGCATGAAAATAAATGAGTTAACATAACATCAATAGAAATGAAGTGAATTACAAATTATGATAACATTATAAGAATCAATATTCCAAATAGAGTATTGGTGCGTAGTACAAAATCTTTTGCCGAATATTGAACAAATGATCCTGGCCATTGTGATTTCTATTAATTCCTAATTTTTGTTATTTTTTGACTTAATATTTAACTGTTGATATATACCCCCTTCATTTCCTTCCGTTTCATACCCATTTTTTTAGTACTTTTATATAGCATTACTCTTCCGAATAAATTTGTAGAGTAGTGGAACACGTTTCAATCATTTTTCTTCATAATGCAATATAATAAAATAAGGCTGTAATTGGATAACTACTTATTTAATCATTAATTTAATAATTTTTTAAACAATGATTTATATCATAAATTTAATGATGAAACTTTTTAAGATAAGCTGTAAATAATTTATTTTGATAAGTTATACAAAAAAACTTAATTCAAATGAGTTGGAAATAACTTATGGGAATCATAAGATGATTTTCATAAGCTCTTCCAAATAGATCCCAAATCCATTAAAAAAAATATGGTTCCTCAAAACAAGGACGCACGGATACTTCAAAATAGAAACTTATGTCAAATATGTATTTGTATTAGAAACTTCCAATACTTATAGTTACATTTTTACATTTTTAGTATTTTTTTACTTTTTTATTTTATTTTATACCAATACAGATGAGAATGCCACAATAATTATATACAGTGTAGTATTTTGCTATGGCTCAATTTGAGTGAACTTATGCAAAAGTACTTCTTGAAGAAAAAAATAAGATACAAATAAAATCTTTTTCATAAATTAAAATCAACTTATGCACTACATGTTTTGTAGAAGTTAATTGAGAAAACTTATGAAAAAAAATTCTATTTGTTTTATCTATATTATTTCTTCCTACAAGTACTTTTGGAATAGTGGCGTGTAGCGGACAACCCTCAAAATTTATAGTGGAATCACGCATAACAGGATTAACATTATTTTAAATTTTTTTATATGGATATAAAATATATACATATGCAGATAATTAAGTATGTAATGCTAAAAAAATGTGCATAAATAGCATATGAATAATTATCATCAAAAGACATTAAGAGAAGAAAGAAAATACATTTTTGGGGAGAACATAACATAGGCAGGACCATAGAATTATAAATAGAGAGAAGAAAGGAATTCGATTTTGCCAGAGAGGTCATCCAAGATGAGTGACTTTGCTGGATTGGAGATTGTTGGAAAGCAGAACAGAGACAAAGATTAGAGGAGGGAATGTCCAACAGGGAAGGGGAGAAGTGCCAAAAAAGTGGGGTTTCGTCATGTGTCTCCGGTTGCAAAGCAGCACAACAATAGAGATGTCTCGGAAGGGGTGTCGAAGAGAGAAAGGAAGAAGAAAAACATAGGGAAAAGTGAGGTTAAGTCTAAAAATTGAGAAGACTATTTGACCCTCAAAAAACCTAAAGATTATGCATCACAAGGGCAAAAAGAAAAAAATCAGCTTATTTCTAAAAGATTAAAAATCTTTTTTACCCTTTAAAAAACATAAAATTCCTTTGTTTTGAGGGTAGAAAAGGAAAGTTAATATATTTCCCTATGGCACTATTGCGCTGTGAAAGGCCATGATGGTCATGATAGCTGTGATAGAAGAAACACTCCGCTTGCCAGATTTGTAGCGGCCAAACGCACCACTTCTATCACATGCTGTTGACAACTATGACAAAAACATACCCGAACTGAGCCTTCTCTACAATGACTCACTCTAACTTTTAAAACACTGATTATCTCTATTGATCAAAGATTCGAGTCTTTATATTCATTGTGTTGTATGCCTATAATTTTTTAACTTTGTTACATCTGCATATCCATGTTTTATAGTATCGATGCTCCGAGTCAAATTCATGCTTTCTAGCCTCTAAAATGAGTTTATCTCTATGAGAAAATAAGCATATATTCACCCTTGATTTAACTTAAAGTACCTCATCAAATAAATAGAACTTAAGGTGTAAATGGATGTACACTCACCAGTCTTATCTCAGCATAAAGGGGCAAGGAAAGGAGGTTTAGCAAAGTTTAGGTTCACATCTTATACTTGAAAGCAAAGATGCCAGAATGAACTAAGAGATTTGCAGACAGATGGTTAGTGATGGGTGCAAAGCATCCGTGATTGCAAAGTCCCAGGTTGGAAGAAAGGAACTGTGGTTTATGAATTTGCGAAACAAGAAGCAGGAGTGCAGGCATGCACTAACCTTACAAAGGTGGGATGATGTTATTTTAAGAAGAGTATATACTATGAGAGGACTGAAAAAAATATTGTCACTAGGTGAGAACCTTGTTTATTGGTTCCTTAAAATTTATGTAATATTAAAATGTTACAAAGCATTACTTGAATCCCCTATTATCAGATAGGTCACAACATACAAACCAAGACACAGATGACATATATCAAGACTTAAAAAGCTCAGAGAAGAACCTGGAAAACTGGAACACCAGAAAAGCCACTGGAAGGAAGACCAGAATTTTCCCTCTCCTGTAAAGCACAAGCATACATAATCATTACGATGTAACTCAATGACAAGTAGCGAGCTACAAACGTTGTAGAGTCAAATTTCCAAACTTACAAATAAACAATTTTTCAGCATGCATGACCAATTTCTAAAAAGTTGTATCAAATAAGCCAGTTGGACCAACATAATGGAAAAATGATTAGTACACCAGAGCAGTCAATCTCTAATTCTGGTAATTGGTGAGAACAAATCCAAATTCATAGTAAAATGTTGTTAAGAAGATTTCTATCCACAAAATAATTTTGTCCCAAATAAAGACTTGTTATCATATATTGCACAAAAAGGATTAAAAAGGAAACTAACTCAGAGAGAATCTTCTTCCACCATCCTCCATATGAAAGCATTATAATCAATCAGAAATACAAGACTACACAGTGGACGTAGGCTAAATGAATCAATAAAAACACCAAAGAGGGAACAATAAGATCTATTTATCTGTTGGAGGTGGAAAGCAAAAAAGTTAAGTGAAGTGATTCAAGTTATCACGTTTGAAACGTCAACACCATAAATTAATAGTTTGATTGGTTGTTTGCCATGTATCCAAGACACTTCACAGAAGTGGTCGATATTTGGATCCTTATTTTGCCTTCCATTCTAAAAATCATATAGTATATCAACAACTAACAGCAGCATTCGTTTTGTTCAATCTTCAACCTCGAGGCAATTTCGAAAGAGAAATATAAACCATAAAAGAATCTCAACAACTAGGTTCGGTTTACATAATGGAGGTAAAATAGCATCATCCTTTAGGCTTTACTCAATCAGAAATTTGTAGGGTTTTAACTTTAATAGTAAGAGCGTGTCTAGACACAAGCCAACAGAAACGAGTAAGGAAAGGGCATTGATTATGACTCACTCGAAGGGCATTCTTTACTTGAGAGAACTCGGGAATCAATCTAAAGGCAACGCCATTCACCTTGAGTTGAAATACCTGCAGAATTAACGTAACGTAAACAAACGATGAAAAGATAAAGCGAAAGCGGTGAACGAGAAGGAAGAAAGAGGACCTTGTTCAAGGCAACAGGAACGACTTTGGAACCCTGACGCGCTTGGGGATCGATAAGAGTAACCTGTTGAAGAAGAGCCTCAGCGTCGTCTTTGTTGAAGCAGAAGAGGCCAAGGTTCTTGCTGGTGGAAGCACCCGAAACCAACAAGAACTCATCGGAAGCATTGCTCAGCGCGTAAACGGGTATGCCCTCCAACCGTTCCTCGATTGCCTCCACCGACATGGGCCGGGCCCCCGCCGTTTGCGCTATGCGGGCCCAGGGTGGGCTTGGCTTGTGAAGGGATGGGTGGGGATGGGTGAGGTTTTGAAGCAGCGTAGAGAAGCCCCGCTGAATGTCCGCTAAAGCTTTGTGGAAGTTGTTCATGTTTCTGTGTAGAGACGAACCCAACACTCAACTCGCGATTGCGCAGAGACCTTCACCTCACCGGTGAGTGGTGAATGCTGAATCTTCCCCGCTTTGTTTGCAAGGAAATGGAATATGATAATTTATTCTATTTATAAGCAACCGAGTAGAATGGGCTTATTTAATTAATTAATTAATAATAATAATTATTATTCAATTACATGATATTTAAATAATGAAATGAAATAGTAATTTTGTTTTGTCTTTTTCTGTTTTATATAATATTAATTATTTTAAATATGACCTTGATACCTAAACAAATAAAATAAGGAGATATAAATGCATTTGCACGCGCTAAAGTTTTTATATGATACCAACAATTTTTTGTAGATCGAATCAGTGCTATTAAATTCAAATGAATTTTTAAATGAAAATATATTATATCAAAATTTTAATGAATTAAAAAAATATTTTTATCAATAATAAATGTTTTATTATATGTTAATATTATATTTCTAGTCTATATGAAAAAATAGAAAATGTATGTGTAGTTTTTTTTAAAATAATGTGTATTATTTTATAAGAATAATAAATTAAATAAAAAGGTAAATATAATTTTTTCAAACAAAATATTATTTTTAGGCATAATAAGTACAGCTAATTTTAGGAGGTGTTTCAGTAATTATTTCTTTCTCGTAACTAGTTTTATTTCTTTCATGTAAAGCACGAGTGATATTAAATAAAATATTTTGAATTAAAAAATGAAAAAATGTTAAACTATTTTAAAATTTAATATTTTTTTATAATTTTTAAAAATAATCAGTTGTAAATAATGATAAACATTTTATAATGCTAAAAAAGTACAGAGATTAATTTTAAATTATACAAATTTTAAAAATTAAAAATATGTGCTTAATATAAAAATATTTTTCATGATAAAAATGATTTTTAAAAATACTATCATTTAAAAATTTATATTTATAAATTAAATATATAGTCAACTCATAATTAAATACAGAAGTTAAACATCTCCCTCGGGCTGGTGTAGGACGCTTTAGGCAAGGATTACAAATTTAAAAAGTGGTGCCATAATGAAGAGAAGAAGAAAAAAGGCCCAAAATACTCAGCCCACTGCCAAAACCCATCAAGCAAAGCTAAATAGTTTTTTTGGGCTGCCTTTGTTGAATAATGTGCCTTGTTTAGGGATTTATGCCGATTGACAAAAAGAAAAAAAATAGTGGATTATGATTTTTTCATTGTAAATAAATGTAAATTATTTAAATTTAAGTTATTAAATATTTAATTAAAAAATAAGGTTAAAATTAAAATTATATTTTATTATTTTGATAAATTAAGCTCAAATTTTATAAGTTTAACGCTAATAACTCTTAAATATTCAGGCACGCTAATATAAATATAACATTATTTATTATATTTTTTTATTTTATATTTTCTATGGTTATTATTTTACACACATGCTTAATTTTAATATTTTAAAGTTATATTTTACACAAGTGACTGTAATTTTTTTAAATGTTATTTTTATTATTTTTTAAAGTTTTAAATATTTTTATGTAGATAAAATTATAATTTATTAGTGTTCTACTTTGCAATATAAAAATATTTATTAAATATTAAATTAATTAAAAATTATTCAAAGGTTGTGAAAATAAAAAACAAAATATTCAAGTTATAAAATTTTTAATCCAACATTTTAGATTATTAAGCCTTAAATTTGAGTCATTTAAATAATTAAGTCCATTTTAATTTTTTTACCAGTTCAGTTTAAATTTTAAGTAATAAGCTCGTGTATATCCTTTCATCTCTCTTTCTTTTTATTGCTTATTTTTTTAATGTAAGTTTAAGAATATATAATAGATTTCAAGATTGTTAACTTTTACTTGAATTTAGTATAAAATTAATAAGTTTGAGACATTAATTCATAAGTTTGTTAAATTTTATATTTTTTCTAAATGGAAAAATAAACATGTGACAAACGTTATAGAAAAAAGTGGCAACATGTAATTCAATCCAACCGACATCCATCAATGTCCAACCCACAGTTTTAATAACATTTAACTTAAAAAAAAATTTTAGTGAAAAATTAAAATCAACCACGTAACACACAAATTTAATTAAATTGTCTTTCATAAGTCTCCTCTTGAACGAAGAGGTTTTAAAATTTTAAAAATAAAATTAACTCTTGAATTTATTTTAACAATATGATTTAGAATAATATTAATAATTTATAGACACACTTTAAATTAACTATCTATAACTTTTATAGTATCATAAGAGTTGTGTTTTAAAAAATAACTGAATGTAACAAGAAAAAAAAACTTAACGTAATGACAAATCATGATAAGGAATATCATCAATATTTAATACTGAACTGTGCCTTGAGTAATACTATATCGTATAAACTAAGAAATAAGCAATCAATTTAAAACTTCAATTAACATTTTAAAAATGGTTGTGAATGTTTATTATTTTAAGGTGCAACATTAGATTATAAAATTATTATATTTTTATTAAATCTCAAATTTAGTTTGATTTTTAAAATTCTAACACACTGATGTCATATTAATAGATGAATAGATAACTAATAAAGTTTGTCTTGTATAAATTTAAATAAGAAATATAAAACTTTTTTTTCATTATTAATAATGGACGTGTTATTATAATAAATAGAACAAATGAAATAAATAGTTCTTTCAAAACTGAGAAAAGTGGGAAACTTATTTTAATCAGCAGATATAATATTTATCGAAATGATGTGCTAAAATTTAAACATGCAATTATCTTAAAATGAATATAAAAAATCACAAAGAAAAGCATTGATGGTTAAAAGTGTATTTTATTGTATTTTTAGGATGATATTTGAATGCATTTGTAACTTTGTTAGTAATAAGACAAGTGTCCATCCCCTAATAATTTGATCATCTCACGCAATTAAAGCACCAATATTTGTTGTTATGTGACATTATAGTTCTTTATTATCTTCTAAGGCACGCTGCTCCGACACTAACCACCTAAACTAAAATTTCTTAGATCAGCCAGTGAGGCAAATATGATTCTATCCACACCATCTTCCTGATGCTGAGGGTCCTACTGCACCACTTAACTCACCAAATTATTGTCACCCTCACCCTCCATTCCTAGGTTGGAATCTCTTTAACTTTACGCACCAATATATTGCCTCCTTAAAGAGATTAAACAATTTATTATCATTTTCCTTTTTTAAGATATATTGAAGTATTCAACTGTCCTTAGAAAAAAACTTTTTATTTTTTGTACAATGAATATTATTTATAATTAGTTTTGAGGATTAATATTATCATTAATGTTGTCACTGTTTAAACAAAAACTTTACATTTAAAAAAGCACGACAATGACCTGTGAACTGCGTATCAATCCAAACTGAACTATATGCAGTAGTAGTATATTGTTTGTTTGATAACTGGACGAATGAGTGGTCAACAGCAGAAACGGACGAAGCCAAACCCAACGTAGAAAATAATTGATTAATGCTCCACAACAGCAATCATATGTTGGAGTTGGGAGCAACGTCCCCTGCATAAATACAAAAATTACACTGCCCACAAAACATTACTTACAGGGAATAGCGAAGCGGATTTTCCCTAACCTTAATTAATCTTCACAGTTTATTAGTAATTAAAAATATACAAGTATGATAAATAGTTTCAATAGATAGATAAACAGTAACAAATTTTTTTCTTAATTTTACTGTTTTGGTCGATATAATCGTGCCTGGTATAAAGTATTCCATGTTGCCATTTTGCACGAGCACACAATAACTCCTGTTACCTAATGGGATTGCGAGTTTATCCTCAAAGAAAGAACAAAAGAAGTGATAGACAGTGAATGAAACATTAACTACTTGACCTAACTGAAACGCAAGTGTAATGACCAGTGTTTCTCAGATACAAACAAAAATAATAGAAAATAGAAACGGGTGCAGCGTACGCGGGGGACATACTTTGTCACAGTAGCACGTAGGATCCCTTTGCCTTTGGACGCTTACATGCTTTGACCGTACGTACATGTCAAGACGTGACACATCACAAACATTTTACTTCAACCATCAATCTTATTGGCTGTCATTCTACTCACCCTCACAGCCGTGTAACTATTTCTCTATCCGCAGCGGTGGAAGGGTCATCACGGGCACAAGGCACGTGCAACGCATGTGGCCAAACCCCTACATAATAGCGTTGTACGTTAACGACAGTTATACCCTCAATAACCCGGGAAAGACTCAAATACCCTTTTCACACGTACAAGTGTTTGAAGCGGACGAGAGCAAAATAGAGATGGAAAAAGCAGCAGCGTGTTCCATGAACAGTATCCTAAGTTGTCACATGGGTTAGGGCCCTTTTGTTTTGTTTTGTGTTGTGTTGTTCCAAACCAGTGAACCACTCCACTTCTGCTCTCATACCCTCTTCTCGTGTTCTTTCTCTACAGCTTCCGTGTTTTTTTCTCACTCTAACATCAACCCTTTCTTCTGCTTCTGTTCCACTTAAGTTTTGGTTTTTCTTGCACCCCCCATTCTTCTTCTTGCTTTGATTTTTCACTTCTTGGGTTTTTCTTGCTCTCTTTCGTTGACTTTTTAGTCTTGGAAATGGATAACCAAGATCAAAGAAGAACTCAAGCTCACACTGCAGGTTTCTTTTTCTTGTGCATTTTCTCCTTAAAGGGCTGGTCTCAACTTCCCTTTTCTGCCTTTCCATTTTTTTATTGTTTCTCTTTCTGGGTTTTGTTGGTTTGGTGTTTTCTTGTGAAAAGTCTTTGTCTTTCTGGTGGGTTTTCTTGGGTGTCTGGTTTTGGGAATTGTGTCTGCTTTTTTTTTTCTTTGAAGTTTCTCGAGGTGGAGGTTTTTATTTATCTGTTTTTTCTTCTTGTTGAAGGACAAGAGAGTCATGGAGTTCATCTATGTCACAAATGTGGATGGCCCTTTCCGAATCCACATCCAAGCGCCAAACACAGGCGTGCTCACAAGAAGATCTGTGGAACCGTGGAAGGTTACAAACTGTTTCTCTCCGAGGGGCAAACCCATTTGAATGGTTCAGATGATGAACATGTTTCTGATGATGATCACAAAACACCAGGTGAATTTTCTTATGGAGATCGTGTTATGCAGTATTTTAACTTTGATACTGGGAAATGAAGCAAATCTAACTGATCTTGACATTGTGAGATTAATTTCTTTCCATCTTTAAAATTGGTACAACATTCCAAAACTGCAGGTTTGCTAATGTGTTGATATTTTATTAGGTTTGGTTGTGTCAGGTCCAAATTCCTTGGACACAGGCAAAAATGAGAAGGGCAATGATGGAGTTGGAGAAAAGTTAATTAGATCAGAGGATGATGTGTTTTCAGATGCAGTTGCAGACTTTTCGGATAGCGGATTAAGTCCAGAAATTAAGGAACGTTTGCAAGAAGATAGTTTGGACTCAGGTACTGATGTGGAAAGAGTTGACATAAAAGAACCAAAATTTTCAGGGTCTTCTGGGGACAAAGATTTTGATGGTAAGAATACAGGTTTTACAGATGTCCTTTTATTGAAGGGTCTTGCTAATAATTCCTGTTATGAATCAATTAATAGTAAGTCTTTATTGAAATTTACGTCCGAAATGCATTAAAATTCACTATGTAAGTGCATTGTTGTATTTTTTCAATTTTGTTTTTAATTTTTGATTTCTTAATTAGTGCCCTAAAGACAGTTAGCATTTTTCCTTAATAAATTGCCATGGTTTTAATTTCTATATAGGTACGGACTTGTGGTGCAGTAAAATACTTGAGCCTGATTAATTAAAAATTAGATAAAATATGTTTTGCATGATTTAGGGGCAGTAAGCTTGATGCTTGCAAGGATTCTGTGAAGCAGTTTATTGACTTTATCTGTGCATGTTTACTGGATTTCTGAGTAAAATTTAACATTGGGATCTGGATCCGTTCATACAGCTGCGGCCTGATAAGCAACTAATACAGATATGGATGCAACTAAAAGCGCACAATTTGGTCTTGCCTACTTTTGTTCTATGAAACTCACCTTTTATGAGTGTTTTTTGATATAAAACTTTGGAATGAAATTGTCACCTGAGGGAAAGGGTGGGTTGCACATTTTCTGGGTTGAATACAAATTCGTAGAGTCTGTCAAGCAGTGGTTGATATAGCAATATCCCTTTCATTTTTTCAAATGAACAGTGGATTTTCACTATCAATAAGTAAGAACTAAAGACTGAATGAGAATGGTATTTCATTTTTTCAAATTGACAGGAAAGTTGCTTGAACTTATGATGCTGTTAGATTGTGTAATTTTTGTTTCTGTATAGTTGCATTGAAATTATGAATTCATAATGGGTAATGTATTGTTAAACTGTAGATTTATGCTTAATGTAAAACATTCAGTGGCTATTTGGGGCCAAATATAACTTTTGTATTCTTATCTTCTTTGCATTGGCCTTAAAAAGTTCTTTTGTGTTATGTCCTGTATTTCTTTTGCTGCTGTCAAATTTTTAAAACGAATATATCAGATAGTTGCAATAGTGAAGACTACCCATTGAGGCCAACATTTTAACTGCTGTAGTAAAATTACATTAAAGAATAAAAAGACTGAGATATGTTGTTTGATGTTATTGAACTGAGACAATTTCTGAACAAGCTAGGACCTTTGGATAGTCAATCCAGAATGACTTTTCTGTACCTTTTTGAAATGATAGTTATATTGAACCTATGTTTGCATTCTATATGTCTATGCAATTAGTTTTTTCGTAACTTTCCTACATTTTGGTTGCTGGCACATTAAAATTGAAACAAGAAAAGAGAAGTTTTATAGATTAAAATTTTTTAAAAAGTTTTGATGCAAATATCCAGGATAGTGCTAGTGTATTGATGCTATCATGACTGCACTTTCTTTTTCCAAAATGAAATCCACTAGTTTGAATAGGAATTTCTTATGTATATCTATCTTGCTCTAAGTATTGTTTCTTCTTTGTGGTTCTATCATGCCTGAAATTCATTTCACAGCTGGAGATGTAAGCCAGTTAATTGTCAAGTCAACTGAAGACTGCCAAACTCAAAATCCTAATATTTTGCGAAGTGAAAGTGATGACGAAAGAAACACAGTGGAGTTGCAAGGTCAGTTGTCAGGCCCTATTGTGGATTCATTATCAAATACCATTTCAGACTTGAGGTCTGAAGATTTGATTATCGTGGATAGTGATGAGTCAAGTGACTCACCTCCCATCAAAGCTGAAGCCATGCCCGATACATTGCCAGTAAAAAATATCTATTCTGGTCAAAATGTGGTAGATTGGAGTTTGATATCTGATGCAAAGGAGACTAATTTGAAAGAAAAGGATGAGATCAATTCCAACAGAGGCATGGTTGAATCTGTGGAATCATTTGATAATGTTGTCGGTGAAAAATGTGAAGGAGTGTCTGAAATAGCAGTTAGTGATGTAGTTTCCTGGGATCATCAAGTGGGTGATAGATCTGTTCATCTAAAGGAAAAAGATGGTGCCGAGATTAATTCCAGCAGAGATGTAGTTGAAATTGTGGAATCGTCTTATAATGCTGTAGGTGTAACGTTTGAAGGAGTGTCTGAAATAGCAGTTAGTGATTTAGCTTCCTTGGATCATCAATTCAGTGATGGAGCTGTTAATCTAAAGGAAAAGAATGATGCTGAGCTCCTTTCTTTATTGCCCCAAGGTCTTCTGGAGTCAAAGTCAGTAGTAATCACAACTCATGATGGTCAGGGAGACTTTGCACATGTGGTACAGTTTGCTACTTCTGTAGATGACAAGATTTCACAGGGAAAAGAAGAGGGAAATGTTAATGTTGATCCACTTCTCACATGCGATGATAGAACTGATGTAGCACATCATCAGAGTGAATATGGTGATTTTGATCACAAAGGAGTTGTATCCCAAAATCCTTTCATATACTCATCTGAGTCATCAAAACATGAGGAAGATGACTTTAAGGATGCAGTTACTGAAGAAAATAATTTTCATTTCAACACAAGCAAATTGAGTGAAAAAAGTGACGTCCTTTCTCCAGATATGCATGTTGTAGATAGAAGTAGCATGAAGATGGAGCCCAACAGTGAGCTTTTGCCTGAAATGCATGCTGAGGAGTGCATCACAGTTGAAAGTTATCAAAGATCAGATGAAATTGATGCATCTACTAATGCTATGAAAACTGAGATTAATGAGAATCATCATATGGTTCATTTCTCTGAAGTGCACAGACCTGACAATGTTTGTGAAGATTCCCAACAGATAAGTTTACCAGAAGGTAGTTTAATGGCCTTATCAAATGAGAGTCAGAGGGATGCATTCTTTGGGTCTGCAATCAGTGAAACAACTAATGTAATAAACAGAGACAACATCAATTCTCATGAGAAAAACAGAATTGAAATAAATGATGTAGCTGTAGATGGCAAAGTTGTAGATGTTACTGTAGAGAATGTTGATATTATTTTGAAAGATGTCCAACCTGGTGAAATCATGCAATCAGAAGTCAAGCAATCAGATTACTTATTTAAAAGTGATGATGCTGGTGAAATTGGTAAAACTGAAAGAGATATTTCTGATGCTCAATATACAGAAATGGCTGCTGTGAAAGATACTTCATCGCCTAAATCTTCTAGCAGTCATTTGGAAGTCCCAGCTATTTCAGAGGTTGGAAATGATGGGCTTGTAAGAAAGTCGAATGTTACTGAGTGCACAATTATAAATCCACTGTCAGGTGCCCAGGAAGACATAAAAGAAGATGAAATCAGTGTTAATATCAAACTAAATGAAGAATATAACAAATTTGTTGATACATCTGCTGACTTGCATCAAGCACAAGATGCAGAACTATCAGTGAAGGCTGCAGAACATGTTACACGGAGTTATACATCATCTCCTTTAAATACCGTGCCTTCTACTCAACATGATTCTGCTGTGGATAATCCTGGTGGAGAGCCTGGCAGGGAAGTGTCTGGAATTACTGCTGTGCCTGTCCAAGGTCAAACTGGTAATAACTTGGATAAACTTAGTTCATCTGGAGTTGATGTTTCAATTGACTCTGGTAGCCGGTGTGACAGTTTGGAAGGCAACTGGGGTTCTGTTTCAGGTATATAGACTTTTATTGTTTGTAACAGAAAGCATGGTTACTGTATTTATTCATTGTTTATCAGGGCTGTTACAATATGCTAGGCTAGTCAACGAAACCAGGCAATATGATGTGGTTATCGTTAATATAGATCCAGGTGCTATACTGAAATATTACTCCTTTTCGTGCTTTTCTTTTCTTGTTCTGTTCTTAATTAGAGATTTATGATTCCAACACCATAGCCATGTCTCTAGAACTGCTACATCTCTAATTGATCCAGGTGCAGATATATTGTTGCATAATTGATTAGAATGGCTCATTTTGCGGACACTTATACACCCCGAAGACACATACATGCTAGCTATTATATATGTATGCAATTGTGCATTCCTGAAGCTTACCTGATGTTGCTAAAATTTCCAAATAAATTTCATTGGTGATGGTTTTTTAGTACTTGCAAATATACTTGCCTAGACCTTGTCACATGCAATAATTGACATGCTTTTCCCCATTATATATACCTATTGGTTTGGTGTGACCCGTGTAGTTTTTTTTTCCACTCATTCGTTCTAGGAGTTTTTTCCTTGTGAGTCGGTGGAGGGGAAAGAACACCCATCTCTTTTGTCCTTGATCCCTTGCATTATTTGTATAAAGCACTGATTTGGAGAAAAAATTCGGTTCTTACTTATTTCATTATCCATTAAACAGTTCTCTCAATGCAATCCGATGCACCAGCTGTTATTGAAGCTGAAACTTTACCATCAAATGGGTTGCTGGCATCAACAGAAGAAGGGAAATCAAACTTGAACAACCCAAAATCCGCTGCACCTGAGAGACAGCCGTCTGGAAAATCAGAAATGTTTGAACCACCATCTTTCATGACATTGGTTGAACCTAGGCAGGTTAGTCCAAAAGCTTCTGAAATCGAGAAGGGACAAAGTCCACAACAGCCAGATCCCACTTCACAGGCTGGTTGGTTTCCTACTCTGACTCAGGTTGTTAACGAGTCTCAAGGGAGAAAGAAAAATGAAGAAATAATAGCCAAGGTGACGAACTGGAGCACCAGTAAGGAACACACTAATCTGAAGAGCCTCTTGGGTGAGGCTGCTCATAGCAACAAGCCAAAATCTCCAAAGGGGGAAGAAAAATCAATGAATCAGAAGAATAGTAAAGTTCCTGAAAACAATGGTTCTGGATTGACAACTGTTAACTCCATTCTTGGTCCTGAATCCCCGGCAGCACAAACGGTAAAAGGAGATGCCGCGAAAGAATGGAACTCTCCAGCAAGATATCCTGCAGACATCAAGAGAGAAAAAAGGAAAGTCAAGAGTAGACCATATTGGATACAATTGGTGTGCTGCACATCAGTGGATCATCAGCGAAGGTAGAAAATTTCTAGGTGGTGATAGTGTTCTTCCCTTCCACTGCTCTCCACTATGATGGTTATTGACATGCTATTTGCAGTATTGTCTGTTTTTAGTTTGTCTTTAGGTGCATATTTTGATCACGTGTCTTCTGTTACATGTTCCTAGGAGTTTGGTTGTATATGTTGACCGTCTTCAGTTATTATTTTACCTGTGCAATCTTTCTAATGTCACGTGTCATTATTTTGTCCAAAGGGCATGTGGCTGTTAAGTTCAGAAAATATTGTCATTGCCTAAAGATTGTCTCAGAATAACTACCAAGTTTCTGTCTGGTGGAATACTACTTACTGGCGAGTGGGAGTTTATATTCGCTGCTAACTATTTCTTTATTTGTTGCAATCTCTTAAATACACTTTGCTTCTGTGACATTGGATTTTCGTTGCAATCTCTTAAAATGCCAATATAATAGAGTTCACTCAATCAAGCAATTGGGCTTTTTTATTTAATTAATACATATTTAAAAACTATTTCTCAAAATAATATTTGTTTGAAACTAATTTTCTGTCTGATGTAATTTCTGATATAAATTTTTGTCATGTTAGCAGGAATATCGATCATTTATTTTTTAATACTCTATCTACCACATTAAGTCGATATACGTGAAAAATAAAAATTAAAAAAAATATAACAGTAATTTTTTATTATTATTTAACATTTTATCGTTTACATTTGGTCGATACCGATTGCCTGGGTCTAATGAAATTTTACAGATTTCTACATAGCATAATACAGAAACCAAGTCTAGTCTTGGCTAGTCAAGTGATGATGGACAACTGCAAATGTTCACACCATGAACAAGATTGAGTAATTTTTGTCAAGCATCACAATATCTTTGAGCTTAAGTAAGAAACTAATTACATTTATTGGTAGGAATTGAAATTTAAATAGATGATTCCTATATACAGCATTACAGCTACATACTAAAGCTTCTCAACTTGTTCAGGATAATGTAATTGTAATTTCAACTAAAACACTGTTCTAATCAACATATCCCCACCATGGTACCATAAATATATTACCTGCATCTGCACCAGAAGTTCAGTTTTAATTCGTCTTGCAGCTTCACTCTCATTACCTTCTCCACGCTGACCACAGAGAGAATCTATTTCATCAATAAATATGATAGAAGGTGCACTTTCACGGGCCATTTGGAAAAGATTTGAAACCAGCTTTTCACTTTCACCCATCCACTTTGAAATCAGGTCTGATGAAGAAACATTGGTGAAGAATTCAAAGGTTAAAACATGCTGAAAAGAAAAGCCCACCTAAGCACTTACATTCATAACAGGGTAAACCTTTTTCCGAAGCAAAATCATTGTTAAGCCAGAACTGGGAAATTTGCATGCCAACAACACGTGTAGGAAAGCAACTCATAATCATGCAAATAACAAAATACTAGATAAAAAGCTCACACACCTAACCTTTTGTCCATACAAGAAAGACGATCAATATCAACCAAATGTTGCCGATATGGTGTCAAATAATAATAAAAAAAATAGCTATCCTCCCTTTACGTCTAATATTATTATTAATTTTTTTTGTTGAATTTTTATTTTTCACGTATTACATACTATAGTAATATCGACTTAGTATAGCCGATAGAGTATTAAAAAATAAAATAAAAAAAAATATTTATCGTCAGTGTATGACCGATACTCTTGTTGACATGAAAAAATTATATCAGATGAAAAATTAATTTTAAACAAATATCATTTTAGAAATTAATTTTAAATATGTATTAATTAAATAAAAAAGCTAAGGAAGTGAGCATGAAGAAAAAAATTTCTTTCAGAAATAACTGCAAAAGAGGGGGAAACAAATGACTCTTGAAAATCATTCACGCAGAAAACCACTTTAAGTCTTGATTAATGTTAAATCAAGTTCATCTCTATTAAGAATAGTATGTTAATTATTAGTTTTTCAGAATTGATCTTTTTTGTTAATGAATATGGATATGGGTGTTAAACACATTTTTCTCTTAATTCTGATCAGTGAATGTGTAAGTTTATATATATATATATATATATATATATATATATATATATATTACTATTTAATGATAAATAATATTATAATGTTTATGAAATAAGATGTATAGTTGATAAAAAAATGTTTTATTAATTTTTGTATAAAATTTTATTATGGGATCACCCCTTTTTTCTTAGCCATTTTTTTTTTTGCTAATTTAAATAAATTTTCCATGTTCATTTTCATTGTTTTTTTTTTCCCTTATTTGTATATCTTTTTCACTAATTTGAATTAGAAAAATGTTAACTCATCCTAATATTTCAGCTAGTAAATCCTTCTATTTACAAAAAAAGTGGCATACGTTCTCTAAAAAAATATTAATTAGCTTTTTTCATTTTAAAAAGCATATGTCTCCTATCCTATGGTTTAGTATTATTATTTTTATGAAAAAATGGTAGACATTCTCAATTTATTAATAAACTATGTGTGGGACAGTACATTGCTATTGCTAACATTTATCAATCTTATTTTTTTTTATCAAATATTTATCAATTTTTCAGGTTAGATGCTGTATGAATAACAAGTATCAAGAGGGGTAGGCCTAGCTCAGGATCGTAGGTTTGGCGCTTAGGGTTTTCCTTCATCAGCTGCAAAGACAAACTTAAAACCCCTTCTTTAGTGTTTGATTTCTTATTGATGCAAAACCGAACATTCGAGTTCAGACACTTAATGCAATTCCTCAAGTTACACCCTCCTCTTTTATGTCCTTTAAATAATTTGTTTTCTTACTCTTGTTTGAATCACTTGTTTCTTTCGCCATTTTCTACTAGCTCTTTATCAACCCAACGCCGAAGATCAAAGGTGGACACTCTCTTAATTGATTACCTAAATGCCAAGTTCAAATTCTCAAGAAATCAATCCATTTTTATTTCAAAACATGTTTCAGGACACAGTTTCCCTCAAAAGCCCTTGTCTGTGCTCAGTTTTTTCGAACAAATTGGGTTTTCTGAAACTCAGATTCTGTCTATGATTCGTCAGAAACCCCAGATACTGTTTTCAGATGTTGATAAAACCTTGAGACCCAAAATTAAGCACCTTCAACTTTTGGGTTTCGAGGCTTCTGACTTATGCAACTTCATTTCCAACAATTCAACCCTTTTGACTTCTAGTCTGAAGAAATCACTGGTCCCATCTGTGGAAGCTATTAGGAAAATTGTGTGCAACGAGAACGATTTTATTCATGTTTTGCACAGATGTGGATGGATACTCCCAAAGTACCAAAAGTTTATGGACAATGTTATCTTCTTGCAGAGTTGTGGCATTGTTGGGTCTCAGCTTTCAATGCTTCTCAAACAGCAGTCAAGGCTTTTCGTTGCACCACAATCTACTATTAGAAAGCATGTTTCACGTGCTGTGGACATGGGTTTTGATGAAAATTCAAGAATGTTAGTACATGCAATTCATACAATATCTGGTTTGAGCTATAAAACCTTTGGGAGAAAGCTAGAGCTAATTAACTGTTTTGGGTTTTCTAAGGATGAGAGCTTGCAAATGTTCAAAAGATCTCCAAGTTTGCTTAGAACATCAGAGAAGAAATTAAAGGTTGGATTGGAATTCTTCTTGCATACAGTTATGTTGCCAAAGTTGGTGTTGGTTCGTAGGCCTATGATTTTAATGTATAGCATGGAGGATCGGATTCTTCCTCGATATAGAGTCTGGCAGCTCATAATATCAAGAAAACTGTGTAAGAAGGTCCCTAGTTATATTAATGTGTTATATTTGTCTGAAGAGGAGTTCTTGTACAAGTATATAACAAGGTTCAGAGAAAATGCAGTGGAATTATTAGTAGCTTACAAGGGTCATCATTTAGAAACATAGTCATCTCTTAAAATTTTGCTTTTCATTAGTCTCTTCAGGAAGCCTTAGGCAATTTGGGAATCACAACCTTGTTGGTGCTTATGGTTTGTACCTCCTTCAGTTCTCTCCTCGCCCTTTGAATTGCGATGAGATATGGATTTTGATGGTAACAGTTTCTTCCTCCCTAGCTTTTTTCTGTTTCTCCGTTTTAAATAACTGTACCTGTTTTATTAAAAGCAACACTTATATGCATTGTAGACTGTTTTTACATATATTGTCATTTTCAAATTTCCCTTTTCCATGAATACCAAACCATAAATATTTATAAGCATTAATCAAAATGTTATTATCTGCTGAAGCTGCTTACTGATGATCTCTGAAAATTTAGTTTTTGATAGAACAACATTGTGTGGTCCATGTAAGTAATTCCATTTAATGGGATAGAACTTCTGTTGTTTTTTTAAGTTAGCGTTGATCCTTTTAGCCCGAACCTATATTTCAATTCAACATTTTTTAACATTGAAGGGTTCAAATCTTATTGCTGTCACGGGGTAAAAAACAATTTCATTGTGACCTTTGTGTGGCGTGTAAAGATCACAAATCTCTACGCAGATTTTTTAATAAAATTCGATTAATGATTATGAAACTGAATTAAAACTAACATGAATAAATAATATGCAACACATATAAAAGAGAATGGCTTCTGTAAAATTTCAACTTGAGCTCGTAAATACATAAAGAAATCGCTTAGGCAAAAACCAATGATAAAATGAAACAAAAAATGTTCCATCAAATAGAATAAAGAATGATGTCAACGCTCCTAGCTGCTGCAGCCTCTTTGACTCCGCCGCTGCCGGTGGCTCCACCGTGAGGGTGGTGGCCGTTGTTGTCAGAGAGGGACGGAGGGTGGTAGTACTTTCTTCCTGTTTGGGGGCAATTGGAGTGAAACCTTGCGGCAATTCTGACCCCTTGGTCAAGAATCTCCACAAGCCTCCCCATGCAGTTACCCTCTCCTTATATCACAAAACCCACACACCCTTTTCTTTTTCTTTTCTCTCAGATTTTGTTGGAGAAAAAGAGAAGGGTGTGTTATAAGAAGACAAGAGACATGGGAATAGTAGAGACAACAAGGTTTTTGTTAACGTTTGGTGTTGGAATTGTGTTGAGGAAAAACAGAGTGGCTTTGACATGTATATAGCTGTTTCTTTGGGCGACTTCCACCCACTTTCTGGAGCACTTCGTTTCTTGGTTTCTTCACTTTTAAATGCTGTATTAGTTGTAATTGTTGACTTCTTCGGTTAGAACCGCGTTTTGGATCTGTCTCTGTTTCCTATATTTGACTATTTGTCTTTCTAGATTTCTCTTTCTTTCAAACACTCTTTCCCTTTTGACTGTGCATAGCAATGCCTTGTTTTTCCCTAATAAATTCTCTTCACTAATTATCTTATCGTTACTCAGCCTTTTTCAAAATGATTAATAGATTTTAAATTATGTTAGAGATGCATTGAATTTTTTTAATAAAAATATAATAATAATATTTTTACTTCTTTTAATTAGTACTCTAAAAATGCTTATTAGCATGTCTATTTTTTTAGTGTTCGATCTTATAAAGATTGTTTAGATATTAAATGTGTATTTATTTGAAAAAAGATTAATTATGTAAGTTTTTAAAAAATTCTCTAATAAAATTGTAGAAACATATTTTTCTTGAAGTGAATTAATTTAAACACACAGATTTTGAATTTAATAATTAGAAGATCTTTGCATATTAGGGGTTAAGTTCATTTAGAATAAATTGTGGAGTTGTTAGCCTTTGATACCTAAGTGAAAATTAATCCATAAGTCAAAAAGCACGGGAAATTTTAAAGTTTATTAAAAAAATTTAGTTTCTGAAAGTTATCATTGAAAGGTAAAAGAGCATTTTTTTTTACCGTCATTTAATTTAAAATTTTGATATAAACATCATCAACCTTTTAAAAAAAGTCAAAATATGACATTAATGCTTGATGGAAAAAAAACTAATTAATCCTCTCATAAGTTTAATTAGATACAGTAAAAAAATTAAGTCAAAGTAGACGCAATTTTTTTTTTTTGGTTATAATTAAATGCTTGAAACATAGGTATGACATATAATTGGAATTTAAAAAAAATAAAAATTCTTTAAGGTATTCAATTTTCTAATTAGATTATGACCTTATTATCTATAAATGTGTTTTACAGAATTTCCATTCACATGCTTTCAAATGAAAGATCATTTCTTTCTTTCTTTTCTCATGATCACACATAGTTTTATTCCTTTTTTCTTTTGGAGACATTTCTTTGATTCTAAACAATTTATAACAATGAAAATGTTTAATGATGTTTTAATTAAGATATTCTCTCATCTACTAACAAAATCAATTTACAAGTTATTCTTAAAGCTTTCAAAGAAAACAAATTTTACATTGAAACAAGTACACAATGCATTATTAAGAGATGACACATGTTTTTTCATTCAACAAAACATTAGTCTGAGGCAAAAAAACAGTTAAATTAAGTTACAACATTTTCTTGAAAATGAGCTATTATTTGAAGTATCAAATGAATTTTGAGTTAAAGTAATGACTTATTATTTGTCATGCTATAAATCCTCATAATAGCATAATAGAATTATTTATTAGCAATTGAACAACAAATTTATTTCTCATTCCAACTCCTAATCACTTGCAAAATCGTAACTATTTTAAATATTTCAAGATTGGCTTTTAAATGTGACTTAGATGATTGGATGATGTTTCTTTTTCAAGTGACTGGTTGGCCATATTTGGATTGCAAAGTTTACAAATTGAAGGAAGGTGTGTGGAAAATAAAAGAATAACTTTTTTTTTGTCAAGATAGTAAGTTGATATTTGACATACTAATGTATCACAAGAGAGTCATTCACTGTCTCAAATTGTTGTTCAAGTAATGTTAAAAGAAAAGATCATTTAATTTTAAGCTATATATTAAGTCATACAATTTAAAGAATGAAAAATCAAAGATGTCAAGAATGCTCAAAGAAGTAAGAAATAATTCTTGTAACTATATTTATAATACGAGAATTTATAAATGGGACAAATTCACTAATTCAAACAATCTATTTGTTTGATGAGAATGAGAAAACATATTTTTACCATATGTGTTTTGACCAATTATGAATCCAGTGTGTGAAAAAGAATTTTGAAAATAAAGGTGAAAGCAATGAGATTGGTGGAGAAAGATTCTATTATCATGGATTTTAATATTTTAAATGGTGATGTTTTGGTTCTTACTACAAAGAAAAAGTCTATATCTATGGTTTTACTAATGAAAAATATGAGAATTGAAGAAATTTGTGAACATGAATCATATTTTCGTGTTTGCTTCACATCCTACTCCACCACTTTACGCCTATGTGATACTAGAGTTGAAACTTTGTTGCTTTCAAAAGCCATGTTTCACTTAAAAGAAGCTCTTTTGACTAGGAACAACCACACATAACTCACTTTCTTGTTGGTAATTAAGTTTAAATATGTTTTTATCCTTTAAAATATACTAAATTTTAATTTTGATTTTTATAATTTTTAGTTTCTATATTTTAAAAATTGTTTATTTTGGCCCTTTTTTCTGATTTAACTTAATAAAAAAGCGAAGTCTGACACAGAAATTCACAGTAACAATTTTTTAGTTATATATCAATTTTTTTTTGTCATGAAAATCATGGGTGCATTAGTTGATCATAGCCTAAAAATAGCTCAGTAAGTAGTGCATTGCACCCATTAAATAATCTTACATAAAAAAATCGCATGCTGAGGCCGACAGGAGACATCGGGAAGAAAAAAAAAATTAACCATAAAAAAGTATTAATTGCACCAGGTTATGTCCTATAATCCTAAATGTACAAGATTGCAAAGTGTAAATAGTACCGAAACCCAATATGACAAAATGACATCAATTACTTGCAACCTAGGGAGCATGGTAAAAGTAAATCACTGAATAAATGGAACCAGATCTGGGCCAAAACAAATAAGGAAAAAAAGTGATCAAATTATCTACTCATTTGCATTGCTGTTGTCACAGAAGCAGCTCTTAAATTTCATTATCCTTTCTTTCCGCAATACCCAAACTCAATACATATATACTTTCGAGCCCTTTATTTTCTCCATGAACAAAATCCGACCATAGCCCTAAAAGAATAACATATCAGAACTTTCTTTATTCCTCAATCGATATGGGCTACGACCTACTCTCCTTTAAGAACAAAGAAAAGAAAGGAAAATAACAGAATGGAACAGCAAAACGTAGGAAACATCATTGGTGCATTGTCTGAACCAAAGTCCAAAACCCATAAACCCATAACTGTCAGTCACTATTATCAAGATTGGACAGCCAGCCTCTGCAGATGCTCAAAGAAAACTTGAAGGCTCACGTCGTCAGTGAAGATTACATCTGAACCAGCAGCCATCTCATGTGCATTATTGTATGTTGCTGAGGGATTCAGCTTTGCTAATAAAAATCTAGCCTGTTCAGCATCAACGAAACCCAACTAAGGTTCCCATCAAGAAAAATCTAAACTTAACAAGCAAATGGATAACTGAAACAATTTTCCACCAATATATTGTTAAAGTGGTATTTCATATATTAGCAACTCATGGCACTATAGAATTCCAGGAAAAGGAAACGACCGCAATACATATACTTACTTGGGAACCATGTTGATCACACACTACCAATCTAGGAACAGGGAAACGGTCTCTAATTATGATTTGGGCATCATCATGTGGAGCTTGTAATAGTTGTGCAAAAGCCTGTGCAATGATGCAAGACTAAACCTTAATTATAAAGAAGGCTTTGAATAAAATAACTTCCATTATGAAGAAGTCTATACATATTGTACTAAACAATCTAATTAATCAACAATCATTTTGAGAGAAGAATTAACGTGTGACAACTGACAATAACTTGTTTATTAGGACATCTATGAGCAGGGAATACATGCCTGGTGTTCTGGCCGGTTCTGGTATCCCATGTTGCGCCATTGAGCTATTGTCATTCCATGAAAAATAACTACGCTAAAATATGCATCAAGCAACAAAATCCGGTCCGCAGAAATGGAAGCCACATCTAACAATGCTGGTGCAGGCAGTGAATTAAATGAATATGATATAAGAGATGGCTGAATCATGACAGCTGCATTACTTATATTTTCCCTGTTTAACAACATGCGGAAGTATGCGGTCTCATCTGGACTGTTATTAAAAACCTGCCAATAAATTTCACCACCAATACACCACAAATTTAAATAAAGAAGTTTGAAAAGCAATAGCAATACATTTAAAAAAAAAAAAAAAAACCAAAAACGCACCTGTACAAACTGTGATCTTCGGAGATTGAACATAAATTGGGGAAACAATGAGAATGAAGGGTTTAATGTAAAAGAAGATGGATCATCTTTGCGGTAGTCACCAAATTTAGAGCAGAGGCGAATGAGTAGGCGGTCCAACCATCGTGTGGCATCAAATGCTTCCTGATTGAACAAAAAATTATGCTAAATAAGTCAAAAGTTACATAAAAAAACAAAAAAAAATCCATAGGTAACACATCCACAAAGAAAGCAATGACAACAGTTATTTGCAGCAGGTTGTTAGCAAAAGAATATCAAATTGAAAAAAGCTGCTCTTGAACAAAGAAAAGCTATGTGCATCGCAAAATATTAATAAGATGGGAAAGAAGTTCACAGTTAAATCTGAAAAGATATTAACTATTAAACAAACCAAAATAAAGAAATTAGAACTAAAATCTTAGATACAACAACAACCAAGTCATTCTGTGAACTTGGTACATGATTAAAAAAAGTGAGAAGTTAATAAAAAATTGCACTATCATTATCAAAGACATTGGCTTAACTATATATTTTTGTGAAACTCCCCAGTTCACCTTTTTTGAACTAAGAAAATTCGTAGCATCTTGAGCAAATAAATCCAGCAGTGGTAAAATACATTTTACAAAACAATAGAGAATAGCAAAATATAACACAACTTGAGATATACCTCTGTCTCCATTTTCAGAGAAGCAAGTCTGGCCATTACCACTGCAGCGGTTTCTTGGTCAAATCCTTGGATCAATTCCTGAAGATAAAATGCTTTGTCTTTTTAGTAAGTGTATTCTTCTTAAATGATGGTAATGAAATGGTGGAGACACATCCCAACAATAAATATAGAAAAGCATAGCCATAAAAAGTTCAGTTGATATTGTATATGCACATAGAAGTAAAGCAGTCAGAGTGTCAGACATCTATCTATGCCAAAGGCTAGTATCAGAATTGACAGCAAGAAATTTAGAATACCTAGAATTATCATAAGTACTTCATAAATGTAGAAGCTACAACTTTGATATTGACAAATGAACAAACATCCAGCCACAAATGTTATAGTAAACAACTGAAACTACCTCAGAGCCAACAGCAACGTCTACCCATTGTCTGGTTACTGTGGTGACCAGAAGCACTGATTGACCATCGGGGCTCTGGTAACTGCAATAAGAACATGACCAATAAATTCAATGATCAACAAGGAAGGGGAGAGGCGCATCACCGTATGTCAGTATGTATGTGGTCCTATAAAGGAAAGTTTTCCAACATAACCTTGTAAGGAACTGCAGGTACAACTGTGGGTTAGCAGCAGCTGGAGTGTTTGACCGATCACTTGATGAAAGATCAAACATCACAGTCAAGCACGTACTCTTGTCAAGGCCACACAATTTCCAAGCTGTTGTATTTCCCTCTCCTATCACAGTATCAGCAACAGAAGGCCCTTTCTGCAGTATGTGATTGAAACCATCAAACTCCAAAATGTATAAGGTTTTAGTTCATTTTTATTTTTGCTGACCCCACATAAGCTCCAATTCCAGTGTCAATAAGCAACAGAAAATTAAGGTTTGATGCATAAAATGATCCAAATCCAACCTTTTCCAATGATGTGCAAGGTCCAATTATACCCTGAATTTTGATTTCCTTGGAGCAATTAATCTCTAGTGTCCCACTGTGACATAAATTAAGTTGGCAGACAGCATGTTTATTAGAGAATAAGGGCAAGATATCATACAGAGAACGAGACAAGAGAAAAGAAATAAAAAATGTAAAAGAACTAATTAGAAAATATTTTTCAGTAACCTGATATAAACTGAAAGATTGTGTGAATAATGATACATATAAATACACAAAAACCAAAAAGCTGTTAAAATCTATTATAAGAAAACTTTAAATCTCAGGCAATTGACTGATTCAAACCTAAAAACCCAAAGTCTTTCCAAACCCAAATTTACACGAAATGAATTGATTAAAACATTCCCAAAAATGCACCTTAAACTCTAGATCCTCATACATGGACTATGAAACTAAATATTTATTCAGGGGAGGGGGAGGAGGGAAAGAGTAGTATAGCCCTCTTTAAGTAAGTATATAATCATATAATAGAAGGAATCTTTTACTTTTTTTATTCCCTCCTTTTCTTTTCCTTTAATGAGTCTTATTTTTGACATCTACAGAAAAATCATTGTTTTCTCCACAGTATTCCTTGTTCTTTTACAAAGTTACTAGCATCTTTTTTGGTTTTCCAAAGTGTCCTCCACCCAGTAGGTGAAAACCCAAACTCTTTCTTATGGTATTACCAGACACCAAAGCAAGAACCTTTAGAGCAGTATTTTATATATGTATAAATGAATCCCAAGATCAAACTAAACACCACAAAGGACCCTTCCACTAGGACAAAGAGATGTTGGTACAATGTTACCAGTTTCTAATAAAAATAAAAAATAACTACTTGACAGCAGACACAAAACACACTGCAGATACACTATATGCTAAAGAACAAAGAACTAGAAACCTAGCAATGCAAAATCTCCCAGCAGAATTCCATGCATCCGCTGTTAGAACTAATGAGCATATAAACAAGCCAAATTATTTAATTTTATAGGGGTGAATTGAATTAAAATTTCAAGTCAGTCATAAAATTGAAATAAAGACTCACTTGAAACAAAGACCAAGAGATTGCTCTCCATCCTCAAAAACACGCTTAAAAGAGTCCTTGAAGACTGAATGACCAAAACTTTCAGACAGGACAACAAGGCCACCAGTTTTTTCAACTGCAACTTTCATTTCTGCAACTCCAACCTATATTCAAATTTCAAAACATCCATCAAACGGCAGAAGGTGAAAAGTGAGACCAATTTGATCCTAAATCTCATCAAATGCAACATTCTGATAACAATAACAACTCTATTCTAATGATTCTCACTGCATAATATAAACAAGAACTTGTATATTTGAAAGAAAGTCCCAAGACAAGAATTAAGATTGCTATAGCTTGAGCTTATCATCTCAAGCAGGTTAAAAATGACAATTATAACGATATTAATATTATTATCACCTAAAGGTACTAACATGATTAATGACATATCTATAAGAAAAATAAATGTTGTCAGTTTGTCACATACCTGATCAAGGGCTGATGCAAATAGATCTAAAACATGGCCCTGGCTAACCAGCTGTTTTGCCAGACCCTCGTAAAACTTGACTGCTTTCTTGAAGTATGGTGCTGCATCTTTATCAAGATCTTTATGAGAACGCACTGGATCAGATAGATCTTTGGACACAATCTGCCGACAAATTCTAAAATCAATATCTGCAGCATAAAAAAATTTCTGTACAAAAATGTAGATGGATCCAGGAAATGTCAATATAAGCAAGAACAAGCACAGCATTGCTCATATCTCCTTTAAAATCAATGGCACAGAAGAAATAGAGTCTTACAACTTAATGTTGATTAATCCTAACAATGGCAGTACATTTATTTCTTTTAAATAACAAATAAAAGTAGTTTAACACCCCTTCAAATATCCCTCTGCCCACATAGTTGCAACTGCATACTATTGCTATTCACTCTGACACCATCTCAGACTAACCAAAAACAAATATTTAAACTAAACTGCTTGCACAATAAAATAATTTCCTGGAAGTATAAACGCCAAAATGCCACACATTTTCTGTTAAATGATAGTCAGTAACTCAGTCTCCAATTGCGAGACATGCCTAATGACAAATTTCCATGAAAACCCTTCCTAAACAATCCCTTATGACGCATCAAAATTAAAAAGGTCCCCATTGTCACAAAAATCTACCAATCATCAAAATTGTACAGCAAAGAACAGAAAAATCATTTACCGAGCCCGGTCCTTCTGTACACGGACCCCCAACCAATGCTATGATTCTAGCCCCAGTCCCAGGATTACAAGCAGAAAGCAACCCGACCGCAACACTCAAAGCCACCCCAGTGCACCGTGCAGGACGACTTCCCGGCGAAACAGGCCACTGGTTCGTCTGCAATTCATCCAATAGCTGGAAAACACACACACACAAGAATCACAAAACACAACAGTCAATAACAAATCAATCAACAGTACATACATTGCAACCTTTCAAGAAACCCACCGAATTGAGAGTGTATTCACAATCAGAAGCAGGCAGCAAGAACCTGGTCACAGCAGCAGCAGCAGGAAGAGGCTGAGCCTGCATCCCAATCCCCTTCTGATAAGGCCTCCTAACGGAAACGCCGGCGAGACCCAACTGCTCCAAAACCTGCTCCTTAGAAATCTCCTTACTCCCGCGGAACACGTAAACCTTCGACATATCGGAGAATCCCAACTCGTAAACCTGAACCTGCGTGCCGAACGAGACGAAACCGACGAGGGCATTGTCGGGGAGAAGACCGATCGCTTGTCTAAGAGCCGATTTAACGAATTCGAGCTCCTCGTGGATAATGGAGGTGTCGAGGAGGAAGAGGAAAACGGGTGAAAGAGAGAGATTATGGTTAGGGTTAGGGTTGGGGAGGGAGTATTGTAGAGTGGTGTATTGAGGATAGAGTTCGCCGGGGAGGTTCGTTTCGGAGATTTGGGCGTAATGAGGGGGGAAGTGATTGCGGCTGTAGCAGAAGGGGCAGATCCAGATCTTGGCGGAGAAGTCGACGCGCGAGAAGGGGTTGAGGATTGAGGAACATGTTTTGCAGCGGAGAGGGGCGTAGGGGAGTGTGGGGATGTCAGGGTGGGGACGAATGAGGGAGATGGTGGCGGCGAGTGGAATCACGCTCTTGCTGGCGTCAACTTTGGTGCGTGGCCAGAGATTCCACGTCATGCGGACTCCGTCAATGCCTTCGGGATCGGTGTTGGCCATCTCCGACATGGAGAGAATAAGAGAGAGAAAGTGTTTATTTGTGTTTGTTTGAGTCTGAGTAGCTATGGCTCTAATGGAGGTGCACCACCGCCGCCGGGGTTTCTACTCACTGGGCCCACCTAGGTGGGGCTACCTACGTTTCTTCCACCCCCACCTCCCCTTTCTCGTTATAATATTCCGCACATGTTGCAAAAACTATTCTTTATAAAATATTTTTGTTTCTATTTATATCTTTATAAATTTACTTACGACTGTATCTGTGTGTTGGACTTTGGGCATGGGATTGGGATCAGGTCCACATATGGCCCCAACACGAATAAAGAAAAAAAATTAAGTTCAAATATCTTGTTTAGTATATGTGTCACATACGTATAATTAAAATGTAAATAAAAAAATTAGAACCGAATTAATACTCAGTTTTATTAATCGGTACGAATTATTTTGGTACAAAACTACTACAAAATAATCTCTCTTTACATTAATGGATAAAATAATAAAATAGCATTAAAATTAGACCAAAAAAATCAAAATAAACGTTTTTGTGGTAGTTTTATGAGATAAGTTCAGTCCGTACTATGTATAGTTTTGTATTAATAATAGTGATTCTTCTGCATCAATCAATAAAGGAAGAAAATGTTTAATTTTGTGATTTAATGTGTGTATACACACATATAATTAAAATATAAATAAAATAAATAGAAAAAATTAAAATATTTTTGTACCATCATTACAAAAAAAATATGAATCTTAAAAATATAAACACATGACAAATGAATGTGTTATCGATCGATAAAAATGTAGAAGAAAAACTTGAGTTTAAACGAGTTATATTTTTTATTATTTCTTAATACTTTTTCAATATATTTTTTTTATATGAGTTACATTTTTCTCTTTTATAGTTTTATTTTCATTCTCCTCTGGAAAATTCGGATATTCAAATAAAAACGAAAAATAACGAAATAAAGGAAGTGTTCAAGGTTCAGTTACATTCACATCTGGCAAATAACGAACAAACCGCTATACGGATCACAAGATCCGAAAAAACTTGTTCTTCTAAAAGGGTAGCGGTTGGACTCCATAATCACATTTATTAAATTAAATTAAATGGAACAAAGATGATAATTCTGGAACCATCTTGACACCATGGGATCATAGAACTCTCTAGACACACCTTTCTTTTTTTTTTCTCTCTCCCACCTATAAATACATACAACTATAAACCGTATCATGTGACTTTCGTTGCTGAGTTCTAATTCCTAGCACTTGTCTGTTTCGTACGCATTCGTGTTCTCACGTTGGGAAGGCATGGAGGACGATTTCGAGTTCCCAAGTGCTGGCAACATGGAAATGGGTGAGGCTGATGAAATGGAGATGGAGAGTTCGGTTCTGAAGGTTGGTGAGGAGAAGGAGATTGGGAAGAAGGGATTGAAGAAGAAGCTGTTGAAGGAAGGTGAAGAAGGGTGGGACACCCCTGACATTGGCGATCAAGTTGAAGTGCATTATACAGGAACCTTGCTTGATGGAACCCAATTTGATTCTAGCCGTGACAAGGGTACCCCTTTCAAGTTCAAGCTTGGCCAAGGTAAATTCTTTCATTAATCATTCACTTTTTGTGTCTCTGTTTTTTTGTGTAGCACGATTGAAGATCTTAATTTTAAAATTTAGAAGCCATGTATCATTATGTTCTATTCTAATAATAATGATTACTGATCAGTGGGTTTTTTATTATTATTATTATTGATCGATGCAGGGCAAGTGATCAAAGGATGGGATGAAGGTATCAAAACCATGAAGAAGGGTGAAAATGCCCTTTTCACAATACCTCCAGAATTGGCTTATGGAGAGTCTGGGTCTCCTCCCACTATTCCCCCTAATGCTACTCTTCAGTTTGATGTGGAGTTGCTGTCTTGGACTAGTGTCAAGGACATTTGCAAGGATGGAGGAATATTAAAGAACATAATCACTGAAGGGGAGAAATGGGATAATCCTAAGGAGCTGGATGAAGTGTTTGGTAAGAAATTCTTTCCTTTTTATTGCCTTCGAGATTTACTTGTTGGTTAACATTGTTCATTACAATTTGCAATTTTAAATCTTCCTTCTTTGTGGATTTTCTGCAGTTAAGTATGAAGCTAGGCTTGAAGACGGGACAATCATTTCAAAATCTGATGGAGTGGAATTCACTGTGGAAGAGGGTCCGTCTCGCTTCCAGAATTTTAAAATTGTTTTCCATGTAGTAGGATTCTGATTGCATAATGACATTTTTCTTCTCCTTTAAAACAGGGTATTTCTGTCCTGCTTTGGCAAAGGCTGTGAAAACAATGAAAAAGGGAGAGAAAGTTCTATTGAATGTGAAGCCACAATGTGAGTTAGACTCTTGTTATCAAGTTTAATATATGTGTATTCTTTTGCTTGTGTAAGTTTATTGACATTCAAAGTTTTGCAGATGCATTTGGTGACAGTGGAAGGCCAGCATCAGCAGATGCAGGTGCTGTACCTCCAAACGCTTCACTCCGGATTGATCTTGAGTTAGTTTCGTGGAAGACAGTGTCTGACATTACCAAGGATAGGAAGGTTCTCAAGAAGACGTTGAAGGAAGGAGAGGGATATGAACGACCGAATGATGGAGCTGTAGTTCAAGGTACAGTTTGCAGGATAAAATGTTTACAAAATTTTCTGTCCCTTTCTCCTTGAACATGCTTTATACATTGGATGGGAGTGTTGAAAAGCTGCGTTATTTTCTTTGTTTCAGTGAAACTGATTGGCAAGCTGCAAGATGGAACTGTTTTCCTTAAGAAGGGTTACGATGATGAATCATTCGAGTTCAAAATTGATGAAGGTACATTGCTTGAACAATTTAAGCGGGTTATCACAGTAACTCCCACCCCTTCCCCGTCTTTCTCCAATACTTAGTTAAATGTTTGCTGTGCCATGTAGAGCAAGTAATTGAGGGACTTGATAAGGCGGTAAAGAACATGAAGAAAGGGGAAATTGCATTGGTGATCATACAGCCTGAATATGCTTTTGGTCGATCTGGCTCCACTCAGGAATTGGCTAATGTTCCTCCGAATTCCACTGTGTGCTATGAAATTGAGCTGCTTTCCTTCGTAAAGGTAAGAGAATTGTGGCTTCCTTCCTAAGGAATTTTGGGTTTATAATTTGACAGATTAAATACTGAAAAATGGGATGCAGGAAAAAGAATCATGGGATTTGAATACACAAGAGAAAATTGAAGCAGCTGGGAAGAAAAAGGAAGAAGGAAATGCTTTGTTCAAGGCTGGTAAATATGAAAGAGCATCTATGAGATATGAAAAGGTATCCCAGTAAGAGCCAAAAATATTTCCATTTAATTAGTTGGTCACTGAAAGTTATACTGTGGTAAGAATGAACTAACAAGAGCTGCTCCTTTTGTCTGGGTGATGAAAGGCCATAAAGTTTATCGAGTACGATTCCTCCTTCAATGATGAGGAGAAACAACAAACTAAGGCATTGAAAATCACATGCAATCTAAATAATGCAGCCTGCAAATTGAAACTCAAGGACTACAAACAGGCAGAGAAGTTGTGCACAAAGGTTCGTTTATCGAACTTCTGAATCGACCCATCTTTGTCTTATTTCCTTTGTTGAATTCAAGGGGGAATAGAGTGAAAATCATAGACACCCTGAGTGTTTTTTTTTTTTTTTTAACCATGCAGGTGTTGGAACTTGATAGTAGGAATGTGAAAGCCCTATACCGGAGGGCGCAAGCATATATTCAACTTGTGGACTTGGACCTAGCTGAGTTTGATATTAAGAAAGCCCTTGAGATTGAACCAGACAATAGGTATGCTTATGTATGATCATAACTTTCATATGTAGTTATATACCTTGTTTCTTTCCAAAGAGAACGCTGAATTTCTTTTGTTTGCATGCATTAACAACCTCCATTGGATTGTTATCAGGGATGTGAGGATTGAGTACAAAATTTTGAAGGAGAAAGTGAGAGAATGCAACAAGAAGGACGCACAGTTTTACGGCAGCATATTCGCAAAAATGAATAAATTAGAACAAGCAAGAACTACGACAGTTGATAGTAAAGCTTAATTTATAGGAGCTACCTCTGTATGTGGCCGTCTCTGCATTAGTATGTTGTTTCAATTGCTGTGTGGTCATTAGTCTTTGTCAATTAATAGCTTTGTTTCATACCTTGTGTGATTTTCATATGAGGAATGCTTATGGTATCAGTTATCAATTGTCACCTCAAGCATTGTACACTGATGGCTAATAAGAAATGAAGTAAAGCAAGTTTTGGTGATTTAGATGTGTTCGTTTACCCTAAGAGAATCATTGCGAAGTCACAAGCACGGGTTTTTCTTTACGGCACTTTTCTGTACTGAAAATGAATCCCTTTAACCTCTGGTTTTCTGATTTCATTTTTATTGTTTGTGTTGGATAATTGCAATCCCAATCTAACGTTAATTAAAATCAACTTTCTATGTAGTAACCCACTAAACTGGCTGACCCAGCTAAAAATGCATAAACAATAAATAATTGTTTTATTTACAAAAAATGAATTTAAAGTTGTTGACGTATAAATTTGTGTGTTACCATATAATATTTAATAAAAACTTATAGACAACCCATGTAAATCCTGGATACATAGCAAGCAGAAAATCTACTTCAGTGATTCACTTTCACACGTCCTCCTCTGCTATCTGATGTAATTCGAACCCAATGCAGTAATTTCTGAGAATTGAATAAAGGAAGAAAATTTTGTTTAGTGGAGGAGGAATGATCCTCTTCTAGCTTTTCCTATTTAAGAGGAACACCTTCTGCAAATAAAATACCGCATAAGACAGAGAAGCTACGAAAGATTTCAGCGATGCATATGGGACTCTCTTTAGCACGTACATCTTGGCCAACGGGCATCGAACCCCTTTTCTCAAATTTATGTTTTCCTTATCATTGTTTGGTTCAAATTTAATGTATAGAAAGAAAGGAAAATTATACACACTTTTCCTTCTCTTTCTCACCAAACTTTTGCTTAAAAAGGAATCATGTACAATAATCTTATTCATTTCCTACAAACTAAACATTACGTTACTATCTCAATGAATATCATCTCTAAATTCGTTAGTATTTCAACTCGAGTTTTATCCTGAATTATTGGAAAATTAGAGTTTTCCTTAAGTATTGTATAAATCACATGATCATTTAATTAATTCAGGAAATTTAAATGAAATTATGTCACTCCGGTGAAGGTCTATCTTCTGTGTCCAGAGGATTTTCAGTTTCTGTTACATGATGCATTCGAAATGTACCCCTCCCCCAAATTACAGAAACAAATAATTGATATACTAGGTTAATTCATTTATGATTCAATACATTACTTGAAGCAGCGTAAAATGCAATATGGCGGAAAATCCGGTACCTGTGGCTTTTATGGTCCAGCCCTTCTAGGTAGACACAAGAAAATCTGTGGCCAGTCAATCAGTCATGAACAAATGTTGTCACTAAATGTACCTGCGAAACACTTCAGTCATTTGATCCGTTTTCCAGGTACTTCGATAATTGCACGTTTATCATTGATTCGACTTCTTTAATGAGGTGGTAGTAAGTGTAGAGATTTTTTTGGCACATCTAGATTCAATTGGTTGAGATGCACTGCAATCATACGCAGATCAGGTCATCCCACTCACTGGTAACAGGATTTCTGAAACCAAGATTCCAATTATCATTGCCAGCAAACTTAAAACACAGCTTGCGGTCTTCCACCATCAGCATTACCAGATTGATTAGATCTGTATGTTGTATGGTCATAACTATCTGTTACTTTTCCATCATCATATTGCTTCTCAAGAACACAAGTATTTCTAAAGTAGTTCATATGTCATGGTGTTTTCACTCTCTCTCTTGATCCAACTTCAAGTTTCTTGAGGAATGGGATCCCCATGTTGTTCATCAAGCTTAATATTTCATTTGCTTTGCTTTCCTTTCCGGCCGATTTGTAAAAATGCACAGCTGCACTCATGATGAACCTGTCATATTTTGTTGACTCGCATATACTTTCAAAAAAGTTAATTCCTTCTTCAACATATCCACATTTCAGGTAACCATTCAACATTGTTCGGTAACATACAGGATCGGGAATTAAACCAAAAGTTGATAGTTCCTCATAAACCCTCTTGGCTTCATCAATCAACCCAGCTTTTGTGAATGCATGGAGTAAAATATTAAAATGGACACAAGATGGTGGTACACCTTTGCTATGCATAGCACGTATAGCATCCTCAGCTTTAGAATAATTCAGGCTCCTAGAATATGCTTGGACAAGGGAAAGAAATGTTGAAGAGTCAGGCAAACAACCTTGTTGCTGCATTTCCTGGAAAAGTTTCTCTACTTCATGAAGAATTCCAGCACTAGCATATACATTGATCATAATGTTGTAGCTGACCTGCATTCCCCATCAAAGGCAAGGAATTAACACTAAGATCTAACAAGAACAACAACAATCAAATCTTATCTCACTAGGTAAGATCGGCTACATGGATTACACGACGCTATTAAGTTCAGTCAAAGACTAAATTTTCAGAAATTTAAATTAGACAATATTCTACTATTGCAACATATAAATATTCTTGCAGTTCAATGCTGGAAATATAAAATATGTGAACTACTAATAACCATTAACTGCATCAAATATAATTTACAAGTAGATCATACAATTGGATACAGATATAATATATTGGGCAGAGTGATCGTAAACATGAAAATAAATGGACAACTGCTGGAGATATTTTGAGAGTGCAGTACAACTTAAGCTTTTGAGTAAAGTAATTCAATCATACCTGTAAGAACGAACAATTACATACTCTTGACTCTTGAGAATCTTGCCAAAAAAATTAACTTTACCTTTCCAGGTTTTATCCCTTCTTCCTGCATTTTACTGAACAACTGTGAAGCTTCAAGCATCATACCTACAAAATTTTTTAAAAAAAGTACAAGTTTGATTGCAACATTGTAGGACACACCAATCTTGAGAAAGTAAACAAACTAATCATGGTTCACCAATTATCACAGATTCTAGAATATTTATAAGCCCTGATCTCATCACGTTTGCACTCTCCATTTTATATGAATCATATTATATATTAAAGCTAAGAAAAATTATGCACACAAAATCCAGGTATAATGGATTTCTCAAATACAATGTTGCAATCATAATCATCAAAATTCATCTAGGCTAAGGTAAGAAGGCTCAGTACCAGCTTTCCCATAATAGCCAATTAAATTCATGTATGTTTTTTCATCCAAAGAGACACCTGATGAGCTAGCTTTGTTGAAAATCTCCACTGCTCTATCCAACTTCTGATTTTGCCCATAAACACTGCATCAGCAGTTTAACATTAAGTCTAAAAAATAGTAACCAAAATGATAAATATGAAAACTTCTATCAGTAAAAGACAGCTTATCAAAACTATAACCTTATCATCGTGTTGAATGTTTCAATTGATGGAGCAACACCTGAGGAACACATATGCTCAAAAATGCTAGTTGCAAAACGCAATTTGCCTACAACAAAAAACAAACAAACTCTAAGCATGCCTCCTGTTTCATTTTATCTTTCTTATGCAAGCAGGATGTTTGAAATCAACCTGCTTCAAGCATGGCTTTGATAAAGGTATTGTAAGCTACAGTATCAAGCTCCATGCTTTCTTTAAGACTCCTGTGAATAAAATTCTCAGCCTCCTGATGTTTTCCTGATATGAATTAAGCTTAGAATTATCTACTAATGCTAAATAAATGATGCTAAAAAGAGCAGCAACAAGGAATAAATGATGCTCCAATCACTTCCTGATTTTCTGAAACAAAAAGAGCAACATGATATTTCAAACAATTCTACTCTGTCAAAATAGAAACTTCAAAAATAAAAACTAATTCTCATCCAGTGCACTAGAAGCAATAACAGGCCAAACATCTGCTTAATCTTTTGAAACAATTGGAATACTGTAGGAATAGCTAAAAGAAGCCATTTAAATTTGAAAACACAACTTCAACAGAGGGAGGAAGGGGAATCTGCATTTGTGGCACGCATAACATACATACTAGATGAAATAGCCTTGTGTGGCCTGTGCATCTGAAACATCTAGTTGAAATTAAATCTATTACAGGCAGTTGTCCAAGCATAGAAATTCCTCTTGGATGGAGCTTTGGATTTTCAAATAGGGGCATGAAGATGGAATGAAACTGCATCCAAAGAATGGATTAGGATTTGGACCAGAACACTAGGATTAAGAACTAAATCCTTTGATTTGGACTCGAGGACAAAAAAATAGAGTAAAAAAATACCCAAAAGAGACTCCAAGGCAGAATCTTGAACATTATAGAAATTGTGGATAGAAGATTTGTGTAAGGAAGAACAACGCTAAATCCATGGGAAAACCAAATTAAGAGAGCAATCTCACAACCAATGATACTCTAAAAAATTTACATGATAACACCATTACTGAGTGCTGACCTTCAAGGAGTGTAACCTCAGAAGATAAATAAAATTTCCAAGGACCAAATGAGAATCTTAAGCATCTGCAATATATTATTATGGACCCTAAGAAAACTGCCCAAGTGGAGTCAGAATAAAAGAAAGGCATATAAGAAGCGCATCAGAAGCAGTCAAAAATCCTACAGATAAAACTTTCAGAATTAACAAAACAGGGATCAATGCCTTTCTCCAAACCTGAACCCATGTAAAACCTTCACAGTATTGTACAGCACTTTCAAAACAAACAAGTTGTGGATTTGTGGAATGCAACAATTATTGTCTTTATGTTTTCCATCTTATTATTAGAATAATGAAGGACTCGTGTTGCATGAGTCAGGATGATGCATGGATTAGACTCTAGTTTGCTTTACCATGGTCATACCTCCACTGGTCAAAGAATTTACAGCAATGCTAATTCCAACAGCACCCAAATCACGCCCTTCCTCAGTTGCTTGCTTGTATAGCAAATATGCTTTCTCTTGTTTACCACATTTGGCATATGCATTGATCATGGAGTTATACAGTAGTTTACTAGTTGTAGGAGAATTTACATATTCTGCAAAGATATCTTCAGCTTGTTTCAGCATTTGTTGTTTTCCATAATGGTTAATTAAAGAAGCCACAGTGGATTCTTCCATTCTGCAGCCAAGCCCACTTAATTCATGGTTGAGCAATTGTGCTTTACTGATTTCTCCTAGAAAAAGCAACACATTTACATTGAAAATAGAATTTCAAAAAAAGATATCAAAGAACATGGTATGACACATACCATCTTTAGACAAGCTGATGATGAGCTGACTAACAATTTTTGAACCCCCGGCATTACCCAGCAAAAGCTTCAGTAATATTTTTGTCTCGCTGAAGTTGCCATTTGTCAGAAATAAACTGAGCATCAGCCCAAGAGCTGAAGTGTTAAATTTGTCAATAGGCTCAACGGCATCATCTTTATCAACAGATTGCCTATCCCCCATATGTTCACAAAGAATCCAATAAAATGTCATTAAGAATTTATCATTTTTAAAGCATTCATTCTTAACCATCTGATTTGTCAACTGCTCAGCTTCTGGCACCATTCCCTCCTTACAATATACCTTCATAACTGTCCTATAAAGCTCCTTGTCAAAACGTGTCTCATCATCCCTTATTCGGACAATGAACTCCTTGGCCTTTTCCATTAAATTAAGTCCTACATACAGATTGAGCATATCATTACAAGAACCAGCATCAGGCAGCCCTGTCTTACAGAGTGCTAAAAATGTTCCTTCAGCTGATACTACATCTTCTTTCATCACATAACACTGCAGCAGCACAATATAAGCAAATCGGGAGAACCATAGGTTGCTAGACTTCATGAGTTCGATAACTTCCAAGGCTTTGTCTACATTTCCTGAAGTAAGATGGACTTGAGCCATTGCCAAATATGTTTTCTCATTGGTGAGTAAGCCCTGCTGCTTTGTCTCTTCAAATGTTTTATGAGCATCCTCATATAAACCAAGTTTTCCATAAATTCTTATAAGCAAACCATATATGACTTCGTCAACTGAAATTTTGTTCCTTACCATTTCTGAAAAGAGGGAGAGGGCTCTAGGGTAGTCCTCATATTTGTAGTACAAAGCTAGAAGTGAAGCACAGGTGTAATTACTAGGAATTATCCCTCGAAACCTCATATCATCATACAGTCTTTGCACTTCATCTCTATTACCACTTTTAGCTTTTAAATTTATAAGCAGGCTATAAGTTACTTCCTCAGGAACATTTCCATTATTCCTCATGTCATCAAAAGTCCTGAAAGCATCTTCGTGCAGCCCTTCTTTGACAAGTGAGCTGATGACTACTGTATAAGTAAAATAATTAGGTACCACCCCTTTATCCACCATATCCTTCCACACCTCTACAACCTCTCTATGGAGTGATTTCTTTTGCAAAGAAGACAACATAAAGTTGAAGACAGCAACAGAGAGAATTGTTCCCCTTTCTTTTACAGCTGAATAAAAAGACAGCATAGCCTTATGGCGTCCCCATCTGGCATACGAACAAAGCATCGTACCACAAGCAACTTCATCTGGCTCACAACCTGCATCAAGCATCTCCAAGAAGATCTCTTCAGCCAGTTTCAGCTTTCCAACTTGCCCATATAGGCGCAATACTATAGTGTAGACAATGACACTTGGACGGTAGCTCAGCTGTTGAAGCACCAGACTATCAATACACAGTATCAATCTCTATACTTCATAACAAAACAACAATATAAAACAAAATAATCATTTTCATGCCACACACACCCATAATGTTCACAATGATTTTCCCAAAAAAAGGACCTTATTTTGAAGATTTTAAATTAGATGAACACAAAAACAATCAAAATTCAAACCAACTGACCCAGAAGCTATGATACGCATGGACAATTGAATATAGAAAAGAAATCAGCACTATGATGCATATAACTTACACAGTAGGGCAAACACTTTATATGGTGCAACACACATTATTAAATATTAACCAAACACTAAGCAGAATTACAATTTGTTCGGGTAAATAGCTTAATTAAATGTTTATTCAATAACCTCTTTTCATACAAGTGTTTATGGCATGAATTTTGATCGTAAAATATCTTGGAATAAAGCTAAAAGGGGCTTATAGGAGTCATAAGGTACTATAATAAGCTCTTCTAAACGCAGCCTAGGTCGCTTATTTATCAAATAAACTCTTTTCACATAAGAATTTGATTAAGTTATACCAAAAATTTTATTAAAATAAGCCGAAAAGAGCTTATGGGAATCATATGCTACATTCAAGCGCACCCTTAATGAGTTATGTACATAAGATAGAAGTGAAGGGACCTGCAATTTCATCCAAGCAAAGAAGTCTCTGACTTGCCTCCACCCCTTTTGCTCCTTGAGCACAACGCACATCTCCTTGAAGCTGAGCTTGCCAACAAATGAAGCCATTTCCATTCTCATGTCGTAGTCTCCGTGGACTCTCTGAGAGAGGGAACGAACCTTCTTGATTGCAGCCACCACGTGCTTACCATACAAGTGTCCGTCACGGTCATCCTGCAAGTACTGAACCATTTGTTCAGGGGTCCTCTTTATCCACTTCGGGGTCTGCGCCTGGGGACCCTGGTTCCGGCGCAGAACGCTAAGGTACGCAGCCTTCTTCTTTATGATGCGCCGAGCATTATCGTCCGAGAGAGGCTTCTTTGGGTTCTTTGACCTCGGCTTCGGTCTCGTTGGGTCCCCCGAACGCGGAGACCACGGGTCGCGGTGGACGCATGAGCGAATGCGAATGCGAATGGGAAGGGGTGGCTTCTTCTTTGGGTTGTGAACCAGTGGTGTGGATAAAAGGAATGGAGATTTCAGACACTCCATTCTTCGATTTCTTCACTGTGCTACTGCTCGTTTCGGTGGCATTCTGGATATTTAATACGACATTGGTCTTAAGATATTTCCCCTTTTTTTTTCAATAAGAAAAAAGGTGTCTAGCAAAAATTAAACAAATGTTGTTTAGACACCTAGAGTGATATTTGTAGGTGTTTTTTTTTTTCTAATGTGCTTATAATGTTAAGTTATAGAGATTTAAACGAAATTTATTAATAATATAAATAATATTTACTTTGATTTCATTTATCTATCCTTTTTAACTTTGTTATTAAAAAAATATTAATTTTGTGAATGTGCACTCTATTTTAGAAAAAAATATTCAACTTTTATATTTATTTAACTAACATAATAAGTATAATTTATAATTTTATTTTATTATAAAAAATATATAAACTTATTCCATATTTTTTTACTGATAAAAAAGTATGCGTTAAAATTAAGCTAAAATAAAACATTATATATATATATATATATATATATATGGTGTATATTGCTTAATGCAATTCTAATATAGAGGAATTTAACTAAATGTGTATTAACGATTTTTTTTCATAAGCTTGTGAGCTTTGTGATATCAAAAAATGAGGAAATATTACACTTTTCTTTACATTACGATACTTCTACGAGACTGTGATACATGGTATTCGAAAGGTTTTGTATTAATATATATTTATCTGAAAATTTATATGAGACATTACTTAATATGGATAGAATTTAAGTGAAAAAGTAAATAGAAATGAATTTAATAGTGTGGTTTGCAATAGTATAAATAATTTAGATTTAGAAGAATAATATTATTTTTGATAATAGTATATTAAATGTTAATGAAATGTTTGATTCTATTAAGTATTATTTTTTTGTGACTTGCGGTGGACTTTTGAAAAGTTCAATTGTATAAGTGAATTAGATTAATGATTCCTTAACATCTATTATTAATTCTCTTTGAAAATGTAATGGGTTAGAGTACTCTTATACTCATTTCATCTTTAATAAAATGTTGATACTTAAAAAAAAAACTAAAATAATATCATACATATATTTATGTTAAACCATTTATAATATCAAATTTTAAATGTTCAAAAAATAAAAATACTTTTTTCATATATATTCATACTAACCACTTGTACTTTATTTATGTTTAAATATATTTTTTTAGATACATATATAAAATAAATAAATAAAAATATATACAATATCATATGTTTTATATTAATTTTTAATAATTTAAATAAAAATTATTATAAATAAGTCACTTTCACTTAATAATCATTATCATTCTCATACTAAAGTTGTAACTAGTTTATATGATTATGTGTGTTTAAAATAAAATAAAAATTGATGTTAAATCATTAAATTTATTTGAAAAAATTTAAAGATGGATTAAATTAAAAACTTAATTATAAAAAAAAAACTACATTCCATATTACCATTCGATTCAAATTTCTATTCATATATTTATATTATTTTTTATTTTATTTTCATTTATATACTTTTTATTTTATCATTACAATGCATAAATATACGGTCTACTACTTTTGTTTCTTTTAAATACCATTTTTTCAATTAAATATATTTTTTCTATAAATAAATATATAGTCCTTTCATAATTTTGTCATTTTAAATAATTTATTTTATTTATTTTAAAAATTTGTATAAATATGCTTATTTTTATGTTACTTGTTAATCTAAATAAAACTTAATTTGAAATGCATATAAAAAGAAATAAAGTTAAAAATTAAAAACAAAAAAAATATAAATTGAATCATAAAACATTAATTTAGTTTTATTCGATTTTGATGTTATATTTAAACTAAGCTGCGTAAAATTTGTCTAGTCAGTTCAAAGTGAAAATAAAATTAAACGCAACCTTGAAGACCCGTACGATTGAGACGCATTTATACATGGATTTTTTACTTATATCATTCTCTCTCTTTTCTTACATTACCTATCTTCTCACATTTTTTCTTTTTTATTTTTGTTGAATTGAATTTTTTTTTAATAAATTTTGTTATTTCTCAAACAAAATGACTTGTGATTTACGGCCAATTTTTTCACATATTCTCATAATGCTATTTGTTCCTGTTAAGGTAACACGGGTCTTCAAGTCTTTGCTCTGACTTGCTGACGTTTCTCTAACCGTTGCTGACGTGGGAGATACCTGCAAAAGGCACTCCGATGCTGAAGTCAGGATTCGGTTCTGAGTAATAAATGCTATTTAATAATAAGAAGTCAACCCTTTACCTATACTTTTTACCTTCCTTATATAGACACTGTAATGGGCCTATTGAAACAGTCTTCATTTTACCCCTTTATTTAAAGTAAATAATATCTTGATAATTACCCTTAATTGAGTTAATTACCTTTTAATCCTGACGAGAGTTATCCGGCCTATTATGCTGAATAGGTACTCGATTTCCTTTCCTACGAGTTGATCTTTCTCCAGTACACTGTTTATGTGAGTCATTAAATGTAATCTCAGGCATGGAGATCAATTAAATTTCCATCCTTTTATTCTCTTTCAATCGATATAAATAGAATCAGGCTACAACTAACAACTGGAACATGTGGAGTACTTGTCTAACTAAGTTAAAACTAGTTATCATGAATGTTTAGTTCTTGAATATAAACTTCCTTTGACCTACTGTTTATGAATGCAGTTTTTATGATGATAGTTGGATGTACACGTATTTGCATTTGGTTGCAGATTATGTTGAGTGTGATTTCCAGTTTTCATTTATATTTGAATATTTATGTTTTGATTATAAAAGCATTATTGAAAATTTTATGCATTATGTTCTGGATTGGTGTTATGTTGGTTTAATGTGGGAGGCAGGTAAGGCCTACTCATTGAGTTTCGTGGAAACTCACCCATCTTTCTTCCCTTTTAGATACAGCAAGAAGTTGATCCATCCATATTAAGTCCAGAAGTAGAACACTTTGGTTCCGCTCGAATGGTATGCGTCAAGAGAAGAGGTTTATGTTTTATTTCCGAGTCAGCAGAGTAGCTCCAGTGGATTAGCGGAATAGGTTGCATGTAGTTTGTTTATAAAAGTATTTTTGAAAACTAAGGTTATATTTGGATTGCTCTAAGCATATTTTGAAAGAAAGTATTAAGTATGTTGTTTGATTTGATTGATCATAGATTCTGTATTTGAAAGTAATGATAGACAGATGTGATGATGGTTATGATAACGGATTTGGGGCACAACCCTTAGATTTACAGGATTGGATAATTGTTGTTATGAGAAACATGTTTTCAGAAAGAAACTTTAGATTCGATTTGTAAGTTGAAACCAAATTATTGGATTTGGTGTTTTTGGATTTGAAAGGAATGGATATTTTGATTGAAGTTCTGGATATTTTAATGAGCAATTATGCGTATAGATGAGTCAAATATCAGAAAGGCTTCCGTGTGGGACCGGTCACGGCCCAGAGGTCTGGTCTGGTCGTGACACTCACCATCATATAAATAAGTCCTTGGAGACGGCAGATTCAAGGCTTCTCACTCAATAATGTGCTCACCAATGGTCTTCTTCCTAGGAGTTGAATCATCAGTCCTTGGAAAGGTATCACTAATTTCAATGTCTAATTTTGAATCTTTCTTGATATTTAAGGCCCATCATCACTGCCACACATATTTCTCTCTCCATTTTCAATATCGATATCGTTTTTTGAAAACACTATCGACGATCAATGTTATGCACCTAAATGGAGTTTGCCCGATTGCATTATGAATTTTTCATTCTTAGTGTAAATCTGAGATGATATGTTGGAGGCTTAATGACCCTACTGCAAGATAAATTCTGTTTTACAAAATTTTAAACGCAGATTGGATGCTTTGATGATCGTTAAAGGAAACTTCAGTGTGAAATCTTATTCATGATGTAAAACTTGAATGCTATGCTGGAGCATTTTCAAAATGAATTTTATTGGTATTGTAAAATTGGAACATGCACCCTAAGTAGAACTGCAATATGAAATCTTTATTCATCGTGTACATGATATTATGTTTGAACCTTTGATGACCTTAAATGAAATTACAAAGTGAAGTTTATATTTTCAATGTAAAATTGGAATAGTTTAAAAAAATTTAGGCTTAACTTACTTTTAAAAATTAACTTATAGGAGAAAAATTACTCATACCCTTGTAAGAAATATTTTAACTCTATTCCTAATTAATACATGATATCTTAACAATAAGGAACATCATCGTACCTTGGAGGCCCCAGTTGTTTTATATGCCAAAACAATTAATGGGCCATCAGCACCCCTATTTATTAGTTTCAAACTAATCTTCCTTTCCCTCTATTTCTATCTTCTGCTTGGTCAGGGCCTTTGCATTGTGTAGCAGTGTCTAAAGGCATATTAAGCTGGATTATCTGTTTATGCATAGGTGGATGGTGCTGTCGTGAAAGGCATATTGAGCTACCATTTTTAGTGTTGTGAAATGGCATTTACTGAAGAGAGATACCATTTCAAATAGAAGTAAAGTGATGGGATATCATACCACATTGGATAACGCTACCAAATATCATCCAGCCAATGAGATTGAATGGTGGGGACTGGAACATGTTTCCGTGGCTAGATTTGGAAAATGAATAGAAAGAAACAGTTGGTGAACGATATGGCTGGGTCAGAGCTTATTAACAGTTTGAGACAGCATGTAAGATATATAACTCTCTGAAAATCCCTTAGTTGATACTAGATTCCATAGTAATATATCGCATAGCTTAACAATACCTGTTGAGCAGCTTCCTACTTTGACTGCCACTGCTCTTTAGAAAACTAGGAAAAGGAAGAGGAAAACTTTATTAATTTGCTACTAATTGTTTAATTATTAATAAATGGGGTTATTAACTAACTACTCACAAGATATATATTTTAATTGTCCTACAATTTAACATTTATCATTTCATTCTTACACCATGTTGTATTACTAACCTCAATACGGTGCTTGGTTCTTCGCTTGGTTGGGTAGTCTCTTGTATTTTTTTATGCAACTATATCGTTACCCAGCATTAAAATGTTAAAATAGCAATTGACAATAAGTTGACTTGCTTAACAATAATGAAAACTTTTGTCAATTCTTAGTATGTTGTAGAAGTCACTTCTCCTAGTTTTCCATATTTTCTCCGAGTGTTAGGAGGAAACAGTGGAGTAAATTTCTCCCAGTTTTATAGAACTGTATCGTGTTCTCTGGAAATTGTGTAGACATGGTTACGGTTTCTTAGACCACTTAGTAACCGGGTTCAACCTTGTTTTCTTCTTTGTGTGTATGAAACATGAATATTGCAGGGGCATACCGTCGTCCTAATTTTGCACTTCAATCGGGTATTTGCAGTTCTTGCCAGGCAATTGGTCTCGAGACTAACTTATGTGAAAGAGGAAGAGATTTTGCCGTTAATAGATAATGCTACTGAAGGAAAACATCCTTTTGTCAGATAACACGTTGCAACTCAGCTTAATACGCAGTACAATATCTCACTGCTGGATCGTGCCCTTACTATTTCGGGGAATCTTCGGAATCAACGTTGTACTCTTAATAATATTTTTTTATTGATTCATTAATAAGTACTATTTTAAAAGCATTGATTAATCATTTTTTGTGTACATAATACTTTTATTATTATTATAACGGATAAAAATTTATTCTTAGAATTAATGACGTGGTATGGAAAAGTCTTAAGTATTTTGTCTATTGCACTTTGCACACTAATTTTGTCGGTATTTAAGTTATTAATTATTAAAAAACATTGTGTATTTTAAAATTTTGGTTAAATTCCAATTGTTATTTTATATATAAAAGTAATATTTTGTCACTTGGAACTATGCACATGACATTGTATGAGACATTCATTTTTTTTCCTACAGTATTTACAATTTGATAATATTTTTATAATAATATACACATAAAAAAAATTTACACTATCTCTCGCATTGTCCACAGTCAGTGAGTGCAACGATGCTGGCAAGAAATGCAATCTTGAGGAACGCAGAGCTCCCTAACCCTATCTCTTTGAGGAAACCAAGACCCTCTCGCAAACGCAAAGAAAACGTTCCTCCTTTGAAGAGCCCCTTGCCCCCAAGGCCTCCCTCTTCCCACCCAAACCCTCTCAAACGCAAACTCCCTGATATTTCGCTTCCCGCTACCCCCTCCCATTATGGCGTCAAGGTTATTGTGCGGACGAGGCCTCTGTGCTGTGATAAGGACGAAGGAGATTCCATAGTTCATAAGATTTCCACTCATTCCTTGTCCATCAATGGTCAGAATTTCACATTTGATTCCGTTGCTCACACTGACGCTACTCAGGCATGCTTTTGTTTGTTATACTGAACTCTCGTTCCATTCCTGTCTCTTGTGATTTCATGGGATTCCTGTCTTCTTTTTGCAGTTAGATATTTTCGAGCTTGTTGGGGTGCCTCTTGTAGACAATTGCTTGGCTGGAGTCAATAGTTCAGTTTTCGCTTATGGCCAGGTTTCTTCCAATTGTCTGTCGTGCTGTTATGTTGCTCTTGCTATTTGTGATTATATTGATTTTCAAAGTTCTGTAGACCGGGAGTGGGAAGACTTATACCATGTGGGGTCCTGCCAATGCTTTGTCAGATGACAGTTCAACAAATGACCAACAAGGCCTTGCCCCTCGTGTTTTTGAGCGACTCTTTGCCCGCATAAATGAAGTAAGCATAAGTTCTATTCCTGATTAAGCCCTTTTGTGGTTATATGAACTTCATCACAATGCTCATTATTGTGTTTCCTGCACAGGAGCAAATTAAGCATTCTGACAAGCAACTCAAGTATCAGTGCCGCTGCTCTTTTCTTGAGGTTGAATTGAATGACTATTAATAGTTTCTTTCCATGTTCCTGTCCTGCTTAACCTTGTTATCTGGTCCTCTTGACGTGCGAATTTGTTTTGCAGATATACAATGAGCAAATTACAGATCTATTAGATCCGAATCAAAGAAACCTACAGGTATAATTTAAATTGTTGGTAGTTTTTCCTCATTCATGCTTGACTAATATATGCTAGAACTGGTCTTTTGTTGCTTATTCAGATCAGGGAAGATGTCAAATCTGGCATCTACGTTGAAAATCTTACAGAGGAGCAAGTGTGTACAATGAAAGATGTGACTCAGCTTTTGGTAAAGGTGTGTTTCATTATACTTGTAGTAGCTTAACTTTTGATACTCTGGAGGCCTGTAAATGGGGAATATGCATGTTGCTCATTGCCAAATTAAATGATTTTGTGTTTTGTATCTATACTAAATGCATTTAAATTAAACTTCAATGCCTTTTTTTCTCATTAAAATTCTTGGAGTATAAAATATCCAAAAATATAAAACTCATTAAATTAGAATGCTTATTTTAGTTTTGTATCAACAAGATAGATCTGTTGTACAATATTGATCCTGTAAGCTGCAGTGTATTTTCTTTTTATCTGGATACTTATAATTTCTAAATCGGTGGAAGTCGCACAATTCATGTCAGATTACTGTGTATGCTGTTAGCAATGTGCCCAATTAGGGAATATATACAAGAAGGAATAAGAATGGCCCAACGTCCATTAGTTATTATTAGTTAAAGCTGCTACAGAAGTAGTTAGCTCTCTTATTGCAGTAACTAAGGTACGATATAAATAGAGGAAAAGACTGGAATTGAAGTCAGTTAGTGGGTCAATTAGTTTTAGATGTGAGAGACAGGCTCCCAAATTCCTAGCTATCTCTATTATGAACATTTTTTCTCTTCTTCATTCTGGGTTCCGTTGATCCAGCAGGAAGAATATTCAATAAAATATCTTTCTTTCTGGTGATCTCCACCTTTTGATCCAGGTACATAAACCTGTGCATAACAAAATGATTAACAGATTGTCATTGTGAGATGTGTTTATGTAATTATTAATCTATGGTTTGTTTTAGGTGGTGAGTCTATTGGGTTTAATTTGATCAATTATATTAGACAGTTGTGGCTTTCCTCTTCCATCATTGTTGCCTATTTAGCCACTCAACCATTCCATTATAAGTAAAAGTCGATCAAAGATATTTTATAGGATACAAATAGGATCCAATGACAATTTATCAAGGACTATTTTTTTTGTAATAGTTGTCTTTATTCTCATAATCAAGGGAAACAAAAGTAATAGACAGACAAAATTTTTAATTATATATTATTAATGCATTTGAGAATCAGAAACTTACTTAAATATCTGGTACTTATAGAAGTACTGGCAGCATTCTTCAATTTACTTAGCATCCTTGTTACATCTGCAACAAAACTGAGATGGTGCATCTGTTGCTTTCTTAACTTTCAGGGTTTTATGTGTCAAATGTCAAGCTGATTTGAAGTTGAACAACTCTTTTTTACATTTTAGCTTTCCATTTTAATTCTTATTTTTTATTATTTTAATATATTCCCCCTTTGTTTATTATATACTTTTGAGCTCCAAATTTCATAATTGTCAAGGTTTTCCTTTGTCCTTTCCTCTTGTGTTTTGAACATTATATACCTTTCATTGTGCAGGGTTTGTTAAACAGGAGAGTAGGTGCAACTAGTATAAATTCTGAAAGTTCACGTTCACATACTGTTTTTACTTGTGTTGTTGAATCTCGATGCAAGGTGATGGATTCTTCTTTTGTGGCTTGGAGATTGTTGAATAATATAATTTTTAATAATGTTAGATAAATTGTATCATGGGTTGTATGTAGATTGAAAGGCCATGCAGTTAACAATTTTAACTAGACAAAATTTTAAAAGAAATGATGTGTTGCAATATTGGAATATGAAATCTAACAATCCTGAATTTTTGTTTTTCATTTCTGCTGTTTGCCGAAGAGGTATTGAAGTAAGTTCATATTTTCACTTTGCAGAGCACCACCGATGGTGTAAGCAGGTTTAGAATAAGTAAAATCAATCTTGTTGATCTTGCCGGGTCAGAACGACAAAAATTAACAGGCGCAGCAGGAGACCGTTTGAAGGAAGCTGGCAATATCAATAGATCACTTTCACAGCTTGGGTATGTTTTAAAATGCATGTGTATACTGATATTTGATATCAGAGTTGAAATACAAATTACATAAACAAACAATGAATAGCTTTGAATCAAAATCCTTTGGTAACATATTTAATGGAAGATGAAAACTTAAGGAAAAGATGAATTTAGCTTTAAAGATAGTCAACTGGTAGAAATTGTGAGCAAAATGGGAATTGTGAATAGTGAAGTGGAAGGTTTTGTCATGGAAGCTGCTAAAACCACATTGAGTCCTAGAAATCATCTAAAGTTCATGATACCCTGCAACATGGGCAATGGAAAGATGAAGCTTAATGTGAGAAAATCATTGCTACAACAAGAACAACCAACTAATTGTTATCCAATAATTTCTACTCTTCCTTGTAAATCAAAAGGGCATAGAATGTTCTCTCACACGTAGAACAATTATCATTATTAGTATTAATAGAGAGTAGGGTTAGTGGTTTATTTGAAAATGATGTAAATATCTGTTAATCTCTAAAATATTAAAGGTATCATAACCGTCAATTTAAATAGGGTGTTCAATGTCCTCTCAAGTTTAGGGGTACTGTGGCAAGTACCTTGTTATCCCACAGGTTGTTGGGTTGATTCCATGGATCAAACAGTGCTATTATATCATCAAGTCATATTTTTATAAATTCATTTAGAGTATGCTCTTCTTGCTGGACCTTGTGCTAGTCTTCTCACATGACAAACCAACTTAGGCAAGCATTTTTTGTCATGTTTTCATCAATAGGTACTACTTCAACTTTCTTTTGAATACACTAGTCTTCCATAGGACTTCTTGTGGAACCATACCAGACTTTTTTCTATATCAATGAAAACCATGTTCTGGTCTTTTTGTTTCCTTCAATCAAACCCCATAATGTGTATATAGCATCTATAAGCATGTAGCCTTTACAAGGCTTGTTCAATACAGGTTTTGCATTCTTCTATCATTTTAGACATAAATGCTTGCCCACTGATTGTATTGTTGGCAAGGCACTTAATTTACTCTAACAATTGCTTGGATATTATTCAAAGCTGAAAATTACTATTTCTTACCATTTTATTACTCATTCAGCATATTAATATCTTCCTTACTGCCAAATTCTGCAGTCTCATTCCATCCTTCCTAGAACTTACTTTCTTAATATATTGCCCACAGATTGAATTGTGGGCAAGGCACATAACTTACTCTAACAATTGCTTGTATATAATTCAAAGCTGAAAATTACAGTTTCTTACCATTTTATTACTCATTCATCATTTTAATATCTTCCTTATTGCCAAATTCTGAGCACTCTCTTTCCCATCCTTCCAAGTACTTACTGAGGTTAAATTGGACTGCAGGAATTTGATAAACATTCTTGCTGAAGTTTCTCAGACTGGAAAGCAGCGGCATATACCGTATAGAGACTCCAGGTTGACATTTTTATTGCAGGAATCTCTTGGAGGAAATGCAAAATTAGCATTTGTTTGTGCTATTTCCCCAGCACAAAGGTAGATATTATCAACTACTAGAGATTTGAAAATTATCTGGCTCTTAATATATTCTGTATTTAAGACGAGTTAACAATTGCAGCTGTAAGAGTGAAACTTTTAGTACATTGAGATTTGCACAACGTGTCAAAGCTATCAAGAACAAAGCAGTTGTTAATGAAGTAATGCACGATGATGTGAACCAATTGCGAGAAGTGATACGCCAACTCAGGGTATCTCTCTTCCACTGTGATCAATATTTTTTTTTCTGGGCTGGTACATAAAATTTGTTTCATATATAACTGTAAGAAATCAAACAGGATGAACTTCATCGAATTAAAGGAAATGGTTACGGTCCAAGTGATGGAAGTGGAGGTCATTCAGCAGCTTGGATCAGAAAAAGTTTGAATTTATTGCAGTCTAGCCTCAGTCGCCCATTATCACTACCTCACATTGATGATGATGGTGATGAGGAGATGGAAATTGTCGAGGAAGGTGTTGAGGATCATGCTGTAGTTCTCCACAATTCCAATGGAGGTTTTGCTGGTTTTTCAGCCGCCAATGGATCTATTGATTCTCCTAGTGCTGGAATGAATTGTGATACCCCTGCTAGCCTCGGCATAGTTCAAAGTGATACATCGCCCATCCTCAAATCTACAACTCCCAGTGTTTCGCCAACAATTAGCAGCAGCAGGAAAAGCTTGAGGACCTCATTGATGCAGTCTCCTTCTGAGAATACGCTTTATGGAGAAAATGAGAGAGATACAAAAACTGTTGATAAAAAATGCTTGTCTACTGCTCTGTCTAGCCAGACAGCTCCAAATTTCCCTGCTAAAACTGGTAATTTAGCAGCAAGCATCTGCCATGGTCTTGAAATTATTGATAGAACCCATCATGGAGCATCGTTATTGAGTCTCTCACTGAGAGCCAAAGATTCCAGGCTAATTTTTCCGGTGGACAAAGTTGATGTGGGAGTGCAGGCTTTTCTAAATGATAACACTGAAAATGAAGATCATGTTGTGTTTTCCTGTAATAACTGTAAAAGCAGAATGCAGCTTGATGTCAGTGACACTGACAATAGTTCCAACATGCAGCTTATACCTATTGATTGCCCTGATTCTACTGATAAGCCAAAGAAGCAAGTTCTGAAAGTGAGTGTAATGATATCAACTGCATTGTCTGGTATAGCTTAAATTCAATCTATTTTTATTTCTTTCTTTTGTAATATAGGCAGTAGAGAAGGTTTTGGCAGGATCCATAAGGAGAGAAATGGCACTCGAAGAGTTCTGTGCAAAGCAGACTTCAGAGATAATGCAGCTCAATTGCTTGGTAACTTTCTGTTTGTTTATTGACAACCATCTGTGGGCATTGTTTTTCTTTTATTTGACTATTTTCTTTTTCCAATCACATTTGTAGTTGCAAAAGTACGAGCATGAAAGGGAATGCAATGCCACAAAAACACAGATTAGGGAAGAAGAGTTGGTGTCCATCACACATGAACACAAGGTAGAAATAAGTTATTTTATCATTTCTTTTTTATGATTACTTTCTTTGATGGCTAGTATTTAGGATTTTACCCACTATTCAACAGCTTTTAAAGGAGAACTATGAGCATCATCCAGAAGTTCTGAAAATGAAGATAGAATTAAAAAGAGTACAAGATGAGTTACAAGAGTATCAGAATTTTTACCAATTTGGGGAGAGGGAAGTGTTGATGGAAGAGATATGTAGTTTAAGAAATCTGCTTCACTTTTATGTTGACTCTTCATCCTCTTCTGCTATAAAGCAATGTCCGCTATTGCAATTGACTTATTCATCTAGACCTAGTTTGGCAACAAAGCTCACTTCCATTCCAGATTCAATGGAGGCTATCACTGGAGCAAATGTAAATCCAGAATCAACTGAAGACAGTGCCAAAGTAAAATTTGAACAGGAAAGAAGTCAATGGACCAAGGCAGAAAGCAGGTGGATTTCTCTAACTGAAGAACTGAGAGCTGAACTTGAAGCTAACAGGTTACTAGCTGAAAAGAGGAAGCAGGAACTAGATAGTGAAAGGAAGTGTGCTGAGGAACTGAATAAAGCAATGCAAGTAGCTATAGAAGGACATGCAAGAATTTTAGAGCAGTATGCTGATTTGGAAGAGAAGCATGTCCAATTGCTTGAAAGGCATAGAATGATCCAGGATGGAATCGATGATGTCAAGAAAGCATCTATGAAAGCAGGTGTAAGAGGTGCAGAGTCCAAATTCATAAATGCCCTTGCTGCAGAGATTTCAGCACTAAAAGCAGAAAAAGAAAAAGAAATGCGAATTCTAAGAGATGAAAATAGGGGGCTTCGGGCTCAATTGAAGAATACAGCTGAAGCAGTGCAAGCTGCAGGTGAACTCCTTGTGCGACTTAAAGAAGCAGAAGAAGGTGTCATTTCCGCCCAGGTGATTAAAGAATCAACGTGTATTTTCAAATTTCAATCTTTACCATTTGAAAAGCTTGAAAAAAAAAATCAATGCACATGTTCAATATTTTTGCTGACACATGTTGCTTTTGTCAGCATCATGCACCCCCCTCCCCCCCCCCCCCCCTTCTTCCCTCACAGTCTTCCAACTTTACATCATCATCACCAATATTGTCCTGGACTGATCAATTGATGATGTCCTTTGATCTTTTTAAAAAACACCCATCTGTTTCTTCTATTCTCATGCTATGTAGACTCGTAGAGAGTAAAAATTGGATATTAAATTATTTAGAAGGTTAGCCATCAGTAGAAACTTTGATTATTGATTTCCTGTGACAAGATCAAGTAGTATCAATGTCATTCTTATTCAATTTGAGGACAAGGGAGTGTAGAGTGACAATAAGATATTATTAGAAGTGAACCGGTGTTATAATAGATATGTTGGTGCCAGGCAGCAACATAGTATGCAAAGCTAGTTGGAATAACTTGATTTGATTGGAAAATGGTTATTGCAATAGGTTAAGAAAAAAGGTTTCCACCCTTTATACTATTTTCAAATTTCAAGAAATAGACAACTTAAACTGAAGGAAGATAAAAAGATGAAAGAGGAGAAATAACTTGTAGTTTTTATTTTTAATTGCTAAAACTCATTTGAAGCACATGGTAAATAGATAATTTTATTGGGTATTCATGTTATAAAGAACTTAAGACATTTACATTCATGGCAATAGCATTCTATTGTGTACGTCAATTGTTTTTCTTTTTATATGCACATTTTGTAAAAAGAAGAAACATTTTTTCTCCACCCCCTCCTTATTATGAATGGTTAAAAAGCCACTTAACTTTTTTATGTGATCATATGACTTTTAAAAACTTTGAAGCATGGCCATCTATTTATGGTTCATACGACCCATTCACATAAGAAAAGTCTCACCCATTAAATGTATATCTTGTGTGTGTGTGTGTGTGTGTTTGAAGTCTCTTTCTCTCAAATATTTATTAATAATATATTTCTCTCAATTGAATTTCTATTAAGAAGATGTGCAGCTCAGCTCACTATTTGAATCTAACTCTAAGATGTAATAATTTGCAGAAGCGGGCGATGGAGGCAGAGCAGGAAGCTGCAAAGGCATACAAACAGATTGATAAATTGAAGAAGAAACATGAGAAGGAGATTAGCACACTTAATGAGCTACATGCCAAAACAAATTTACCTAAGGAAGCTATACAACCTACTTTTGATGACTTTGTCATCCCTACTTCTGATGACTTTGTCATCCCTACTTCTGATGACACCAAGATGCCACTCAATTTTAATGATCAATTTGAGCTATTTTGTAACGAAGAGGATAGTGAGCTTGCAAGATTATCAGAGCAATCTTGGTTCTCTGGTTATGACAGATGCAACATATAGTTTAATCACATAAGGTTAATATCAGTGGTATTCCTGATTTTGTTCATTTATCCATACAAAGAAATAATAGTTTCCTTTCAATCTTACGTTAATTATTAGATGAAATATTGAAAGGAAGGGACTTAATTTAATTAACAACTTTTTTAACATATGTCTAAGGTGTAAGGATACACAATAAGAACTTCTAAGTTATTATTGAAAGTAACATGATAACACAGAATTCAATGTCTAAATAACACACACGTTATTTTATGCTACAATTTAAAAAATATATATTATTTTTTGTTTTTTTAATATGTCTTTGGACTGATTAAATAATCAGAAAAAGAGCAGTAAATCTTAATAAAAAAATTAAGAGGACCGAATTTGCATATATTAAAATAAGAGGACTAAAACTACAATTAGTCTTACAATTCTAGCAATAATTGTAGCTCTATAAAATGGGGCAAATAGCCAAATATATAAAATAGTAGCTCAATCCACAATGGAGCAAATAGCTCAAAACATACCAATATTCTGTTGTATGACCTGCATGTCTGCATTGGTCTGACTGAACCTTTCGTAGAGTACAAAAATATTTACAGATCAGATTAAAATGGATTTTAAACAAGTCCCTTGAGAGAAATTGATATGAAAAATCATTGTAAAGATAATATAACTCAAAAAGTAAAGTGAGGCAACGTCATTACAAATTGAAGTGGAATAATAGTGGCCAAGTGTTTACATTAATATGTACATTAAATCAGAAAATAGATACAGAATTAAACAGAAAGCTTTAGGACTATAATTTATTATACGAATTTTTTGATGTGTCTAAAAGCATACAATAAAATTTTTTGTATAATAACTTTTTATAAAAAATAATATATCACATTTCAATACATTATTAATAATAAATGTTGTAAATTTGAATAAAAACTTATTATTTTTATCTCTTAAGTGTTTTAGATACACATTAAAAAATTATTTATGATAAAATTGAGAAAACTCCACCGTTAAACCCACCTCATTCGTCCAAAAGATAAGCCAACCATAATACAAAATCACAACCTAACCTAACACATAATTCAATCAGTAGTCAACAAATTCTATATTGCTGCCAGGATAGAAACTACAAAAAGGCAGAACTACATGCCGAAGAGTATCATACATTAAACATTCCATTTAATTAAATTAAATGAAACATTTCGAATGGATATTATTGTTTATATTTTGACCTTTTTAATGAAACAAAATATGAAAACATTTCAAGAAATATTCTGTATATGTTTTGCAAATTATTTAAAGGAATTATCAGCTGATATTTTACCTGATACAATTCCAAATAAAAAAGATAAAAATGTAGATATTAGAAGCTGATAATTGCAAATTCGCAAAGCTGCGAGCTGAAGGCAACGTTTCACTGAAACTGGTAAAGATAGTATTAGGTTGGTGTGGTATTCCATACAGTTGGGACGCCAATCAATTACTATTAAAAAGGAAAGAAAGGGAAAAATTAGATATGGGTACTGTGAGACTTTCTGTTTAACGTTAATGATGATGTTAGGTTAAAGTATATATAATAATGATTATTTCTCCTTGTTATATTTATTAAAATAAAAATCTTTATTTTCTCTTTTATGTATGAAACACCTTAAGCTATGTTTTAACGTTGGGAAGGAGAGTAGAATGGAAGGGAAGAGTCAGTGAAGTTTAATCCCAGTTTGAAATTTAACTAAGTAGGAGGGAAAGAATTAGGAAATTTTCTCTTAAAACCCTCTTAATTTTTTTTTTCAATCTTGAATTGTTCTCTTGCCCACTACTTCGTGTTTCTCTTACTCATTCCTTCTACTTCTTTACAACTAGGATTTTTTTTTAATATATTAATTTTTAATGTAAAATTTTAAAAAAATTACAAAAAATAAAAATATTAATTTATAGAGAGAAAAAAATATTTATATAAGAGTGTTAAACCTTTCTTTTTCTCCCTTTCTTCTTCCTTCAAATCTTTTTCTTTTCTTCTCCTATAAACAAAGTCTTATTTTTTACAAGAAATATAAATAAATATAAAAATGACGTGAAACTTGAGTTTATAATCTATTTTATATATATATATATATATATATATATATATATATATATATATATATATATATATATAGACACACTAAATATGATACATATAAAAAAATCAATATTTACATTATTGAATAATTTTTCATAAAATATTAAATTAATTAATTTAACTTTTAATTTAAATATTTTTATCAAGTAGATTAGATTTATAAAAATTTATAAAAAATAAAATTAGTAAATATTTCATCGCATTATATTTACTTTATTTAATATTTTTAAGAAATATTAAATTTTATCAATTTAATTTTTTTAAAAGTATATATTTATATTAATTATATGTATCAAATTTTAGATCAAATAAATATAAAAAATGTGTAATAATAATAAAATTATTTAAAATTAATTTTTATTTATATAATTTTTTGCAAGCTAATATCTATTTAAGAAAAAGTTATTGAATTAACAAAATTCAATTTTTAAATAAGTTGTTGAGTAAAGTAACTCTTCTTAAAATAACTTAAAATTTGCCGTTTCGTTTATATGAAAAATTAATATATTTTACACAAACTCTTATTTAAGTTAGTCCTTTTAGAGGTTAAAGTATTATTGTTAGTTTTTTTTTTTTTTAAATGGTGAAATAGTTTTTAAATATTTAAAACGTTATTAAGTCTAACATCGTCAAAGATCAAATTATTGTTTTTCACAGATGCACTCACTGCAGATTCGAATACTGCGTCAGGGGATTTTGTCATTCACTTCCTGTTAACTTTGGAATGTGCAGTCGTGGGCATAAACATCACTCCATTACGTAGATGCTAACGTGCTCAATTCTGATATTTTTAAATTATTTTTTACATATATTTATTTGCTTTTTTTATCACATTTTTATTTTCTCTTTTCTTTTTATCTCTCTTTACACATAAAACATGGGTGTCTACCTGTAATTATTCTTGCGTACTGTAGGACAGCGTGTAAATCACAGTGAAGTGCTAAAAGATATTTTATTTTTCTGGGGTGTAATAATTAAGAAGCATAAATAAATATGCTATAATATAAATAATTCCATTCAGACCAGTGCAGTCAATTACTTGAAGTGAATCAAATAAACTAAGTGCTTTAATGGCTTCCAACTCAGTACGAGGTTTTTCTTTCTTCCAACTCCCATTTCTGATCCTTCTTGTCACTTTACTTTCTTTGCCACCAACTACCATGGGCAAGGTATTCTCAGTGGAAGAGGCAACTATTTATGATCTCCAACATGCCTTCAGGACCAACCAATTAACCTCAAGGAAACTTGTTGAGTTCTACTTGAAACAAATAGAAACTCAAAACCCAGTTCTAAGAGGGGTATTGGAGTTGAATCCTGATGCACTAGCACAAGCAGATAGAGCAGACCAAGAGAGAAGTGCTAAGGCTCCAGGGTCTTTTTCAGCATTGCATGGAATACCCATTTTGCTTAAGGACAATATTGCAACTAAGGATAAGATGAACACCACTGCTGGGTCTTATGCACTTCTTGGCTCTGTGGTTCCGAGAGATGCAGGTGTAGTTACCAGGTTAAGAAAAGCTGGAGCTATCATACTAGGGAAGGCTAGCTTGAGTGAGTGGGCACATTACAGGTCTAATGGAGCACCCAGTGGTTGGAGTGCCAGAGGTGGACAAGGAAAGGTAATTGATTTATTTACTTGTTTTTCTTAATCCGATCCTGTTATTGCTTTTCTTGTTTTACTTAATATGATCTTGTTCTTGCTTTTCTTGTTTTCCTTAATTTGAGCCTGTTCTTGCTTTTCTTGTTTTACTTAATAGGTCTTGTTCTTGCTTTCAAGACAGACCTATGTGTTTAACATTCTTCTCCTAACACATATATGATAAATATTTATCAGAAAACGAAATTAATATGAAAAATAAATAAAACCTTAAAATCAACTTATCTTTCTCAAGTTTTAAAGAATTCAGATGAGAGAACTTTTAAACAATAGAAAAACATAAGTTAATTTTAACTTATAATAATGGTTTAATTCATTTTATTACTTACTTTTTAACAAGTTTATTTTAACTGGGTGGTATCTTTGTTCTTAATGATTTGCAAAGTATATAAAATCATCTGCTAGAAATTTCATATCTTTTCTGCAGTTTTATGATAAAAAAATATTTTTTTATACAATACAAACAAAATATATTATCTTAAAACTACTCTCTACCTAACAATCCAAACATAAAGTCCATTTCACATGCTCCATTGTACAAAAAAAAATTGAATTCAAACACACCTAATTGAAAGGTTATAGAAAATACCTGAAAACTATACTTTGTAGTGAATGATTCTAAAAGATCAAAAGTTCACCATGTGATTTGTGTTCTGTAGAATCCATACACATTGGGTGATCCCTGTGGATCCAGCAGTGGATCATCAATATCAGTAGCAGCAAATTTGGTGGCAGTGTCCCTTGGTACTGAGACTGATGGCTCCATTTTATGCCCTTCAGATTCTAATTCAGTAGTGGGCATCAAGCCAACGGTTGGTCTCACTAGCAGAGCAGGGGTAGTTCCAATCACTCCAAGACAAGACACAGTTGGGTAAGTCTATGGCAATGCCTCCATTTTCTTTGTATCAAAACACATTTTACTACAACAATTGTGTACCATTGTGTGGTCTGGGACAGACCAATTTGCAGGACAGTATCCGATGCTGCCCTTGTTCTTGAAACTATTGTAGGCATCGACACCAATGATAAGGCAACAATCCAAGCATCAAAGTATATCCCAAAAGGTGGCTATGCTCAGTTTCTAAAGAAAGATGGACTAAGAGGAAAGAGATTAGGAGTAGTGAGATTATTTTACAATTTTGGAAACGATACTTTTCTGCGTGATACTTTTAAGCTACACTTGGAAACATTAAGGTAATGAAAATTACTGTTTGTGCCCAAGTATTACTACTGTTGTAGTCAATCTCATATACTTCCTTCAAACTCAGGCGAAGAGGAGCAGTTTTGGTTGACAAGTTGGAGATAGATAACATTAATGAAGTTCTTGGTAGTCCAAGTGAAGGAATTGCTATGGCAATTGAATTCAAATCATCCCTAAACGCATACCTCAGAGACTTAGTTACTTCCCCGGTGAGAAGTTTGGCCGATGTTATAGACTTCAACAAGAAACACCCAAAATTGGTGAGTTAAGAAGGCAACTTCTATTTGATTAATCATAGTTAAAATAGCTTTTCTACCCTTTCCAATGTTACACATAACAAAAAAATCAATGAATATATTGAAAATGTAATTTTTAATAATATAAAAAATGTTATATATTTTATTTTCTATTTTGACCTACAAATCCTCCTGTTCATAAAAAAATAATATTTTTCTTAGAATATTAATCAATTTTTATCTTATATCCATTTGCTTTCTTTAAAATTAATGTAAGAGAATTTGTAAACTGAAATAGCAGGATGATATAACATTTTTTTTTAATGTAGAATTACATTAAATTCTATAATCTTCAATAAAAATTACCTACATATAAATTCTTATTATGTGTAGTATTGCGTAAATTAGAAAAACCGTAATAAAAATAGGTATTAGGTAGCAACATGACACTGGTATGGATATTGCAGGAGAAACTTGAGTACGGCCAAGATCTCATGGTGGAAGCTCAAAAGACAAGTGGAACTGAGTTGCTGAATCAAGCATTATTGAACATGACAAGATTGTCACAAAATGGGTTTGAGAAACTAATGGAAAAAAATAAACTTGATGCACTGGTTGTACCTTTTTCAATCTTTAGTACTATTCTTGCTATTGGAGGTCATCCTGGAGTAACTGTTCCAGCAGGATATGAAAAGGGTATGCCATTTGGAATTTGCTTTGCAGGTTTGCAAGGCTCAGAGCCAAAGCTGATCGAAATTGCTTACTCCTTTGAGCAAGCAACTGTGATTAGAAAGCCTCCTCCACTTCGAAAGTTAGAAGTTTAGAGTAATGCTTTGTTTTATCAAATGATGGGCGAGACTAGTTATCCATCGAAGAGTAAATAAGGATGCCAAGTCTTTCTATCAAAAATTCTGATAAAAGATACAGCAATAAATATGATTCAAAGTGTTTGTCTATTTATCTAAATATGATTCAAAGTGTTTTTTTTTCCTTTGCCATGCTTTTACCATGAATTAAAATCCAATTGCTGAAGAGCAAAATAAAATTAAGGCTTAGTTAATTTAAGAAAAAAAATCACATTTCTAAAGTATAATAGATTATGTGACAAATAAATTGAAAAAAGAAATAAGATGAATGAAAAAGTCAAGTGTAAAATAAAATATAAGTTTATTATCGAGTATGTGAATTGATTGACCTGTGTTTTCTACTAAAGGATAAATGTAATTTAGACAAAATAAAATAAAATATTAGGTTAAAGCATTGAAATTATGTTGTCTGTATTAAATAAAAATCATTTATTATTATAATTACCATATTAGAGTATAAAAAAGAACTAGGAGGTCTTAGTTTTGAAAAAAAAAATGGTGTAAATGACTAAGTTATATAAAAAGGAAAAGTGAGAGAGAACAAATTTTGAAATCTTTGAGATGACAAGTGAAGCAGAAGAGGTTGACAAATCTCCAACGAACCAAATGTTGCCTCTGGACAGCGTAGAGCGTACTTGCCCAGAAAACTACGTCGGTTGCTGCGTTTGAAGCTCTTGTGGATGAAACAAAAGACGATGACCGCCACGACGATTGGGGGGTTCTTTGCCTTCATCTCACTCTCTCAATCACAATCCTCTTCTTTGACTTTCACTTCTCTCTCTCCCTTTCCTTCCTCAAATTCGAAACAAAAAAGTGCCCACAACTTAACTGCCAAAATGCCTCGCATTCCACAGGCTCAACACCACACCCCTCCTCCCTCTCAGGTCCTTTCTCTCTGTTTTAGCAATTTCGACCATTATTTCTAATGCTACGAGTTATAATTTTCACATTGAAGCGTGGTTTAATGTGATTTTGATTAATTTTCAAATGCATACTTAATAATCTAGGGGTCATATGTTTTCGGGAAATATTTTCTATTCTCATTTTTTTTTTGTTTTCGTATACTTTGTTGAGTAGTGTACGTGATAAATTACTCGATGCTACAGCAAATTGTTGCCAAGATCAATATGGAATGAGACTAAATTAATAACTGTTGTAGCATTTCCTATTTGAGGCCTTTAAGTCGAACTTGTCAGTGCTTAAGTCTGCGCATTACTCAATGTTTATAAGTGAATGCCATTTCTGTTACTGCTTGTTCTAACTTCTAATACCTTATTTCTGGGGAAAAAAAAAAAAGATATTTGCAGATTGGCAGGCTGCCAAGGCATATAAAGATAGCGGAATCATCTATAATGGTATTGTTGAAGGTTTTAATGGTGGAGGCCTGATTGTTCGTTTTTATTCTCTTCTAGGGTTTCTCCCATTCCCACTGTTGAGCCCTTTACATTCATGTAAAGGTAGTCATATGTTCATACCAAATGTTTGTTACATTCTTCTTTCTTTTCTTTTGTATGGAAGCATGCGTTTAAGTGTTAAAAATTTGTTTTGACCATGCAAAAAGTCTTTTACAGTCACTTCTCTCCTTTACCTTCTTTTCCTCTCCTACAGATTTCAATTGTACCTTGTGAAACTAAATTCTCAAGGACTCAGATTAAACCTTTTTTCTGTTTAACTTTCTACTTTTAGATATCAGCCAAAGCTAATTTTTTAAAGTGAATCAGAACTCTAGCTGTTGGAACTTATTAATGAAAGTTAAATTCTAGCTGTTGGAACTTATTAATGAAAGTTAAATTCTATACTCCTATTATTAGAACCTTGTATAATTATTCTAGATTAAAAATTTATAGCAATAACCTCTGTGAACATTGTACAAATAACTCAAATTACTTGATATGCAATTTGTTGTCTTGCTGATATTCTTGCTTACAGGATGATTGGATTAAATAAGTTTTTTTCCCTCATCTTAAGAGTAGTTTGCTTTGGACAATGTGGCGTTGATGTCACTTCTATGTACATTTAATAATTCATTGCAATCTATTGGTGATGATAGAAGATTTATGGATCCTTGTAAATAAGCAACACTAGATTCTCGAACTCAGGGTAGGAACACTACATATTTGTTTGGTACTAGCTATGTTGCTTTCATGCATAATAGTTTTTTTTGTCATCACATTGTTGAGAGCTTCTGATAGAAAACACAACCAGAAAAGAGAAAGAAAGTATGGAAGAGATACTCTGATATATGTATATTGCTGTATGAATAAGGAAATGTGAAAGATTGCACTAGCAACAGTAAACGAAGAACAAAAGATAGTAACTCAGGAGAGCACCACGCTCCCCTTCCCAAGCCACAATGGCCGCTAGATCAAAATGAATATTCTCTGCCTTTCCCTGATTCCTTCCTCTCACCTATAACCAACTCCCCTACCTCCCATCTCTAGTGGGCCCCAAAACAACCCACTCAGCCTAACTGACTAGTCCTCCCTTTTTAAACACGTGTCACCCTTTTACCTCTCCTGGAGTATACTTTCCAGGTCTTCTCTCCCTCACGTATCTGCTGCCCGGGTATCTCACTGTTAGTTGGGCTCACGAATGTATGGGCCGTATCACTTGCCACCCCTTGAGGAACAGTCTTGTCCTCAAGACTGAAAGAAGGAAATTGGTTACGCATGACAAAATCTTCCTCCCATGTAGCCTCTTCAGCTGGACGTCCTCTCCATTTAATCAGTCATTGAGCCACAGCAGTCCCATCTTGCAGCTGAGTTCTTCCAGCCAGAACTCTTTCTGGTTCGATACCCTCCTGTATGTCTATTTCAAGACCCGAGGGTAGAGCTGCTTCCACTACTCGATTCCCCACAGCTTTCTTCAACTGAGAAACATGAAAAACTGGATGAACTTTGGACGATGGGGGTAGATCCAGCTGATATGCAACAAGGCCAATGCGTCTGAGGATAGTGAAAGGACCATAAAACCGAGCAGAAAGCTTCTGGTTAATACGCTGAACCACTGAATGTTGCCTGTGTGGTCTAAGTTTTAAGTAAACCTGGTCCCCTTCTTGAAAAGAGACCTCCCTCCTATGTGAATTTGCTTGTTTCTTCATATTCTGCTGGGCTCTAGACAAATGATACTTAAGTTGATTCAAAGCCTCATCCCTCTCGATCAAAGCCTGAGCTACTGCTGCCACTTTGGTCTCACTGGGTGCGAAACTTAGAACCGAGGGCGGTTTCCTACCATAGACCACCTCAAAAGGTGTGGTGCGGATAGAGGAATGCCAGGCAGTATTATAGCACAACTCAGCCCAGGGTAATCAGAATGTCCACCCTTTTGGCTGTTCTCCTGCAAAACAGCGTAAATACGCCTCCACATAGCGATTGGTAACCTCTGTCTGGCCATCCGTTTGAGGATGGTATGAAGAACTCATCCTAAGCTTTGTCCCATATAGTTGGAATAAAGCTGTCCAGAAATGGCTCAGAAATATCGGATCACGATCACTGACTATCGACTTGGGAATCCCATGGAGCCTAACCACTTCCCTTATAAATACTTCAGCTACCCCTTTTGCAGTAAACGGATGCTTCAGGCAAATAAAATGGGCATACTTTGAGAGCCTGTCGACTACTACCAAAATGACATCGAACCCCTTAGACTTAGGTAAGCCAGTTATGAAATCCATGGATAAGTCATCCCACACTACCTCTGGAATCTCCAAAGGTTGCAGCAAGCCAGCTGGCGACAGTGTAGAGTACTTGTAACGTTGACAGATGTCACACTCTTGGACATAGCGCTTGACCTGTTTTTTCATTCCCACCCAGTGCAGATTTTCAGCTAATCTGCGATAGGTCCTATAATATCCTGCGTGGCCGCCTTGTGGAGAGCTATGAAATTCATCCAGCAACTTAACAATCCAGGGAGAGTTCGCAGGTATCACCAGTCTTCCTTTATACAATAAAACTCCCTGAGTATAAGAGTACCCAGCCTTAGCATTAGCACCCGACTGTATTGCAGCAATGATCTTTTTGAGATATGGGTCTTCTTGCACCCCTGCTGTCAAATCTTTTCCTTCTACCCACAGTGGAAAAGAATTAATCATCCTCAATTCTACAGGCTCATCGCGATGAGATAGTGCATCAGCCGCTGTGTTCTCCTTTCCGGGTTTATATTTAACGTCAAATTGATACCCCAATAACTTCGCAATCCAGCATTGTTGGTCAGCAGTGGTAATTCTCTGCTGCAATAGAAATTTCAGGCTTCTATGATCAGAATAAACCACGAATTGTCTTCCCAGTAAGTATGGACGCCAATGCTGTATGGCTAAGACTAGTGCCATGATCTCCTTCTCATATGTAGACTTGGACAAACTCCTGTCAGCTAGTGCTTTACTAAAATAGGCGATAGGCCTGCGATCTTGCATGAGCACAGCCCCTACTCCCCTGCCCGATGCATCGCACTCTACCTCAAACATCTTGGAAAAGTCTGGTAATGCTAGAACAGGAGCTGATGTAATGAGCTGCTTCAGCTGAACAAAAGCATTTTATGCTTCCACATTCCAGTGGAATCCCTCTTTCTTTGTCAATGCTGTTAAAGGTTGAGTCACTTTGCCATACCCGCGTATGAACTTCCGATAGTATCCCGTGAGGCCCAAAAATCCCCTGACTCCCTTGACAGTGACGGGAATTGGCCAGTCTAAGACTGCTTTAATCTTGATGGGATCCATTGCAACTCCAACTTCTGAAATGATGTGACCTAGGTACTCCACCTCCCTCTGTGCAAAACGGCATTTCTTTGGGTTGACATAGAATCTATTTTCCTGCAACACTGTCAAAACAGCTCTCAGATGTGACAGATGCGATGCCCAATCCTTGCTGTATATCAGGATATCATCAAAAAAAATCAACACAAACTGACGAAGCAAAGATCGAAACAGCTCGTTCATGGTGGCCTAAAAGGTAGAGGGAGCGTTGGTGAGGCCAAATGGCATCACTAGGTATTCGTAGTGACCACTGTGAGTCCGAAAAGCAATCTTCTCTATATTTGCTTCGCGCATACGAATTTGGTGATAGCCGGATTTAACGTCCAGCTTGGTGAAGTAGGTAGCTCCATGCAATTCGTCCAGCAACTCTTCCACTACTGGGATGGGAAACTTGTCGGGGATCGTTACCTTGTTGAGAGATCTATAGTCGACACACATACGCCATGTATTATCTTTTTTCCTCACCAATAACACAGGGCTGGAATAAGCACTCGTACTGGGTCTAATGAGTCCTAGTTGCAACATTTCTCGCACCTGCCGCTCAATTTCGTTCTTCTGAAAATGCGGATACCTGTATGGCCTCACTGATACAGGACCCTGTCCAGGCAGCAAATTAATCCCATGATCACACGGTCTTGTAGGAGGTAGCCCCGTAGACTCTTGAAATACCACTGCCATTGAGGACATTAAGCCCTGCAGTTGTCGCTGTTGTTGTAAAGACAGGATCTGATCCTCCTTATTTTCTTGTTCTCCCCTCGCAGCAAAACAAAAGGACTGAGCACTATCCGGATAAAAACTGCGAACCAAATTATGTAGAGAAGAAACCACATGACCTGGCCGTGCTGCTCCCTGTAGAGTGAATTCTTGTCCCGAACTCTGGAATCTCATGGTCATTGTCTGCCAGTTGGTCCTCACTTCTCCCAGAGTGCAAAGCCAGGCCACTCCTAAAATGAGATCCAACCCACCTATGTCCAATACATGAGCATCTATCAAACAACCATAGTTCCCAATGTTCACCGGAAATTGTCTACACATTCCTGGGGATATGACTCGATACCCATCGCCCAGCTTGATGCTCATTCGTTTAGCCTCCTGAATTAATAGACCCAATGACTCCACTAGTTTGGGGGAGATGAAGTTGTGAGTCGCGCCACTATCCAACAAAATCAGAATAGGGATGCCATGACTTGTCCCTCCACCTTCATCGAAGATAACTCCTCTGCACTCTGCCCCTGTGTCTGAAAAATTTCAGCTGTGCCCCAATATTCCAGTCTTTTACACTCCCCTTCCTCTTGACCACTCCCCGCTTCTGTCTCCTCTTCTTCGACCACTAACACTTCACCTTCTTCATTAACTGTCTCATCCTCCCCCAAGAGGATGACCCTCATTTTTGGTTCAGCACACTTGTGAAGAGGGCTATATGGTAACCCACAGCGGAAACACAATCCCTTCCTCCTCCTTTCGTCCCACTCTTGAGATGTCAGATGGCGGACTCCCCTCGTGCCCGGACCTGGGGCCTTGGACGTTTCTGGGCTTGCTCCCCCTGTAGGCGGACCACCCGATCTCCTGTCCTGCCTCGGCGAAACACTAGCATCTGGAGGACTTCGATTCCAGGCCTGATGCTGAGAGTTGGGTCGGGAAGTTTGAAACGGTGTTCCCGTAAACCCTCGCTGCCCTCCAAGCCTACTGGGTGGGCCTCCGCCTCTCTTCAGGGCTATCTCAATATTGCGGGCCACACGCATGGCCTGAAGACGCGTCTCTGGGTTCTGGACTCGAACCCAATTCCTAATATCCTCCTTAAGCCCATTAAGGAAGTAGCCCACGTACTGTTGCTCGGGCTGGCGAGGAACCAACGAAGCCAAGTACTCAAACTCTTCCACAAACTCCTGGACCGTTCCTTTCTGCCGTAATGCTGCCAATTCTTCATACGCGTTCTGCACTTCGAGCCCACTAAACCTCTCCAATAATTCCTCTTTGAACGTGGTCCAATTCAGCCCCGAGTGTATCTCCATTAGTATAGTGAACCAATGGATCGCGGTTCCGCTCATGCTCACCTGAGCCAAAGGTAATTTCGATTCCTCGGGAGTCTGATGCACGCGAAAATAGAGCTCAGCTCGAATCAGCCATCCCCTCGGGTCGGTGCCGTCAAACACCGGTAACTCCACGCGCCTAGCCACTGTGAACAGGTTGTCTAGAGTCCCCGCAAGGTTGTCCATAGTGAGAGCGTCTTTGGTCGACCATTCCTTCTCTCCGTCCCTCTCCGTGCGGTTTTCCGATTCAGCAGTCACAAGTGATTCTGGCGACTCTTCGTTCTGCGGCATCTTCTCCAGTCTCCGTACCAAACTCGCAATATATTTGCGGAACTCAGCCTGCTCCTTCATCTCTTGCTCCAGGCGTTGTTGTCCCTGGTTGACGACGTTCTATGTATATTGCTGTATGAATAAGGAAATGTGAAAGATTGCACTAGCAACAATAAACGAAGAACAAAAGATAGTAACTCAGGAGAGCACCACGCTCCCCTTCCCAAGCCACAATGGCCGCTAGATCAAAATGAATATTCTCTGCCTTTCCCTGATTCCTTCTTCTTACCTATAACCAACTCCCCTACCTCCCATCTCTAGTGGGCCCCAAAACAACCCACTCAGCCTAACTGACTAGTCCTCCCTTTTTAAACACGTGTCACCCTTTTACCTCTCCTGGAGTATACTTTACAGGTCTTCTCTCCCTCACGTATCTGCTGCCCGGGTATCTCACTGTTAGTTGGGCTCACGAATGTATGGGCCGTATCAGCTTCTTTTTTCTTTCTTTCTTTTTTATTTTATATAACATTATAGAGAGTTTGTGATTCTAACTTATTTACCTTTTTCTTGTATGTGAAATGCTTGGTAGCCGATGACTGTATCTCCTTCATTGATATGCCTTTTGAATAATACTTGGGATCCATAATCCATAGTATTATACACATTAAAAGTTGCCATGTGCCAGTTCTCTTGGCAAGCAATTGTTTTGTTACAGCATCTTACTTTATTGTCGTATGTATCCATTCTATTGCCTATGTGGATGTTGTTTGGTTACTGGTTAGTCATAAAAGCAAGTGGAGTTACAACTGCTGAATTTGATCCTTTTTGTGTAGACCCAGATAAAACCATCCAAGAGATTGCAAAAGGTTTACTCTATTCACTCATATCTGTGAAGGTAAATTATATTATTTAGTTACCATGTACCTTTTCCCTCCAAATGATATAATTGTATTCTATTTACTAATTAAGCTTGATTAACTCCTGTTCATGGTCTTCAAATATGAACTTTTTATATCGTTTTATACCTTCTGTGGACCTGGCACAACATTTAAGGATTCTGATTGTTAGTCCTGATTCTTGAAGTTTCTGTGTAAAAGAACGATTAAGGTATTAATCCATTTTTATCCCCAGGAAAAAGGACCATTAATTTCTGATTTTAATGCAGCCAGTAAAATACTGATACATATAATCCTTTTACGGTACCAGTTTAACCCCGTATCCATTCTTTTGTGTATCAGAATAACCTTGCAAATTGTTTGCTTTTTTCTTGGAAATTTGAACCCAGAACCATAATATTAAAATTATTGGTCCTCCGTACCTAAAATGATTAAAATTCTATAGTTTTTAAGATTATAACCAAGCTAAAATTTCAAGGTCTTGACTACTATATAATGTTTTAACGTGTTATTGATCAGTTGGATTCCAGCTATTTCCCCTTGATGAGGGGAAGTAAGCCTTATATTTAAATATCCTCTTTGATAGATTTTGTTCAAATATCTTGCTAAGGCTGGTGATGGAATTGTTGTTTGTTACTTTTCTTTTACTTCCTTTGTCCCTCATTTTCTTTTTCCCTTTTACTTTTCTATAGAAATTTTACTGGATGTTTAATCTTTTGACAGATAAAATTTGTAAATATGAATATTTTCAAGCTTTGACCATGTTTGCTTTTAGTTTGACTAATTTTCGAACTCAAAGCATCATTTGTCATTCTTCCATAAATTATCTCCAAACCTTGGTAATTACAAGGTTACTACTTCCAGTATAATAATGAACATGAAACACATTACTGTCTTCATTTGGAAACTTTAAGTTGAATCAGTTAATTTCCCTGTTAATTAAATTTCACTAAGCTTTTCTGTGCCCTTAGAACTCCTTAGTAAAGTACCTTTTATCATTGCAGTCCTACAGCTGTCTGATTTGAGCTGTTTCAAGCACTATACGAACCTTGGAATCAAACATATTATTAGTTCTTAATAACTTGTATTTGGAATTGTTATGTGCTTCCTGCATCAGTTTGGTGTCGTAGGCTTTTAATTTATGCTAAATTAATGTTGGGTCCAAGCTAAATGGGCCTCCACTAAAAACATACCAGAGAAAGAGGGGTAAAATAGACAGAGAGGCTGAGGCTGTTAGGGAAGATTCTAACGGAATAACAAACTGGATGACGTGGATGAGTGAAGTAGCAGCTAAGGGGAATATAAGGTGAATTACCAGAGGCGTGAGGTAGGAAATATCTGGGAGGTCATTAGGGGTAGCTGAGGCTATAGGAGGATTGCTCTTGCTAATTACTAACTCGTTAGATTGTTGTACTCTGTTCCATTATTCTGTTTGTTCCATTTTTACTGCTTGTAATCTGAGGGAATTTCCCTGTGTTGGTTCTGTAATTTCAATACAATCTCAGTTCCTATCAATTAAGCTACAATTTTTGCAACTAGCTTACCTGAAATAATAATTTACAAATGATTGCAGTTTCTTGTAATTTTAGGTAATTACAGCAGATGAGGATAAATGGAATTTAATCTTCTCTGAAAAGGAAGCTGCCTGGTCCAGATTTTCTGAACAGGTCAAGGTTGGGGACATTTTTTATGGAAGAGTTAGTTCTGTTGAGGACTATGGTGCTTTTGTTCATTTGTGCTTCCCTGATGGTAACTCCTATGCATAATTCTTATGTTTCTAGTTTCCCTTTTCACTGTATCATTGAAAAGTTACATAGGACATCACAAATGATGCAGGTCTTTATCATCTCACTGGACTGATACACATCTCAGAATTGTCATGGGATCTAGTTGCTGATGTAGGAGACGTCTTAACAGAAGATGATGAAGTGAGGGTCAAAGTTGTTAGTGTTGATCGGTGAGGCTCTCAGTAGATATGCTTGTAGGAAGTTTCTATTGGATTTTCTGAGAATAAACAAATCTATCCTTGGAATCATTGAATAGCAAAATTTCTTGGTTGCCAACACCCATGGTTAATTAAATAGTCCATGGTTTTAATGATTGAAATTAAGTCAGTGTTTGGTTTGATGGTTTTCTTGTGTGTGTTTCTTCATGGAAATATCTTTTATTTAAGTTCTTGCAGGGAAAAATCAAGGATTTATCTATCCATTAAACAGGTGGAAGAAGATCCATTTCTAGAAAATTTGGACAAAGTGATGCCTCAGGTTGGTGACTCTATGAATTTCCATAACATACATATAAATACATATATGTATACGTGTTCAAGTTTCTGTAGGGGTGTATGCAATTTAAATGCACGCCCTGCTACCCTATATACTTATTTGAAGCATATTCACTGGGATATGAAACCGTTCAGAATGTTTTATCAGCAAAAAGTTCTATCTTTCAGGATGGTTTAGCTGATCCTAGTTCTTTGGGAGGTTATCATAGTGATGGTGGTATTCATCCTCTTCCAGGGGTTCAAGCAATACTTGATGAGCTATTGCATGAAGATGGGTCTGTTTCCATCACTCTTTCCTTCATATTTTTTCTTTCTTCAAATGCTTGACCGAAAACTGTGCCTCCCTTGTTCTGTAATTTTCTTAGCCAATACTGGAAACATGTTTTTTTTTTTCTTTAAAAATTTATTTGTCCAAAGTCCAAAGACATTTTTTAGCCATTTTATTTTAAAAAAATTTAAGAGTCTATAACCAAACAGGCGTGATTGATGAAGTCCAGATTACCCTTCTTGATGTGTTTTTTATTATACAATGTATAAAGCACGTGTTCTTGCTTCGGAAACCTTTTATTATATACTCTATCTGATGAATTCTCTATGGTGTCACGTGCTGCAGTATATATGATGCAAGAATCAGGCGTCAAGGGTTTGAGAAACGAGTGCTCTCACAAGACTTGCAGCTTTGGCTTTCTAATGTGAGTTTTCAGTGTTTTTATAGAATTATCTAAATTAATATTTACTTTTGGATATTTTCTGAATTTTTTATTGTGGCAGGCACCTCCCGCTAACCAACGGTTTAATCTCCTTGCTCGAGCTGGAAGGCAGGTAAACGTTTATAGCATAGCCTGAATTTATAATTATATTCAGAACTTTTGTGTTTAAAGATATGCTAGTAATGCAGAAGTAACAACAGATAACGTTGAAGTAAATATAGACCCATAAACAATTAATGCGAATCCAAACACGTTATTGAACATTCTTTCCTTTGGTGTAGGTGCAAGAAATACATTTGACCACATCACTTGATAAGGAAGGAATCAAAAGGGCATTACAACGAGTTATGGAGCGCGTTCCCTAATTGACTGAAATCATTACATTTCACGTGTAATTGCAGTCTCGGAGGATCGGTTCAGGTAAAGAAAGGAGAAGTTTGATGCAATATCTCCCTCAACAATAAGCAATTGGATACAGCAATACGTACGACATATCCTAGATTTGAATATTTTTGTACCCAAACAGCAAGTGTCAGCAATACGTAAGAATCAAAGACACTTCTCAGTAGCATTGGCGTAACCTCATACTTTTAGTTACATTTTTATTTTTTTTTGCCTTTTTTTTTAAAAAACTTTTATACCAATATTGATTGAAATCTCACAGTAATTTAAACGTCTTATGCTCCATTTTCATACATAAATTTTGTGTTGTAATTTTTTTTAGTTTTGTTACTTTAGGTTAATATATGCATTGTATTATAGTTGTGTGGTGCTTTATCTTTTAATTTTTTTTTTATATGTAGTACTGTGTTCTCATCATATCTGAGTTTTAATGGCTGTAAAAACAGCCACAATTGATAAAAATTGCTAAACAAAAAACATCACAATTGACAAATAAAAAGTAATTAAAATGAACCAAAAAATGAGGTAAAAGTGTAAAATAAAATAAATTAAAATAATAAAGTACTAATTTTGTATAAAAAATCTATTGATGTAAGACTTTGATTCATCTTTTCAAGGTTAAAATAAATTTATTTATTGAGACTCAAACTTAAAATTGTTAATTTTTTATATTAAAACAGAAAATATCACTTTTATTTATAAGATTTGAATAAAAAGGTGAATATTTTGTATTACATAAATATAGACACGATAATTCTTAACATTTGTTTATGCTTAAATAACTATATCCTAAAGCAACCTTATTTATTGCTATTCTTTAATGTAAAAAAATATTAGCTCTTATATTTATGTCAAAATTATTATTTTAGTTTTTTTCTTGTTTTTATTTTAACATTTAACAATTTATGTTTCATTTTAATTTCTTTTATCTTTTTGTTTGTTTTTAATTTAATTTGTTTATCCCTTTGTTTAATTTTAATTTAGTTGTGTTTGTCAATTATAATTTTTTTACTATACAAAAGCGAAACTTTTTTAAATTATGGTTATTTATTTACTACAATTTAAGTTATATTTAAAAATTAAAAAATCGTAATAAAATCTTTCAAATATTTTATCAAAAAATACATTTATATCCCAATTTCAGTATTTCGTTTCAAATGTCGTTTCCGTTTCGGCTTCATTCTTCTCCAAGAAAATATATATTGAGCTCGCTGTTGCTCTCCTCTCTCTCTCTCTCTATATCTTCAAGCCCATTCTTTCTTTTTATTACTCTCGCTTTCTTACTTCACACACACACCCACACAAAGTAGCAATTAATTGAACTTAAACGAAGCCCGACTCCTCTTCAATTTAGGCATGGTAAGTTTCCTCAAACCCCAATAGCATCTTCAAAATCATTTCTTTTCTCTCTCTCTCTCTTTTTGTGGTTTGCACCCTTTTTCTTGCAAACAAATGTAATTTATTTTCATTTATGCTTTTTTGTTTGAAATTTGAATGCTCTTTTTGGTCTGTCATTTTATTTTCTTGTTTTAATAATTGAATAGTCGGGTAGGAAAGAAACGGTTCTGGACCTTGCGAAGTTCGTAGACAAAGGCGTTCAAGTTAAGCTTACTGGTGGCAGACAAGGTTACCCAATATCTGTCTTTCTTTATATTTATGTTAAAAAAATTATTTATTTAACTGGGTAATGAATTATTTATAAATTTGTTTATTTTTTTGTTTAAATTACAAGTACTCAACTGAAAATTTTGAACATTAAGTATTCAACTGAGAGTTATCTTTCACAATTAATGTGCAAGTAAACTCTTTTATATATTTTTGTTGTATTATATTTTGTTGGATTGCAGTGACAGGGACTCTAAAGGGTTATGATCAATTACTTAATCTCGTCCTAGATGAAGCTGTAGAGTTTTTAAGAGGTAACTATTAAAGAGTAGGAGGATCTTGTTTTGCTGTTTGTTGATTTAATTCTTATTTTGTTATTATGTACTGCAAAGAGTGAGTGTATGATTTGCTTTTTTGCTGGGAAATTGCTTGATGAGATTTCCGATACAAAACTAAATCGTTATTTTGGTATTTAGTGAATTATTAGAAACTGCAAAAAGGGATTTTTACGACTCAGAGTGAAAGGTTAATGGAGTAACGACTATCATACTATTAAATGTCATGTTTTAGCATCATTTCCACTGCTTTTATGTTTAAGGAAGCGTTTGAAAGAGATTATGAAAGTGGTTTACTACCTTCCAATAAGCTTTTCTTTAGTTTATTTCAATAAAATTCACAAAGATGTTTATCCCAATAAGTTCTTTTTAGCTTAATTTGTTAAGGTCCACAATCAACCTTATGAATAAACTCTCATTTGATAAGAACTTATTGAATTAGTGCTTAATCTAGTTGTTTACCCAAATGCACCACAAGTGTAGAATATTTTAATCTTCATCCTTACCTGATTGAAGGGTCCAATTAAAATTACTTAGGGTGTGTTTGATAATGTCAATAATGAAAATTAAATGCAGATTTAGCATTGAACTCTTAATAAACAAATAATATAAGCATTTGAATGGAAGATATTTAAAAATTTTCTTACTAATTAAGCACTGGATTTACTTATTTTCTTAATTTGCTGATTGAATTCAGTATCTTTTTATGTATTTTTGTTTCAGCTTTAATGATTCAAACATTCAAAATGGGATTTCCTTACAGAATTTGTTCAGTTCAGTTCTGAATTGAATTCTACTTTTAGATGGACATGACATGTCAATGTAACTATACTTCTAGAGACTATAGTTGTATTATTATATGTGCCAAAAGAGCTGATTTAGTTTTTATAGTTCTTATGCTTGTGTGACTCCACAATCAGCATTACACTTTTTTATAAATTTCACTACTAAAAATAATATTTTAGCTTATTCTTAAAAATAATATTTTGTTTCCTTCCCTTTTTCTAAAAGGAGATTACATTTGTCCCTTGTGCTGCAGATCCTGATGATCCTCTCAAAACTACTGATCAGACCAGACATCTTGGCTTAATTGTATGTTTTCTTCTACAACATCAAATGAGTGTCAAAATTGCACCTTCTGGCTCAAAAAGCTTGATTATGATCTATGCTGAAAATTTTTATGTCATGCATGGATATGTAAACTGTAAACTGATTTTCTGAAACCTGCATATTTTTCTCCCTTAGCTGAAAATTTTTAGATGGAATAGATGAAAAGGTGCACATAATTTGTTATATAGACAAATTGTTTCAAATTAAATTAATGAGAGCTTAAAAAAAAGTTGGCACAAATGAACATGTGATAAGGAGAATATCATGAATGAACCTAAATAAAAGTTGCAGATCATTTCTTGTACGCTATTTCTCACACTTAAATCTCCTATCTTTTATTTTCCCCTGAACCATTGTGCTGATACCTGTGCTGTTAACTATACTCTCTATTGTGAATGTCATGCTTCATTGAAAATTCACATCTTCATTTCTGTGAGAAAAATGTCAAAATTTCACAATTTTGATTAGAATTACAGTCCAAGCCTATAGGAGAGATCAATTATAGACTTCCGTAAAACATAAGCAACATCTTTCATTTTTCTAATATCAATATATTGGCCACTGTCTTCTTCCCCTTATCCCTCTCAAGGCAACAAGTGTAGCTTATTTCAAGGCAATTCATTTATAGTAAAGCAATTGACAAATTTTGGCCATATTAACTCTTTATTGAGTGAAAAGTTGTATTTTTTTCTTTATGATCGGCTTTCTTTAGATGTGTATGCTGATTGTTTAAATTTCATAAATTTTAGAATTTCCTATGCCTCTAGTAAAAGCACTTATCACACATAAAAGCATTTCCTGAGAAAAAAAAGGAAAATTCACGACCATATGCATAGTTTTTTTGAATTATTCTGTCATTTTCTTTTGTTAGTTTGAATTGTTTTGGCTTTACCAATGAATGCTTCATTACCTCATAATGTAGGTTTGTAGAGGAACTGCTGTCATGCTTGTGTCCCCAACTGATGGTACAGATGAGATTGCCAACCCCTTTATACAGCCTGATGGGGCCTAAGTGGGAAATATTTGTACCTTCTAATCTGTATGCTGATCAATCCCATTATCGCTCTGCTACTGCGCCCATTAATATTAATATGGAGATTCTGATTAGCATTTTGTCTATTTTGTAAGCTTGGATATTTTGTCTATCTTTGATGCTTTGAATTATAGAATATCACAAATTGCATCCTCTTGTGATGTGTCCTCAGCTGCTTTGGATAAATGATTTATCATGGCTTACATTTGAACTTAAGTTCAAAGCTAATCCAAACTTAATCCTAATAGAAGTTCTTTGTGGCACCTTTTATAACATTTACTTTCCTTCTCATCCTTGATTTCATCAATTGCCACATTCACGCGGTGGACTTTCTTATCATGAGTTTGGCTACCGAATTTATTTTCGCGTAACATTCGTTTTGACATCAACTTTGCTTTTGTTTTTTTGGTACAAAAGAAAAGGGCGAAGGAATTGAGGGAGGGAAAGAGATGTGTGATTTTTACATGTGACAGAGTTTGAACCTTGTTTCTTACATTTCATGTCTCTAATATATTACTAAGGACACCACCAACTTTGCCCCTTTCGATTTTTTAAGGGATCATGGAAATCTCTATCTGAAATTTTTTAAGGGATCATGGAAATCTCTATCTGAAGGTCAATGGCTCACATAAATGGGTCCAAACCAAATATCAGATTCGTCTAGTCTTAGCAGCTATGTGGCAAGTTACCCTCTTTCCTTTTTTATTTTTGTTTTTCTTTGTTTCTATTATTTTTACTTCATTTTCATGTAAATCAATTTTTTAGGGAGGTTTTTTTTTATCTATGATATTCTTAATATTAGCATTATTATTATGTTATTTTGAATCTATATTATTATTTTTGAGATTTTAAAAAACGAATGAATATTTTGAATAATTTTAAGCTGACAATAAGAGTATTTAAAATTTTATTATCGTTTAAAGTTTTGAATTAATATTATGGCGTTCAAAACTAACTATTAGAAAGGCCAAAAGTGTCAGAGTGGAGAAATGTTAATAGGAACTTTATTCATAGTTTGTTCACTATTGTTATAAATTTATTTATATTAAAATGAACTAAATCATAATATGTTTTTCAGGAAAGTATATTTTAAAACACAAAAGAAAGATCGAATAATTCAAACATATCTAACAGAAGGGAGTGTAGTTTTTTTTTCGTGGCTTAAAACGAAGTATTGATGAGGGAAGATTGTTTCCTTCCAGCTTCACCGCATGTTATAAAGGAAATTTTTACCTACTCGAGCATGATGTGATACACATGGCAATATTTAAAAGTTAAAACCTTCATGACCTTGTTGATACTTTTTTATTGTATTTCTTGAGTGATAAGCGAATATTAATTCGTCATGGAAAATCTATTCTATTTTAAGTGCTGAGAGGAACTGTGTTAGGTTTAGCCAGAAGGGAAAATTAATCAAATACAGCTTTGAAAGTTGACACAAAGGTATTTTAAGAAGTCATGGCGTTAGAAGTGGGAGTGGAACTGAAATTCATTGAAAAAATGCTTCTGAAGCCGTTGGAGGTAGGAAATTGTATTAAAATGTGACCGATATAATTGTCGTGATTATCAAATTAGCTTAGCTGTTATCGACAATTAAAAAAAAGGGGTAAAAGGAGTAGATTATTTTGGTCTCATAATTATTTTTCAAAATTAATATATGTATTGTGAACAATTTGTTTGAGCAAATCATTAACTTTCTAAAGTAGGTATTGGCTTGATATTTTTATATCAAATATTGTTTTATCCTTGATTGTCAAAATTTCATTGCCAACTTGTAGAAGATACTTGTTAAATGTTGAGAAGAAGGCAAGATTAAAGATAAATAAAAGATAACTCTAAAGAGTTAGTGGAGTAAGAAAAAATATTTCATTTCATGTTGTAAGTTTAAATTTTCGCTCATTTTCTTAGAATAAAGAAAACATAAGTCCTATACAAAGATTCTTTTAAGTCTCACGACTTTCTTTAACTTGTAACGGGACACCTTCTTCCTCTAAAAATTTATGACTAAATAGTAAAAATAAAGAACGGATGAGCATGCTTCTATTATACGAAACTTCGATGTCAGACAGAAGCACTTCGTCACTCATTAATATTTTCTATTTTATTTTGCACAAACTCATTTTCAATTTCAATTAGGCATTATAAAAAAAACTCCATTTTAAAAATCTGTCTCGTGTCCGTGAAGGAGCAAGAAGAGTGTGTGTGTGTGTGTGTCTGTGTCTGTGTGTGAGAGAGAGAGATGTGAGATGGGTCCGTTTTGTATTCCCTTGAATTGCATGATTGTTGGTATTATTATAGAACAAGAGTGTGAACTGGTAAAAGAGTAGTAGGTAAAGTCCAATGAGAGAGAAGAGAGTAAAGTAACGGCAAAACACATGACAAGGTTGAGTTTGACAGAGCGATACCCATTATTTTCAAACACTGATTCATACGTTGATTGATAGACAGATATTACATTCCACCCTTTCCACTTTCAGCTTGTTCCCTTCCCTCATACCAAATCAAAGTACTCTTTTAAACTTAGCTTAACGTTCTCCTTCCAATAACGTTCTTCGTTATTTAGATTCTTCACCTTCTCTCTGCAGCTAATAATACCCATTTCCACAAAAACACCAAAGCCAACACCTTTTCTTTGTCCTCTTCTTCCTATTGCAATAAAACCACCCTTTGGCCCACACCCACATGGCATAGCAAACCCATTTGGTCGGTTAAGTAGGGTTGGGTTGGGTTGGGTTGGCATCATAAACCTTAAGTCTCTCTCTTCTTTGGAAATCCCTAATTTTTTTGGGTTGGGGGATGGCGGTGGAGCAGGGTGTTGAGATGGTGGCATTGGAGTGTTTGGGTAAAGGGTTTGATTTGGCTAGTGATTTTCGTCTGAGATTTGCTAAGGGAATTCGTGAAGGAAAGAGTAGTGGTAGTAGTAGGAGGTTGGTGGTGCTTGATGAACAGAACAAGAGGGATATCTTGATTCCTGGAACTGGAGGAATTACCATTAGAGGGGTTTCTGAGAATATTCGTTGTGATAAAGGGGATAGAATTCGCTTCAAGTCTGATGTACTTGAATTCAACCAGGTCCATTTTCATTGCTGAGTTGAGATTTGTGCTTGATTTTATTTCTCTCTCTCTCTCTCTCTCTCTCTCTCTCTCTCTCTTTGTATTGTGTGTCTGTGTATTGTTGTTGCATCACTCTTTCTTTCCTTGCAGATGTCTGAGTTGCTTAACCAGAAATCAGCAGTGCAAGGAAAAGTGCCTTCTGGCTACTTTAATGCTCTTTTTGATTTGAGTGGTGATTGGTTTCGTGATGCTGCTGACACCAAATATCTTGCTTTTGACGGCTATTTCATTTCACTATACTATTTGCACCTTACTGCTTCCCCACTAATACTGCAAGAGGAGGTAAAGAAGTCTGTTCCGGCCCAGTGGGATCCAGCTTCGTTGTCTAGGTAAACATAAACACTTAAATATAACAATCTTTTAGAATAGATACATGATGGGATCTTTGTTTTCCTGGTGTAAAAATAACTTGTTAGAACTTTCTATAACGTCCAGTGAGGTTAAGTTTTGTAAATTCAATTTGTCATTGGTTTTTATACTCTCATCATTTTCACCATCTCTACAAAGTTTAGCATCATTGTTAACCAAGAACCGGTTGATAAAAGAATGTAATATCTTCTCACCTTTGGCATGAGGCTCTGGTTACCTTTTTAGACTGAGTCCCTGTCTCCTTGGTACTCGTTGGTAGCACTGATTTCAGTTGACGTTAATTGGCGCTATCATGTTTGAATGTTTTATAAACGAAACAGTTTGGCTGAGTAATTGATGGTGATAATTTGAATGGTGCATAATTTTGGGTTGATAAGTATGTGATGCTAATCAATTTTGTTAGGCAGGTTCATCCAGACATATGGTACACACATAATAGTAGGTATGGCTGTTGGAGGTCAAGATGTAATCTGTGTCAAACAAAAACATTCTTCGAAGATTCCTCCTGGTGATCTCAGAAGACATCTGGAGGATCTTGGAGATTTTTTATTTTCAGATGTGAGAAGCCCTTCTTTACTGCAGAGGAAGACAGCAGATGGCAAACAGAAGGTATGGTGCGCTATCTTTTGAAACTTTATCATGTTGTGTTGCTTTTCTGTTGACGCAATCTCTCTATTCTTGTAGGTCCCTGAGGTCTTTAACCGAGTGATGCAATCAAACACAATGCAGTTCACTAGTATTTCAGAAACATCAAGCAAGGAAGTAAGCCCCAAAAGAGAAATATTACCATTTGAAATAAATAATTTTTCTTGGCTGTAAATATAGTGCTTTATCTTGAAACAGGGTCTGACTATCATCTGCTCAAAAAGAGGAGGAGATATATTCAAGCACAGTCACTCAAATTGGCTCCAGACAGTGCCTTCTAACCCTGAAGCAATTCTTTTCAAGTTTGTTCCTATTTCCTCTCTTCTGACAGGAATTCCTGGAAGTGGCTATCTTAGTCATGCAATCAATCTGTATTTACGCTGTACGTTCTAATCAGATTTACCAATGATACTACAATCTTCCAACTTTATCCAAATCATTTTATGTCTTTTACTGTTTGTACATTTTTACCATTCTCCAAAATAAAAACTAGGGAAGAGGAAGAATTCAATTGACATCCTTTGACTCTAAATGTGCAGTTGTGTCCTTAAACATAAACATACTAGATGGTGGTTTGACTTCCCAATGTGTGCATAATGCTCCTCTTGACAGACATCTGTCCAACTTTTGATGATAGTTGTCATGTGCCTATCACACCAAACTCATGGCTAGCAGTGACAATTTCAGTCATTAGGAACATTTCAAACATGTTAGGAAATCTTAGGACCATCTTGTATATTTTTTAAGTTTAAGGCAGAAACTGCATGGTGTAAAGTTGAAGGGTGTTGGTTCAATTTTTTTTGCAAAATACTATGTTTTGGCTCTAAAATTAATCTTTTCATGCTTTATATTTCTATACATTATGTTTCCAAGCCATCACTTCTTGCACAGTACCACTCTTTTATTTCTTTATTGCTAAGGTACACAACACTTCATTGATTAACTTGTTCTCTTCAGATAAGCCCTCTCCTGATGATTTACAATATTTTTTGGAGTTTCAAATTCCAAGGCAATGGGCACCCATGTTTTGCGAGCTTCCTCTCAGGCATCAGCGGAGAAAGAGTTCTTCCCCAGCCCTGCGATTTAGTTTCATGGGTCCGAAGCTTCATATCATCTCTACACAGGTACTGTTAACCAAACTCTCGTCTTGAGCAGGTATTGCATGTGTTGGACTATACTCTTAAGTCTTACATATGAGTTTAATATTTTCCTTTCAGAAACAGTTCACTTGATTAGTGTCATGATTTTCTCCAGCTCTGGTTAGTGATAAATTTAGCTGGGGTATTGTATGAATCTTGAAGATAATTTAACCAGCTTCTTTCTCTATCCTACCTAATTCTTTTATTGGATACTTTCATTGTTAATATGTTACCATTCTTGGGTTTTTCTTGTACATCTTATTTCATATGTATTGTTGTCCTCTGAAAAGGACCTGTAGGAGTGTGAAATCGATGGTATCAAGTTGGATTATGATGTAAATTTTGTGACAAATGTCTTGATGAATCCCAATATTCTGGGGTTAACTAGGTGTGAGGTGCTCTCACACAAAAAAGGGAGAATTGATTGGGAAAGACATTGACTTTATTTTATATTCCTAGAAATTTCATTATTGAAATTTAGGAGAGAAATGCAAGAGAATAAGATATACTCCTTGAAGAAACAGCAAAATAGAAAAAGAATTTATTGTTTGAACTTAAAATATGTGAAATTAAATAAATAAGAATTTAAATATAAAACTAATTAAAAAGAAATTAAAATAACGCAGCCTCTGACAATAAATTAATTAAGAAAAAACTAAGACATATGATTTCACCTTTATATTTCTCTATGTTCATTTTTAGATTAATTTCAATTTAAGTTTCCTTATGATTGTCAACCACTCATATACATGCAAGAAAGAAACCCCTCTAAAGTAGCTATTAGCCTAGCATGACAAAGAAACTAGGAGGACCACTTTATTTGATGAGAGGTGACTGTGACATCTAAAAATTATCCTGGAAAATATTGGGGTACTTCCCCAATTTTAGGCATTGACTCTAGAAAATTCTAGTGTTACTTTAATCTAATAGTGCACTTTGTATTACTAATTTGGTCAGGTATTAGTACTACTAGTTATATAAAGGACAGAAAAGAATGACTGAATGTTGTGTGTTTCTTGTACACACGTCTCTATTATTTATAATGTAATAGGATACATAATAACTAATCAAATCCCTAAAAATAAAGTAATCAATATCTACAAAGATATACATGAGATAATTATAATATTTGCAATAATGACTAAGTGATAAATTAAATTATCTGACACTTCCCCTCAAGTTGGCGTATATATGTCATATATGTCAAGCTTATTACAGATATATTCAACTTGAGAACCTATAACAAAGTTGTTAAACATGTCAGCTAACTGATCACTAAAATGGACAAGGTCGGTTTTAATTTTCCAATAAGCACCTTTTATTTTAAAGTGATAATCAATTTTTATGTGTTTGATTTTCTCACTAAAGATTGAGTTTGATTAAATGTAAAACACAGCCTAATTCTCACAAATAAGTTGTAGCTTGAATGTCTCCCAACTTTAGTTGTTGGAGTAGTTGTCAAAGCCGCATAAACTCATATGTGGTTGCTATTATAGTACCGTGTTTACCTTGTTTTTTCATGAGATCCAATTTCCTTTAATAAGAACATAATATCCACTAGCAAGAATACCAAAACCTATAATATAAGGAGACATGCCAAGATAAAAGATATTCCAAGACTCAATGCTTTATGCTACTAAATGTTGAGCAGTAAATTACTGACAAGAGCATAAGATATGTGCAGCAGGGATGAAGATGTTGTGGTGAATGAGTGGAGTGGACATACGATCGAGAGTGAATACATTAGAGAGAAAGTAGGGGTAGCACCTATGGAGGAATATATGGTAAATTTCACCTAAGTTGATTTAGCCATGTGAGAAAAGGTGCTGCTAGTTGTTTAACATTCTGACTACTTGCCCCTCTTGCATGACAGTTTGCAAGCTATATGGCTGAGCCCTATTGGGTTATTTACAGTTACCAACAAGATACTCAGTCATGCATGCTTAGTCTGGACCAGAAAGTCACACCTAAGGCTCCAAAGGCGAGCACCTCAACCAAGAAGAGGTGCTAAAATGTCAAATTTCCTGGGGCATGCCTTTGACTACAGTGGAAGTGACAGAATGCTATATATATATATATATATATATAAATGTGAAGCTTGGGATGACCTTTTTTTTAGTGGATCATATACTTCTGGACTTTCCGTGAACTTTCCACCTCTGATTATTTGGGATGTGATTGTTTCAGAGAGAGATCTCAGAAATGTACTCACTTCCAACATGTCATATTATGAGTTCATATGTGCTGCATTATAGGGATTTATCTCTCCTTTTATTTTTCTCCCCTCAGCTTTTCTCTGCTGGCAATTACCCTGAGTTCACATTTACAAACTTTCAGGTGGTAAGCGAACAAAAACCTGTGGTTGGCCTCCGCTTGTACTTGGAGGGCAGGAAATGTGACAGACTTGCTTTGCATATACATCATCTTTCAAGCCTCCCAAATAAGATGATCCTTTCTTCAGGAACCTCAACTCAAACCATGCCATCTATGTGGCGAGGATCTGATGATAATGAATCAAGTGACCAATTTCTGGAGCCAATCAGATGGAGGAGATTCTCAAATGTGTGCACAGCAGTTGTTAAGCATGACCCTAACTGGTTAAACAGTTCAAGAGGTGTTTATATTGTAACTGGTGCACAACTTCTTAGCAAAGGGAATTGGCCAAGGAATGTGCTTCATCTGCGTCTCCTCTTTACTCATATACCCAATTGCAGTATCCGGAAGACAGAGTGGGCTACTGCACCAGAGGCTTCAAGAAAATCATCTTTTCTCACAAATTTAAGCTCAACATTTTCATTCACACAGCAGAGCACCACTGGTCCTCCAAAGCAGGCTCCAACTGCACTTAACTCTGGCATTTATCCAGAGGGGCCACCGGTGCCCGTTCGATCCGGTAAACTACTTAAATATGTGGAGACAGCTGAGGTTGTGCGCGGACCGCATGATGCTCCTGGCCATTGGTTAGTGACAGCTGCAAAGCTTGTGGCCGATGGTGGTAAAATTGGATTACAGGTGAAGTTTGCATTGTTAGACTATTGGTGATTCCAGGGTACTATTCACCCTATCCAGAGTAATACATTGGATTGGATTGGTTGTCTGTGTTGTTGCTTCAATTTTATTTTTTTTCGAAACTATAGATCACTTGTATATATTCTTTCTAAAGGCTTTGTACAGGACAGTATAAATGAGTGGCTGTTGACATCAGGCAATAGAAATTTAAAATTTGGCTATTCTGCTAATTTTTATACTTTTTATGTTGGGATTTTAATAATCATCATCTTCAAAATGTATGTGACTACTAATTTAACTTTTATGTACGGTAATTTCAATACGGTGTAGTTTCACCTGTCAACTCGGAAATGGATGCATGCATAGGCTGCGTGTTGCACCCGACCAAAACACACGATTGATTTGATGTTATCTATATCATGTTTACCCCGTTAAATGTAATCAAACAAAGTTTCTTTGCGTGCGGGAATACTGAATCTGTTGGGTTAGGATTTTAGGACAGTTTCTGCATATCTTTAACTTGATATATGCTACCTGAAAATTTGATACATTGACAATAATTTTTAGGAAAAATAAAGGAGGCAGTGGAAAGAAGGATTAGGTGACCAATAATATTATCAATTATAGTACAAGGTGGTAATTTACGTGATGCTACCTACACAATTATATATAATTGTACTTGGCTTCACTTGCCCCTAATTGACAATCATAAGCTACTTCGGTAGTTAAATTTGGATAGGGATGTGCATTATGCAAGGGTGTGACTAATAGATGCCTAAGAACTATTCCTAATATCCCCTGCATTGAAAAGTAGCCAACTGCAATTCCTGTGTGGGGTTTTTCCGATTGTTGTAATAATGATCATACTAGTATTATGCGACTTTACTTGGAAACAAAGGAAGCTTAATTGCGTTGGGTCAAAACTTTGAGGCCCAACAAAGCCCAAATTGTTCGCCGAAACACCGGTCCTCTTCGTTTCAAGGACTTCGCAAATTGCAGCACTCAATTCACAGTAAAATGGTCAAACTTCATCTTCTGTTGACCCACTGCTCATATTGTTTCAAATTAATTTTCGCTCATAAGAGTAATTCTAACATTGTTCGTATTATAAATTAGTCATAATTGAATTCAAATAATTTTACTAAAATTATTATTTTTATTTATTTTATTAACTTAAACTTTTAAGACTAGATTTAAACAATTTAAATAGCCATTTTTATAGATATTTTTTAAATAAAATAATAAAATCAATTTTTTTATTTAACCAAACTAAGGTATGACAAATGTCAGGTCCCATCAACATCCTGTATGTTATAAGTGGAAAGTTTGATGCATCATGTCATTATCAAAGGATAAAAATTGATACAAGAATTGAAGACATTTAGCATTACGCAATATATTCTTCAGAAAGCTACAATCGAAGTTTACAGAGCGTACAATGGTAACCCAAATGCGCTAAGAGTGTGAAAAATGAAATAAATTGAATTGAGATGAGCATTTGGGACCAATGCAATGCCCCACAGCACGTGTATCAAGATATTTCTTCACACCTTATACAATCAATCAAAGTTCTTAACTACCTCGACCATGATACGATTTATCAACGAGAAAAGTGAAAACTAGCAGTAGCGTCTAAGATCAGGAAATGAAAAGTTGATCGTTCAATCCTGAATCTCAAGTTCACTTTTTTGTTTTAACTTTAAACAACCATGAATCCAGCACAATGAACAAACATTAGCTGCCGATAAACTGCCATTTCATTTCAGAAGCCAGAGGTAAATTTTTTCTAGAGTCAGAAATATTTTTTTAGTTTATTTCTAGAATTAGATTCATGAAAATAAAATATTTAAAATATTACTCGAGTTTAAATTTCAATAAATCTAACTATAAATATTCAGAGATAAAATTGTCACCTATAATAATTCCAACAATTCAAGAAAATATACAATTTCTTTCATATTCTTTATCTTAAAATTTTGGATGATAATAAATTATTTGAGTGAAATTCTATTTTACAATTTTTATGATTTGAACCGTTAGGAAACGGCATGTGGTCCTCATATGATAAAAGCTTTTGGACCACCAAGAATTGATGGTGCTTTTGGCAATTTGCTTGAGAAAGCAGAAGCAGTAGTTGAGGACATTTGTTGATTTCTATTTCTTTATCCACACATGGGGTCCATTTCTACCCCATCCCTTCACACCTCACACTCTCAACAGATAATAACAATTAACTCTTCGAGGCATCTTAGGTGAAATGAGTGCGATTTTCACCAGCGATAGAATATAAGGAGAGGATTTGCACGATCATCATCATCATGTAGCATGCATGTTCCCAATTTCACTAACTGAATTTAATAAACAAAAAGTTGGATTTCAATCTGTTCCAAAATGACATAAGATGACAGATGAAAAAAAATCCACCAACAAATTTACTTAAGATTGGAATCTCAAATGTGAGTAGGCCAATTCTTCTGAATTTCAAAGTGATAGCTGGTATCCAAGTAGCATTTACGATCATCATCTACAAACTGAAGATAGAAAACTAAGTTAGTTCTTCATACTAACAAAAATAATAATAATGAACCAATTCAACATTATATGGTGTAATTTAATTTTCTTACTTTGGTTCTTGCTGAATAGGTTCCCCTAGCAAACAAGCCCGAAGGGGTAGTGTCGTCTTCCAATTCATAAGTATATGGTTCCTGCCTTGGGCTATAAGTTCCCAACATTTTTTTGGTGTTGTCCACTATTTCAATAAATTCATGAATGCCAAATATAACTAAGACAATTCAAGATATGGCTATTTAATTATTTTAACTTGTAAACACAAGAGGAGGTTTATTCTAATGTCTCACCTCTAACCCCAGTTTTCCAAACAACATTGGAGTATTTGAGGCCAGAAACAATGTTGTTGGAGACAGTGAAAGAGAATTTCAAGCGGTATTGACTTCCTTCCTTAAGGGTGAAGATGCTCTTTTTAGAATCACCAGTAAATGGAATTGGTAGGATGAGGTCAGGCCTACCGGGGCATGTTATGGTGAGGCTCACTATCTTCACTTCTGGATCTTTGTTCTCTGGATTACAACAAAAGGGCTTTTAAATGAAACTTCATGATACAAATATGTTATAACAAAATGCAAAATCACCCTATGCTTTGTGTTCACCTTGGACAAAATTTCATCTAAATTCATCATCTCAAGAACAAGGTGAGTCAAGAGAGTTAGTTAACACTTAAAAAAAAAAGGGTTATCTTGTAAATGAAAAAAAGAGAGAACTATATTAAAACAAGAGTTTTCAACACAGAAGCACCATTAATGTCACATAATCATTTATTGAATTGAGTTTATTCACTTGGAAAAACAGTAAGGGAAGCTCAGTACCTCCAATAGCAGACATATCAATACTTCCAAGAAGTTGTTCCTTCCATTTTCTCAAACTTTCATCATCCTTTGAAAGACAAGAGAAAATTGGTCAAATTATTGAATAGCACTTTCATCAAAGAACATCTGGAAAAGAATGTTACTTTATCTTTCTCAAGCTGTTCCTTGAGGGAAAACTGAGGGCCTAGATCCAATTCCAACTTGGGGTGTTCCTCTTCTTCTTGCTCAATTTCTTCAGCATCATCACTGTAAGGAAGCTGGTGTGGTTCCCCAACAACCTTGTTGGTTCCTTTGTTTTTGAGCTCTTCATCCAAATGAGCATTATAGGGAACATCCTTGGTTGTGGACACAGCAGCAGACATTGTCAACCTCTGTATAGTTGTGCCAAATTTAGAGCTCTCTTTCTTGTCTTGGCTAAACTTTCAGGATAATAATTTTGAAATGAAATTGATACTGATATGTTATAATTTCATATGTTTATTTTATTATGTGTATGCAATGCAATTACTGGTAGTTGAATTTTAGAGGAGGGAACAGTAACATTGACGCGGTGAATGTGGGCCTGAGAAAATCAAATGGTAACGAAAAACGGTTGGAATAAAGTTGGTAGGGAACCACTAATGGTGGAGAAGGTCATATAACAAATAAATTGAGACATTTTATATTCTTATAAATATATATAATTTACATTGTGTAATATGACAATCTTTTTTGGTAACAGTGTAATATCACAATACGAATGTTGTTGTAAGTCGTCAACAAATCAAAATTATTAATTAGTGTCCATATAAGTTCATTCAGTTGACAAATTCAATTGGTTGACTCAAATTTTAAGTTTAATTTCAGGCAGTTTTATATCTCTCTGTATCAATATTATATAAAATAAAAGGTTTTTCATTAATGGATGCCTACCAAAAAAATGTTTTAACTGAGGTAAAATGTCTTTTGAAATATACCTCAGTTATGTTAACATTCAAATTTTACCTAAATTCTCTTATTTCAGATGTTAGGCTTACATTTTCAGAGATTTAATTATTATTACATTTTCCTTTCCTTAGTTGAGGAAAAGTGACTAAAATTATATTGACCTCTTCTAAAAGAAATGCTTTGCACGCACAAATTTCTATTCACTCTGTTCGTAACGTTGTATATTATTTTGCTGCTAATTTTTTTCAGGTGAAGTCCCTGTAGAAGGAATTTACGAATGGAATTTAATAGGTGATTGTGTTATCTTATATTTTATTTTTAAAAACAATTCTTTAATAGAAATTAAACTGGCTTTAGATGTTTTTTTAATATTAAAACCACTTCAAACTCTTATTAAAACGGGTTGAATTGGGTGAACTTATTAAACCATAAAGAAAGTTCTTAACACTTTTTATCCCTGTTCACATTTTAAGTTTATGCTTATTAAGTCAAATAAATCAAATATTTGAACAAACAAAAATATCACTTCAAACAAAAATTATTTCAATTACAAAAATAACTGAAAAAAAATTAAAACCAGCTTTTGAAATTAATTTTAAGTAATTAAAATGATAAAATTGTATGAAAAAAATTAACACTAAAAATACAAAAAAAAAAAACATTATGTTTAAATGTTTAAATTTAACTTACAGGATTGTTGTTTATAACACTATTAAAATATAATTTCAATAACAAAAAATAATTTACAGTTAGACAATTGAAATATATAAAACTGAAATATAAAACCATTAAAAATTCAAAATCATAGTACATGTTTGGTTTTACTATTAAAACTCTAAAAGCTATATTTAGGCAACAGATTCGCACAGGTAGAACACACTTTAATTTCTACATTCTAAAATTAAAATTTTATTCTTAAATGTAAATACATTTTTATTATACAGCTTTACTTTAAAAGGTTTTTAAATTATCGTTTTTTTTCCTTTCATGTTGTGATTTCATATTGTGTTTTTTTTACATTAAGAATTTAAATTTAAAACTTCGACCTAAATCTACTTTTTTTATATTAATTTTTTATCTTAAATTTTAATGAACAACACTAAATGTTAATTATTTTAAAAAAATTTAAAGCACTTTTTTTCTTAAATTTAAGCTATTCATATTTTACTTAAATTAAAAATATTAGTAAAGTAAACGTGTTTAAAAATTAGTTAAGTTAAATACCTTAAAATTAATAAATTTTAATAATTATTTAAATAATAATTTTAATTTTTATTTGATGTGATCCAGCTAATTTATGATTTTATTTTTCTTTAACATAATACCTTAAGAAAAAAGAGCATTTCCCGCCATTTTGCGCCCTGGAGCCAAATAATTTGGCGCGGATATCAGAATCTGCAAGCAACTCAAACGCTTACCCTACACACTTTCAGGTTGAGATTGCAAAGAGAAGAAAGAAAGTTATGGAAGTTGTTCGCTCTCAGAATCGCAGGAACTTCTTGTCATCCTCGAACGACGCCGTTGTTGTTTCCACCCTTCCCCTCTATCGCTCTGCTCCCACACTCGAAGTCAGGCTCGAGGATTTCGAGTCCTTCGCCATCGATCGTCTTCGAGGTCCATTTTCTTCATCTTTGTGTTTTTATCGTTTTCTGCTTCTTCCAATTCGTTAGATCTGCTTCCAAATCCCCCTGTGTTCGTGCCTAGGGTTTCGATAATCTACTCTGCTTTTAACTTCGTTAAATTAAGAAACGAAGGAAAAAAAGAGTGGCATCTTGTGGCTTGAGTTTGTGTTTGCAGTGAAGACCTGAAATCTTCAAGCGATTCGTGTTGTTTTATTTTGGTATATTAAATTAGTATCAACATTTGTATGTGTTTATGGAACTTCAAATGTCGCTTTGTCGATCATCATTGATGAATACGATTGCTTGTTGCAGTTCTGAAGGGGATTTCTGATGGTTTGTCACGTGGAAAGAAACCGGATGAAATGGAAAATTTGGTAAAATTCTGAAATTGACAGTGTTGATATATTAGATTCTGTCTAGTGATTGATCGAGAAAAAGAAAAGACACTGTCTGATGGACCATTTCCATGTGAACCTCCCTCATACAGGTAAATGACTTGTTGAAAGTGAATATGAGACATCAACATGCGTCTGAGGTTTTGAACAAGGATATTATATCTCATTTTGTTCTACGTTTGGTGTATTGCAGAACGTAAGAGCTTCTCTCTTTTATGCTTTCTTTTTTACTGTTGTTCCGTGCCATTTAAATTAGTCTTACACTATGCAGTTGTTTGACAAATAACACCTGATCAATATAAACGGAAGATTGCCACTTATTGAATAAATTGGTGATGATGAGAGTTTAAACCATTAACACCAATTACTGTATCGATCATATTTTAAACCTGTGTATTAAAGTAATCCCAAATGACAGTTTCCCCACACCAAAACGAGGAACAAATTCAAACACTTCAGTAAAAAAATAGTTATATGGAATCCCGATTATCTTTCTAAATTATTCCCTATATGCTAAAATACGTAATTATTCACCTGCATTCCTAGGGAGGACTTGAGGAAATGGTTTCTTTCTATGGAATCTGCACTCTTTCGCTACCGTTTTCGTCTTCTGAATGCTGATGCTCAGGTAAAATATGCCTTTACTATATAGTTTTTGCATTTCAAATTAGGTTCTTATTTTTCTATATTTTTCTTATGAATGCGCAGAGGGCAGTCATGGATGAATTTAACCTTCCTTATAGGGCTGTTAGCAATATGGAATATGAGGTAATCTCATGCCATTTTTTATTGGTTTGGTCTCGACTTCTTGTACTGTAAATATTTCTCTGAAGTGGATTTATGCAAAACTGATTTAGTTTTAGGTACAAATACCTCTTAGTACCCTAAAGAAATGAAGCTTTTGGTTTTCAGAGCATAAAAGATAAACTGGGACAAGTTGCTCGTTCTATGGGTCAGCCTTTACCCACTGGTAGGAGCACATTGCCTTCTTTTTCCATTGACTATTTATCATATTGGTGTGGAACATCAGGAATTATTTGCACGCACCATGCGGGAGGTTGTTGAATGAATAGGAACATAACTGGTTGTTTCTACCTAAGGGTTAAGAGACATATTTCATTCTGTTTCTTTTGGATTCGTTTAGTATGTTAACCCACTACTGAACTAGCAGTTGCATGCATTAATTTTTGAAAATAGATATCTTGGATCAAGTGGTAGATTTGCATTGCTATTTTAAATGAAAAAAGAATAAATCTAAAGTTTTTGAAATTCATGCCTCATTTCTCTTCTTGAAATTTTATTTAGTGTTTGTTATTACTCTTTCTAATCTAATGAGCATATTTTTTGCTTGTACTTTTTGCAGCTGATGCTATCTTCTACAAGGTATGCGTGTTATCGTTTTTTTTTTGTCCTACTCATTTCTTGCCTTACAAATGAATAGATCCACACACTGGGTTAACATAATGGCAGTTCTACTTTAAATAATAACTCAATGACTGTTTTTAAAATATTTATTTTTCTTCTCTGTAGAAAGTAGGTTCTCTTGTTCAATAAAAATATTCAATTCTAATGATGCTTCCTTGTTACGGAAGAAAATCCTGAATCAAAACTCCCCTCCTTACAAAGGAAAAAAAAAGCAGTTAACTAGTTAAATAAGCTTTTGGTCTCTCAGCAAAACTATTATTATCCTTGGGTCCCTTTGTGATTTTCAAAAGCTTGCTTTTGTATGTGGGTGAGGAAGTAAAAAAAAACAGAGAGGTCTTCTCTCAACACCTCTAGTTGTGTTCCTTTGGGATCTCAGGATGAAGAAAAATGATTGGTGAAGGTTTTGAGAATGATGGGCCTTGTTATTTTGACTTCTTGAAGTTCCTTCATTCTTTCTTGAAAGTTTAAGATATCTTTCCCTTTCTTTTCTGTTGCTGCTTGGATCACTCCTCTTTGAAAACATACTCTTGTTCCTTCTTTGTACCTTGGGGCTAGGTACAGTAATCATCAACACCAACAAACCCATTTATAACTTAATCATATTAACATTTTAGATCCTTCAAGCCCAAAGAGTTTACTTTGTTACTCTGTTGATAATTTTTCTCACATGACTTGATCGTTTCTTGTTGAAGCTTGGAAGATCATTAAGGGATTATTTATTTACTTCAGTGACATTACAATGAAATGAAAACTCAGTTTGATTTTTCTATTCATATTTTTGTTTTGTCAACACTAATAAATATGGTGAAGGATCTTCATGATTTTATAGTTCATGCAATGATATTCTCCCTCTCAATTTTTGAGCTACTACATTTCCCATATAGGTACCATTTGAAGATGTTCCAGAGCTTGTTGCTGGACGAAAAGTGTTTATAAATCAAGGATATGCATATGTTGCAATGAATCAGGTTGACTAGCAATTACTTTCTATTTATTCTTGCTCTAAATCATGGATTGGTCACAGTAAATCTTGTTTATGTTTTGATCTGTCTCCTTCCTAGATTGTTTCACTTCTAGCCACACTATTCCGCAGTCAGCTGTCAAAAACACTCATCCTTACTAACAGGTTTTGCAAGTCATTTTGATCTCTATAAGATTTTCTTATGTGCTCTCATTTTTTTTTTCTTTAAATGTGATTTTGGGATTTAAGATTCTTAGAGGTTCATCTAATTATTGCAGAAAATGGACATCTTCAATTAGAGAACAAGAGAAACATAGGTTGACTCCTGTAAGTGTGGTTGTACTCTTTCTATATTGACAGATACTTTCTTTGTTATACCTATAACTGGGTTTCTATGTAGATTGTGGAAGCCCTGTGCTCAAGTTATCTGGGTCCTGATTATTCTCAGGTAATTCAAGTATATTTATTAATTCATCTCTGTTACTAGATATTTTTGTGATTTTGGCTTGACAATGGCCACTTTGATTGTAAACCTCTGCAGTCAAGAGAATATGCTGATATATCATTAAAGGACATTGATCAAGTTGCCAAGAGCTCATTTCCTTTGTGCATGCGTCACCTTTTTGATAAGGTTAGAGATTGGTTATAGATTATGCTTTTGATTTGATTTATCTGTAATTTCTTTCTTTTTGCTTATCTTTTATTTTTTTTTTTGAGATTCCATATATTGTTTTTCAGTTTTGTCTCATCTGCCCTGATGTATACTACTTTTTATGCAGCTGAAAGAGGATCATCATTTAAAGCATGGAGGGAGGATGCAACTAGGCCTCTTTCTCAAGGTTGCTTTTGGCTACCATCTGAGCATAATAAAAATACTCTGGAATCTATGTTGTTAAAAGTTTGAGGCATTGAAGGAGGCTTGATACTTAACATGCTGTTTATTTACACAAGAGATATGTGTGGAAAAATGTCCTGTGCCTTGTGTTGACAAATTAATCAGTGCTTTTTATACCTGTAAATTTATGACCGCCTGTGTCTGAGAATTTTATGTCACTATCTTTCACACTTTTGACTCATTTCAATTGGGCAAAATGCAGTTTCCACATTGAAGAACACGTATTTATGGTTGTATGATTATGCTAGGTTCTAAATGTTGGTACTTATTTGTAGCATTGTCAAAGAAATACACTTTTCTTCACTTCCATTCTAATTTATTTTGAATTTTTTCATGGGAATGCGCTTGATTGGTGGAGAAACTCAATTAGATGTCTTAATCCATTTACTTCTTGATTACTGTTTATCTCTCTCCCCCGCCCCCTCCCCCCACCCCCTTCTATGTCTTCAGTGTTCTCTTATCATTTTTTCATTTCTCAATAATGTCAGTAGGGTGTCGGCTTGAATCTGGATGATGCACTTGCATTTTGGAGGGCAGAGTTCTCTAAAAAGGTAAGTATAATTCTTGTAAATTATCTCTTATGTAAAGTAAAATCTTACAAATTCCTTCAAAATTTGAAGTTTAATATGTGGTATTGCATGTATTTTTAGTTGCATGAACAGTGAATTAGAATTAAAACAGTTTTGAGTTAGTAGTTTTTGCATATTATTTCACGATACTTTAAGTCATTTTAAATCTGTATACCTGTCTATTCAATTTATTCTGTATCTCTCTAAACATCCTGGTACATAGTCTTTGAATAGGTATTTCATAAGCATGTGCTTCTTTCTTTTTATCTAATTACTTTCATGATTAATCAAATGTAAGATCTTCTTGTAGGTTGGTTTGGAGAAGTTTGAGAAGCAATATGCATATAACATACGGCATAATTATGGAAAGGAAGGGAAGAGAACTGTAAGTTTTAAACTTCCGCACTGATTTGTAGGATATTTCATATTTCATACTTTAAATATATTCGTTTACTGATGACGTGTCATTGCCATTTTATCCCTTAAAACTAGACTTTCAACCAGTTTCAGTGTGGTTGTATGCATAATGCATGCATATGATGAGTTTCATCAAGTAATATTTTGATGTATGTTACAGGATTATACCCCCTATTCTTGTCAAAAGGTTATTTCCTCAACTCCTGGTGCTGGGGATCAGCATGGTTGTCCCTATCGGCATTTCAGGTCACACTTAATACTTGTGCTATCAAATGGATAATTTAGCTTTAAGAGTTGGGTATGTGAAAGAAAATGTTTTCTCTAGTCTTACATGATAAATTATTTAATAAAATTATAACTCTGGTTTTTGGTGTCACAATTCTTGCTTTGTGAAGACTATGATCTATTGTGATTTAGGGTTTAGGGTTTATCCACTAATCAGCCAAGCTACCCATTTGAAAGGTTTATACACTAGGAGACATAGGAAATAACTAGTAACAGATCTGCATTAGGAGTATGAGAAGTGCCAACACATTCTAATACACTTATTTTAACAATCTCTATAATTAACTAAATTTATTGAAAGTTATAAAAGTTTGAGTGAGTCTCATTAAATCAAGAGTGAAAATTATGAAATTCAGAGTAGGATCCATGTGTTTTGTGTTTTTTCAGTAAATTTAGCTAATGACTGAGGGTGTATTAGAGAGTGTTAGAGCGTGTTGTGATCATTTCTTTTTAAGAGTATAGTGATAGTAGAGCTGATGGCATATAGGCATTCATAGAAAAGAACTGGTAGCAGTTCTATATTAGGAGTATATTTGATAGAATTTTGCAGACAAAGAATCTGTAGGGGACTTATGTCTCTGGCACTGCAAGTTCATTGTTATACTGTGTGATTTGTATTCAGTAGTATATTTTGTTAGTTTGTATGAAGTGCTCTGTCAAATTATGAGTTTCTCTTGACTGTACCACAATATTTATTTCTCTTTTCTGATTAGTAAGTTAAGGTTTTTCTGTAAAATGTAGCATTTAGACTTCTACATCTTATTTGCATTCTGTTGAAGCTAAATACTAAAATGTCATTGGTACATTTTCAAGATAATAAATAACTCAATAATTTTAATTTCTTTTATCGTAATAACAGTCTTTGTCATTGACAAACCTAATAGTAGAAGATTCAAGAGCGATTTAAAATCCCTTCTCCGCTTGCATGACATTTTTACTTTGTAGTCTGTAAATCAGTGCTTTAATTATAAATAAATTAATTTTATATTGGAAATGATAATAGTTCACGCATTTAGGAAATAATATGTCCATGTATCTCCTGTTAAAAAACATTTAGTGTTCATGGGTATTAGTGTCTAGGATGTTGTACTCAATATTAGCCTCGCAAATAGTCCCCATTACGTCTATTAAGAGTCTATGGATGCTTTGTATAACTTGTGTATTACACTATCTCTCGAATAAGAAGGCATTCTCATTCTGAATTCTCACTGAAACTTCCTGTTCTATCTTTCTTTCTCCTTCTCTCCCTCTAAATTTAACATTAGTCACTGTGTTTCAGAAATAGTTCATGTTTCAGTTAATATTGTTTGTACTTTGTAAATGTAATGAATATTCTGGTTGTAAATCTAATGGTGGAATTTGGGCGTAGCACAAAGCTGGCTCTATTCTTGGTCATGCTCTTTGTTCTTAATTTGCATGGATAAGTATGGGGGTTCTTAATTTGCACAAATCATAGGGAGGAAGCTGCGTATGGAATAAAGTTGAACGCATTATTATTTACTCTTTTTAATTGTCATTGGAAATGGTTATTCTGTTGTTGAGTCTCTTTCTTTGACAGTATATTTGTATGGACGTGACTTATTTTTCACTGATGCCATGTGAATTTCAATAGCGAAGAGAACCTAAGAGCTGCTCTCAGCAGAATGGGGGTGAACAGTCGATCAATGGAAGATGTGATAGACAAAGTGAGAAATAGACATTATCAGGTAGGTCTTTGTCCAATCCTCTGAACTTAAATAATCAGTTTTATCCGTTGGATTAGACATCTGATTATATGGATAATGTTTGTGCAGTTGGCTTGCACTTTGACATTTGAAGCTCTTCATGGCATGCCGTGTGATGCAGGGATTAATCATCCAAATCAATACTTCAGTGACAGTCGAAAGATTTTACAGTCAAAGGTAGACTACATTTTATTAATTGTGATTCAAACCAATACTTGTGAATTACAAAGGCAATCACATGTTCACAATTACAAACTAGCTAGGTTTGGGATATGATGCGTTGTCTTTGCTAGATATATGTTTTTCTTTTCCATAATACAGGCCACAGGTGTACTCTGCTTTATGCTTACTTGTGTCCTGGATTGTGATTATTTTTTAGGGCATATCCTGGATAGATTGCTAGTCCTTGCCTTTGTTCTTGTCTAACACACTAAACCTGAAACTGGATATGTTGAATGTCAAATTATAACAATTTTTGCACATGGTTAAGAAGGGAGATGGTCAATGTTGGTGGGTAAATGCAATTGTTCCACGAATTCTGCATTATCTCTTGGCTAGGCCAAGTTTGCAACGGTTTTGCAGAATGTATATAATTCCCACAGTACATATAGTGTAATGGTGGACCTTCATAACATAGTGAATAATATCACAAAGTTGGGGAGAATTTTTTTAACATCTGACTTTGCTGACCTGCTGAATACCTTGTAATCTGCTTTTATGCTTAGTCACCTAGTGTGATATTACTCTTCATATTTTTATTTTTTTTAATGCAGAAGGATTCTTCAGCCTAGAGAGAATTTTTGTTATTGCGGAGGACTGATGTGCTGGGGACCTTTCAGGTTAACTTTTGAACCTTCTGTCTTCTTTTTCCCTTAATCTTCTCTATACTTTTCTCTTTCTGGTTGTGTTCGAAGCTGAAAAACCTATGCTAATTGTTTTTGCAAACCTATATATGGTTGCATTCATTGAAATATACATGTTAATAAAATAATGAATATTTCACTATTTCTAGCTATACCTTTACTAATATTTCAGATTCCTAAAATCTACGATTGTCTACCTTTTAAATTTAATGTAATTGAATCGAACTTAAGTAATAATATCTACATTTGTATCCAAAAGTAACCTATGGCTATTACTGTAGGGCGGCATACATTTTCTTGAAGTCAAGTTAAAAGGCATCAAGTGGCATTTCCTTTTATGTTAGTGGTTAAATCTCTCTTCTATACCATTTAGGCATGTCGTTGGTGCCTCTAGTGATGGATGTACAGACCAGACTGTGGTTGGAAATCTGGCACGAATTGGATATTTATTTAGTATTTGTTCATCTTTGTAGCCACACGCCTGGATATAACCTGTTTGTATATTAATTTAGGTATGTGTAAAATGGAAGACGATGTAACACAATTATGCGAAGAAATTGTCACAATGTAAAAATGACATTCTTGAAAGCGACAATTTAAATCGAATATTGATTGTAAACTAAATTGCGGTGGAATGTTGGATGTGCTGGGTAGTTTCAAGGTTGTCCTGAGGTAATCGTTTAAGCCTTTCTAATTTCAACTGACGTGAAGATGAACAGCTTACTCTAAGGCAGGGTAATCTTTGATATATTGGAGAGGTTGCATTTAAGGATTTGGATCTTCTATTTTATTGAACAGCGTATGGTCATATTATAGAGATATATACATTTTTAATCAAATTTAATTACATCTTACAACTATTCTGAATGGGTTTTTATTTGATAGAAATTTTCCTTCTCTTTTCAACATAACTGTATAATGTTAGTGTACCACATGAGGATCTAGATTGGTACATTTAACAGATATTATTTTATCTTGCATACATAGTGACCGGTACGTCCGCGAGATTTGAAGACTGGGCTATTGATCGTTTTTCCGTTCAGTACCGAGGTGGCATGACTTTCCAAAATTAAACTAAGCTGAAATTAATTTACAATGCAGTTTTTTACGTACAGTTGAATGACAGCAATAATTTCTATTCTGTAAACCCCCTTTACAATATAAACCAAAATACAATTACTAAAATTATAGACGTTGTTTGAGAAAAATTTTTTTACTAATTCTTATTTTAAGGACATTGATTAATGAATAATAAATGTATTCTATAAATATTTTTATGTAAAACATGTTAAATGATTTTTATATTAATATAATAAATAATTTTTAATAAAAAAAAAGCATTACTTTTGTATCTTTAATTAGCAAAACTGAAATAAGTTTTTTAAGTTTCATTTAGATAGTTACAAAATTATGTAGTAATAATAGGGAAATATATTTAAATGAAGAAAGCTTAGATTTGAATGTGTGGTTTTACTCTCTCTGGTCTTTTTTATAAGAATAAAATAAAATATTTTCTTAATTTTTATTATAAAAAATAAATGATAGATTTAAGATGTATTAATTGTTAAATTTCTTTTATGCCTTTCTTTTATTAGTATAATTAAATATACAAATTATTAATTACATCATTTAATATCATAGGTAATTTTGAAATAAAATTTATATTTATGAAAAACATAACATGCTTAATTATTTTTTTTAATTTTAATGATTTAGTTTTTTGTTTTTTATAAAAAAAGACGGAAGGAAATATATTATAAGTGTAATTAATGCTATTTTCTAATTAAATTGACAATTTATTTTGATAATTTTTATTGATTTTAATTATTGAGATAATAATAGTTGCGTACATAAAAAAAAATAGCTATACTTATTTGTAAGTTTTATCCTTTTAAAATGTTTCGAACAAATTCATTATTTTTTTTTTGGTTTACCACCGAGTTTAAATTCAGTGACCCAACCTTCTTTATTGGGCATATTTCAAATCCTTTTTAAAAATAACTTGTACCCAAGTTTTATTCTTACAAAAAAATACTCAAGATACGTATGGTGCAAAGGTTGGCCCAATCCCAACCTTTTTTTTATTTTTGACGATAAAAGAAAACACTTAAAATTTGCGAGGTCAAATAAGCATAATATAGTTTAACGGATGCCAAGGTTTCAAGTAGTGATGAATACTTTAACTATTAACGTCGGGGGCAAAGAAATTCCCAATTTTTTCACTACATTATCCTGATAGCTTAAATGATTGTATTTTGGGTAAATGTTTTTTAGTTCCTAAAAGTTACGATCTGATTGATATAATATCAACTATAAGTACTCCATGTTTAAAGGGCCCTTACATTAAGAGATATCTTAAAAATAAAATCATGAATTTTGGCATAATAATATATTTTTTTATGAAAATATTAGTTCTTGATATAATTACAATTAATTTAATGATTTTATCAATAGTCTTTAACATATAAAATAGTAAGCTTTATGAATATTAATATTTATTATACTTTATATTTTTATGTGATAAATAAATTTTTACCAATACAAATTTATCAAACTTTTGTTACTTAAAATCAATTTACAAGATTAATATTAATATTTTCTTAATTTAATTATTCAAAAATATTTTTTTAAATTAATTTGTGTTCCCTGTTCTCCAAAGTTTAATTTATAAATAATTTAGTGTTTACTCATATTATGCTAATACATATTTGATACAACAGTATAAAGCGAATATCGAAGGTCGATAGTTTAATTAAAAACCTCAATTTTACTGTGAAAGCATATAAGAAAATTTTAACTTCAATATATCATTAATATAGACAAAAGCATAATATTATGTATTACAAGAGGAGCCGATCCCAACAAGTTCTTAAAGAGAAGTGACGCGCAACAATCAATCCACGAGTTAATATATTAAAAGGATATGAGGATTATTTATTCGGTTTAATTATATTTTTAGTTTTTATATTTTAATTTATGTGTAGTTTTTTTTTAAAAAATATTTATTGTTTCTATTGGAGATATGCTGGTCCTTTAGAAGCTCTTCTTCTGTCCTATGCAATGATGTTCTTGCAAGTATTTCTGACTATCTTCTGTATGACGACGTTAGAAAGATCTACCTACAAAAGGCACTTAGATAGTAAAATTAAATGTCGGTTTAGACAATAAATACTATTAAATATTTAAAATTAACTATTTATTTGTACTTCTTACTTTCTTTTTATAGGTAGTAATTTAGATTAATGAACTTCATGAGTTAGCCTTATTTAAGCCTTCTGTTTAAGTACATAATTAATGATTATCTACCTTAATTTGTTCTAACATGTCTAATTTAACTTAATCTGAATGAGTACTGAGTGTTCATCCTTATGTCGATAGAGTATTTGAATTCCTTTTCTCACCATAATGACCGAGTGATACCTTATCCAATACATTTATATTTATTTGTTTAATTTTAAATTTAATTAAAGTTAGATATCTTTATTTCAAAATTTTGTCTTACTTTTAACAAAAAAATGTAATATACTATTGATTTATATAAATTAATAAAATAATGATAAAATATTTACATAAATTATATAAAAATATAATAACAAATATTTTATATTATTATGTTATATACTTTATTTTTATTTTTATAAATCAATATATTATATATTTATTATATTTATATTAATTATTGGATAAAATTTTAAGATGAAAAACTTAACTTAAATACTTAAAAAATTAAAAAAACATAAATGTGAACAATTAAAATTAGAGACATCTAAATCACCATAAATTACAGTGTGCAAATTAACTTATTTACTTTGTGCCCAATGAAGAGTCTTTCCTTTCATCTAATGTGGTCATATAAATCATTCCCCACCAAAAAATTTATTAAGTGCATTATAAGAAAACACTAACCATCAAAGAGAAAAGAGTCTTCCCTCATTCAAAACTCAATAGGTATTAAATGTGTTTGGTAATAAAATCTTATAATTTATTGAGGATTGTATCTTTTTTTTTTCTTTTTCTGTTAATAGACTAATAGAATCATTTGACAAAGAAAAAAATAAAGAGAGTTTATAATTTTTTAAGTTAATTTATGAAAAATTACTCCAACTAACAATTAATTTATTGAAAGTTAACTACTAATAATTTTTTAATATTTTTACTTTTAATCTTTTAAATAATTTATACTAATATTAAACAGCTTTACCTCACTCTACCCTTATGTACAATCGTCATGCCTACTCAGTCTCGCCCTTGTTTTTCATTTGAATAATTAGTTGATATTAAATAAAAACAGTGAATATTTAATTAATTGACAATAAATAAATAAAAAGTGATATTTAATCATAAAAATGTGTTAATATCTAGTTACTTAATGTATTTCAACTAGTTGTATAATTAATTTTATAAAAAGAAAACTCTGATTTAATTTATTTTACTAAATATAGTCAATAATAATCATAATAACATATTATCATTATCTTTCATAATTATATAATTTAAATAGATTTTTTTAAAAATCTAACATTACATTTTTTTCCTCTTCTTTTTGTTTTGATATTTTATTTTTTATTCACTTGGATCACACTGGTGTAAAAATATAAAAACCCAAGTTCAAATTGTGTTCCAGCTGTATTTGTAGACCCATTGTGGTTGAGGGGGTAGATTGAGGACCATAATGGGGTTTTGGATTGACTTAGCATGCATTATTGTGGCACTTTTCCTCGTTGCACACCAATTTCTTTATGTGTGGGGGTTTGAACCCTTTGTTTGCTCCCAGTTACGGGGAAGCTGAGAGTGACATTCATACAGTGGATATGACAAACACATACGGCATGCATGCATGTGTTATGTAATATAACCCCCCATTAATTCCATCACTTTAACCACATAAATGTATATAATATTAATTCAATGTCACCACCTCACATATCATCACCTCACTTTACAACCCAACTCATTCCCTTCTTGTCTTCGTATTTTAGTCAAAGGTATCTCACTAGTGTTTAAGCTTCAATTAGGACGTGTTTAAAATATTTTTATAAACTTATTTTAATAGCAAAGGTGGTGTCATGCATGTTTGAAGTGGCATGCAACTCTTACCCATGCAAGTGTACTTGAAGATAATTTGGTCTGAACCTGACCAACTTTTGTGGGCTGGTCAACAATTAAGTGACTAGTTTGCAATAATTAAAGGATTAGAAATGATATCCAAATGTTTAATAATTGAAGAACTTAAAATGTGTACCTCTTTGTTCACTTGCATGACTATGAAACATTGATGTACAAGATATTTGCATTGGGCATATTTTGGTGCAGGATTTATATCCAAATCGGATCTTCTAACTATGACAGGCCTAAAGACAAAATTGGTAAAAATTAATCTTTTTGTTGGG